AATAAACCGGCCGGAGAAAACATTGGCATCACAGGGTCAAAGTCTGCACGCAGGCTAACGAATGTAAGGCAGGAAAGAAAAATTGTCAACAGCAAAACCCTACCATGTTTTCATTGTTTTTCTGAGAAAGAGAGAATTTCAGAGCTCAAGAATTTCAACGCAGAAAGGACGCTACTCTTGTGGGCTCTGCCTAAAATACAACCCCCCCCCCCCTTCCCGACAGGTGAATATTTCTACAATAATCAGCGTACGTTTCAATCAGTTTTATTCTTTGTAACGACTAGTTCACTTTGTTCCTCTTTTTGAGCTCTCTTTTTCATCACTCTGCTTAGCAACGATGGCCAAAGCGTTTTCAAAAGGATAGCAAGATTTGCTTTCATGTCAGCAATGACCACGTCTTCCTGTAAACATTCCACTGCGCTCAATATTTCCTCAGCAACGTGGCCTGGCTCCATCCCAGCGGCAGTTGTTGGATCGAGAGCTGCAACAAAAAAGCAACATGAACTCAAAGGGGCATAAAGAAAATATGAGGTTATTTAACAAAATTTTTAAGGATATATATTTGCATTTTTATATTTTTGTGGAGATATTTAAATCAACTGATACTGACAAAACAAGTTATCTAACGTAAAAACCTTTATAATTGGCTTTGAAAAAAGCAAACATTTGAGCATACTGTAAAATTTGCTGCTTCATTATTGTAAAATTTCTGACACAATTTATTGTTTGATTGATAGATATTACTGACCATTTATAAATGACACATTATGACACACAAAATCCACAAGTCTTTCTGTTAATACAATAATAATACTTAGGTACTAGACAGTCTTTCACAAGCACTGTTACGCCATTAAACTATATATATATATATGAAACGAATGCTTATCAGTCTATGACGAGCCCTTTCTTAGCTAATCAGTCCATGATTCTTCTGTGTATACGTGTAAGTGAGTGGGTGTGTGTGTCTGATACAAGTTTCTACTCCTTATAAAGTGTCCACAATGGCTTTTACCAATCTACTTACAATACTTCTTTTTTTCGCAGTGTAAAGACGGTATCTAGTTTGAATACATCGATACGTAAGTAGGAGGTGATAAATATATGGTAGGATACGCGGGGGAACTTTGTCGGGGAAAAAGGTAAATAAAATATTATATTACTGGAAAACATGGAAAGTTAACGCGCGAAAAACTAATATATCTTGACTAAAGAGAAGCATGAACAAATATAAGCATAATGCGAGATTATGAGCTCTATTACAATACTAATGCTTGGGTTAAGATTAGTTAGTATACTCAAAAGCTTCAGTATACTCAAATGTTTGCTTTTTTCAAAGCCATTTTAAGTTTTGTACAACAAAAAGATTGTTAACTATTAAAATCGGATGAAAACCTTTGCTCTCAATCTTATCTCTCCGGGTTGAATATAAAGTTATTAAAAGATGCATACAAAAAAACTAATATTAAAACGGGAAAAAGACAATAACTCTTCGTTACCTTCTAGGCTGGTCCTTATTTAACACCTGCCCTTTTAACAATAGTGACTTTCTTTCTACGCCAGTTCTGTTTACTGCCAGTTAATTTTTTTGCTCTTAACTCATTTTTTCATAAGAAACAAAGCACCGGATTAGCAATCGGTTTTTCTAAATATTTTCTCTAATGGAAGCTTTATTAAACACAAACTTCTAAAGAGCTACTTTTTAGATACACAAAAACGTGTTTTGATATTGAATGAGAACACCTTATTAGCCACAAAGATCCCTTTTTTATCTATCAGTTATGCAGGAGGAGTTGCTTAATTGTCGAAAAGAGTTATTTCGATCTCACCTTTGAATGAAGGTTTTTCCAGCAGTTTTTTAATGTGGTGGGTGATAAGTTATATGGGTCCTTTTTGTTCTCAGTAATATCTTTAGGCCTAAGTTAAACGTCGCTCTTCTCATACGCCCAATTGAAGTATAGTTCGGCCATGAGAAGTTCTTAAGGTTAAGGGTGGTCAGTAGCATGGTTTTTTGGTCTAAGTAATATTTTTAGTCATCTTAGGCCTTAGTAACTTATAGACGGTTGCTTATAAAGAATGGTTGTACCCAACGTAGCACCATTATCTTGGTGTAGGACACAAACTGTGCAAGACAGCTACTTTTTAACCAAGAAAACGACTAACCATTTCTACAGTCAAAAACTTTCGCGATGCACCAAGTTCATCGCAAACACAGAAATCCTGCATTGATCAATATTATCTTAAATTCTAGAGTGTGAAATTTCAAACTGGAATTAGATATTAACAAAGACAAGACATCTTAAACCAGAGTTTAGTCAAAACACGTCAGGGAACAATAATAATCATGCCTGCCTAGTTAACTTCTAAAAAGGCGCGAAACAGTGCTAATATCGAGAAACGCCCATTGTTAATCCGCTTTCCAAAGTTTTTTGTACAATTTGAATAAAAAGGTGATTATACATTTCAATTTTACAAGAAAAAGAAAATTCTTTTTAGGCAATGTGTACCAGTACTAATGCTAATAGTGCCAAGCTTCGATTGGGGGCTCGATTGGGGGTTGTAGCTTAGTCTAAAACAATCTGCGTACAAGTAGCTTGGTGAAAACTAAATGAATGAAGTCCAAAGAACAGCTGACTTGAAGTCATCAATATGGAGACACTATGAGATAGTTTAACAACATGTTAAAATGACCTCATAGACAGGGGCGGATTTAAGCAACAATGATGGGAGGTTGTTGGTAGCAATTTTGCTTTATACAACGTCTTAAACGTCTTATGTAGCTTTCTGTGGCTGATCCCATTTCCTTTACAATTCCTTCCAAACTTTTATATTCTGAATCGTGCAAGGCGAGGAAGCACTACGTGTAAAAACTGATTTTCCAAAGCTGTAATCAAATATCTAAAATAATAAACAGTATTCGAAAGTTTCAAACTAAGTCCGTTCTACTTGGAGCAAAATCCCTGTCAAATATTTCAGTATTCAGTTTTGAAAGTATTGGAGCGCTTTAGCATTTTAGTGTCTATTTTATTGGGAATGACTAAAGAACGTGAAGGGCTTTTCTATACAAATCCTAAAACGAGGGGAAACTGTTGAACATTCGGTACAGGCTCAGAGGAGGAAAATTTTCGCGACCATGCCCTTGTGATTAGCTTAAAACACATTTCAGAATGTTTCCTACAGTCGTTTGCTTGCAGCCTTTAAAAACATGTTGATATTGTCGGAAATATAAACTCCCCCCTAAGGTACTAATTCTCTTGCAGATTTACACTTTTCTCAGACACTGACTTTCTGAGCATTGAGGGAAGGGGGGGGGGGCGGCGGCCGCTACGCTACTGATAAGAAGAAAAATACTGATAAAAAGATAAATAAAGTAAACTCTTGGCGTTAATTTGTTACTACTGACTACCAAAAATGATGTTTACCGAATGGAACAAACCTAAGGACACAGAAATATTGGGGGGGGGGGTGTCGCACCCCCTACACCCTCCCCCGCTAAATCTGTTCCTGCTCATAGAAATTATAGTGTAGGAAAGTAACAGAAAAAACTTACATCCATATTGTGTTCCATCCGATGTCCGTGCGTTAATGGACAAATTCGTACGAATGTACCCAGGGCTGATTAAAGTAACATTGATATTTGAGCTGGCAACTTCGGATCTGAGACAGGTGAAGAAAGCATCGAATGCATGCTTGCTTGCAGTGTCTACAAATTCAGAAATAATATTAAACGATGCAGTTCTCTGCAAGACTAATTAAGACTAACTAAGGCCCAAAATTTTGCCGACTATAACAACTTCGGTACAAAACTTTTTGTCCGTCTTTAAGTCGGGGTCACACTTTTAGAAATACCTCCGACAATCTCATACACCCATTATTCTGACTATTTGCTATCTTGAATAAGGATGAAGAAAAAAACCGTTCCCTAACTCGACTTCCCACTTTCTCGAACGAATTAGAAATTAATTTCTTGAGCAAATTAACTTCCTGTCAGAGTTTAATAGCGCAGGCGTTAAATGTGTTGATTAATAATATATGCCTATAAAGAGGGAAAGTTTGCTTTTTTAATGAATTAAAAGAAAAATTATCACACTTGGTTGAGCAAATTTGAATGAGATATGCATGAAAGAAACTATACCCAAGGAAACAGGAAGATAAATGAGTCAATGCCCCTTAAGACTAAATGAGCCTTTTTTGTAAAGAAGCAATGTCTGACAAAGGGATCTTTGACAGAAACTCATGCTTACATGGTGACCTGAATGGAATTGCTATTTTTCCTTGAACCGTGCTTATTCCAACAATGTGACCTTCTTTTCTTTCAATCATTGACGGTAGCAAAGCTGTATAAAAAATTCATTTGAAATTACAAATCAGTTAGTTACAAACAGGATTTGAAAACACAGGTAGAGTTCTATAGTTCTTGCCAAATACAGTTCTATAATTATTACCAAATAAATTGGGAAGCTTTGGGATGGGGGCTTATTTGTGGATAGGGCTTCAACAGGGTTTTGGAAATCATAAGAAGAAAAGCTCATTTTCAAAGTTTTTTAGACTTCTTTGTGCTCATTTTGATGACTTATATTCTGCAAATAGATGCATACAACAACAAAAATTGATAGAATGCTTTTTTCAGTTCTTCAATTTCTGATTGTCATATCCTATTATTCTAAGTATCATAATTTACTAGACCCAGTTCCCCATATACGGAACTTCTGTAGTTTTTGAGTGATTAAAAGATGGCCTACATACACATGATTTATTAGTTGTTACTACAGGTAATAACACTCATGAACTGGTAATTTACTGTGGACTGATATCATTCATTGCAAAGATTTATATGTTAAGGTTGGGGCTTATTAGCGATTCTTGGCTTTGGGGTGGAGCACAACTTTTGAACAGGTGTCTACCAGGGGACAATGCAATGATAAAAGGACAGATTATTTTCCTATTTTCAAAACACTTCCCTGATAATATAATTACCAGCAAGAAAGGGCATTTAAAACATTTATACTAAAGGAAATGCACAGATAACCCATTCAAAATACTGAATAAATACAATTTGAGTTTATCAAATTATTGTGTTCATTAAGGGTTTTTGAAAATGTCTATTACTTCCAAAGTACATTTATGTAATTCTATTTTAATGTATTTCGTCTAGAAAAAACTTACATTTGGTAAGAAGCAATGGTCCAAAATAGTTAACATTCATCAGCTGCCTATGCACTTCCATTTTAGTTTGAACTATGCTGCCTCTGCAACTTATCCCAGCATTATTGATAAGAATATCAATATGGCCATATGCCATGAGAGCCAGTTCCGCAGCTTTTGTTATGCTTTCACAATCGCTCAGATCAATTGGTATAACCTTTGGCCCAAGTGCAGAATCCTTGAAAATAAGATCACTGTTTAATATAAATGAATCTTTATATTAAAATGGTTTAATAAGAAAGCAAACCAAAATGGAAGACTGAAGGGTGTTAAACTCAGAATTTGAGTAAGAGGTAGTATGCCAAAGACTACATTGAATTATAAAGCAATCAAATGAATTTTTCAAAGTAGATCAGCCTTGATTCATTAAAGCAAATCAATTTATCATATGTTCACTCTTAATTTTGATGGTAGATTTCAATTGCAATTTAATTTTGACACAACATACAACACTCAACAACAAATACATCTAAAAGAACAAATTTCATTTCCAAAACACATGAAAATTAAAAGAGGTAAATATGTGATTGACTTAAAATAGTGTTTACCTAAACAAAGAGTGGACAGAAGTGCAAGCAATTGAAACACAAATTTTTGGTGGTTTACATTTCTTGCACTGTAAATAAATTTCACATGAGAAGGACATAATCTAAGAGTTTGACATAACAAATGCTTCCTTTTTTATTTTCATTTTCAAATAATTTAAGGATCAATAGCCCTTTAGGGAATGCTTTTTTACAAGAGGCCCTCCATTTAATTTTTACATAATTACAATTGTAACCAAAGCTAATGCATAACACAAGCAATGTAGTCACCAATCACAATTACCAGGCTGTATCTTTTAATGATGCTGTCTTTCACTTCCTCGAGCTTCTCCACATTTCTTGCTGATAATATCAGCTTTGCACCAGCTTCAGCAAATCTGTATGCACATGCTAGCAATTTAAGCAAGTATACTCATGTAAAAATTGTATGCACATGCATTATCATATGGAAAAACTTTCCAATACTTTGATACTTCAATTCCATATTCAATTTATCAGCATGTTGAAAATCAGCCTGCAGAGTACGACAAATTCAACTGAAATCTTGAATGCACAAGTACAATGACTTTGTTACAAGAGTCCATTTTCATTGTGCACATTAGTGCGTACAATGATAGCTCCAAAGATAAGAAAATGTACATTATTGAAAGTTATTTTGTTATTAAAGCAATGAATCATTATGTTGATCTTGAGGAAGCTTAAAAAATTTTTCATTTCCCCTAAGCAATAGGACAAATCCATGCCACGCCCATATCCCAAAATGCCACACCCTTAACCAGGTGTGCAGGGACATTTTAGAAAAAAACTTCAGTAGTAGAGCCTTACCATACACTGCAATATTGATTGAATTGCTTACATAAACCTATATTATGGGAAAATCAACATTTTTTTATTAATAAATTCAATTCACAAAAGAGGATCCGAAAAGTTTATCTGTTTTCATCATTACCTTTTCCCAGACCTGAGGAAGCACCAGTTATAAGGACAACTTTGTCTTTAACATCGAAAACTTTACGTGGCTTGAAAATTGTTTTCTTCAACCACCATAACACGAAGCAAGGAACAACAAAAACTATTAAAGGAAGCATCTCCAACAGCAGAAAGGATTCGGTGTATTTCTCTGTCCCAGAAGTTTCAAGTTCTTTCATTGAGTTCACCATAGAAATAGTAGAGCTAGAATGCGCGCTCTATTGTTCGCCTATTGTTTTCTGCGTAATACCAATGGGCAGCAAAGATGGTAGCAACATGTTGGCAAAAAGCTTTTGTGGCGTACATTGTACACCAATAAGAAGCTATGGACTTACCGCTTCTGCGTGGTGATACGAGAAGACAAATTTCATGGAACCTTTTCAGCGCCTAAATAGAAGAAGGTAAAGCACTTATTTACTTTTTCCTTACGCCACAGCGAGTCGTTTTACGGTTTTTCTTCGTATTTTGTTTGGACTCCTTTCTCTGCCAAATTTCCTTTCGTAGGCCAGCTTAGTAATTAATTATGTCTAAATCCAATTTCAAGTTCATTATAATTAGACAACCTTTAACCATTACAAATGAGTATGCGTTATTATTTTTGAGCAGTACTTAATAAATTCCTCAGGTTTTTGGCCTAGAAGAAACGCGGAAGTTACTGGTAAACAAATGTGTCAACAACAGCGTGATTCAGTGTCTAGAAAGTCTTGTTGAAACTTGATGCATTCGAGGCTTAAATTTGCTTAAATTACCTTGAAATCAAATCCCAGCCACTAGGTTTGGGCAATTTCCAAGTTTTGAATCAACATGTTCCAATTCAAATGAATATATGTGAACAGCGTTGTTGTTTTCAGCTGAAATGATGTGCAGTAGAACGAGACTCCAAGTGACTAAGAATCCCTCCCCCAAACCTTAAGCAAAAGCAGATATGAATCTAAAATCCAGTCGCTAGAATTATTTTATCCTTGAATATGGTATCTTAGAACTAAATATTTACATTTTTTACAGATTGAAGATAAAGATGGCATTTCCTCCATCTGTAATAAAAAGCCCACCAGGTTACTTAACCGCCGCCTGGCACTCGGCGTTACCTCATGGTACAAGTTTTATAATATTTTTTGAAATTATTTCTTATTGTGTAATGTTCTTGAAATCATATTATATTATTCATTGTAAAACAAAATTTGCTTTGTAAGTTTATGCCTTCTTGAAGACTGATTTCCTTTTATTATACGTTCTGTATAGACCCTTCCAAATTGGTGGTAAAACAACACAAGGTAATTCTTAATGATCTGTTTAATCAAAATTGTGATATGGTCATCTCTAAGGTGTTCATCAAGGACATGACAGTGTTGTGAGTGCTCTTGTAGAGATCTGAAGGTATTGTTTTTCATTTTGTGCAAGACTGATGATGTTCTTTTAGCATTGATTTCCTTTGAAATACATTGCCACCTGCATAATTCTGTTCTAGCAAGTTTGTCTGTACACTCAACTATCTTGTACACTGACCATGATGGAACCAACAAATTTCCATACCGTTTGCAAGAAAGAAGAGAGAGGTGGCTCTGGTATCCATGGTCACCTGAACTGTCAGAACTTTGATAAAGGGAAACTGCACAGTCTGGACAATCTAATGATTCCAAAATTTTCTTAACAATGTAGCCTGAAATGTAGTGGAGGACATCAGATCTCCAAACATTGTTTGTAAGTAGCATATTTGAGATGTTCGAGTCAATCTTATTATCTGGAATGTTTTTAGAATTTTCAAAATCAATACAGTTTGCTGTTGATGGAGATTCAATCTTATTTTTTAGAAGTAACTGTCTCAAAGCATATTTGAACTGGAGTGCAGTTGGATTATTGTTCCAACCTAGTCTACTTCGAATTTTGGAAAAGTACATCTCCAGTTGGTCTTGAGAGAAGCGATAAGTTAGAACATACTCAAATGGTGCTTCTGATCGTTCTAACAAGCCTCTGCTGATTTTCAAGATTGAAATTGATGAGACAGCAAAACCGAGAATAAAAGCCTTCCTTGGACCATTTACAATAGGCCGGCCTGCTGTATCTTTAAGGGATTTAAGGGTCTCAATTCCATTCAGTAAATAGGCTTCTATATCATAGAAATTTTCTAAGCTTATAGGCTTCTTTGTATGCTTTCCAAATTTACTTTTCGAGTTAAGCATATCAAAGATATTGTTCATCAGAAGAATGAAGTCGCTGGTTGCTTTGCTGTCCTTAAATTCTTGCAACCCCAGATTTCTCAAAAAAGTTATTGCAGATGCCACAGAATGGCTTAAAGTCTGCGCTGCAACACTGACCTTCATTTTATGATTCTGCCACTGAATATGCTTTGTCTTGAGTTTATTTGCAAGATTAAGTATGTCATTTTTTTGTGTTCTATAGAGTGCAAGAACATACTCCCAAGATATTCTTTGTCCACCTGGGGTACAAAAGATCTTGATGGTGGAAAAGGCATTTCTTGCAAGCTTCAGCATGTGGCAGATATCAAGAATTACAAAGATCTTTTCATTGGGGTTTGATGGATGTGGAAATGATGTACCAAGGTGTTTTATATCACATCCAAGTTTCTCAGCCATGCTTACATTTTTAAGAGCACCATCAAAGATGACTGCATGAACTTTAGCTCCTCTCTCAGTAAGGAGATTAATTGCTTCACTTATGAGCTGTTTCAATATATTTGCATTTAGGTTGTTCGTTAAAAAGTACCCAATAGGGACATACCATGGCTTTTGTAGCCCTGAAGCCATTAAAACAAGAGCATTTGTTGCCATAGTGTCTGGGGTTTCTGCCTCAAAGTTGCCATAGTCAACATTGCCAACAAATTTTGAATTCTTTTTATCCCATTCCATTTGTTTTCTTATAGCCATTTCATCAAGCATTAGTACACAGTCCTTCTGCCCCTCTTGAACCTTGCCTGCTACATATTCAAAGGTTTTTTTCAAAAAACCTGGTTCACAGTCAATGTTTATAGACCAAGACCTTATTGTTGCTGGGTGTGGCAAATTAAGTGACTTTCTGATGAACTTATAGGCTCTTGGGCTATAGAAGTGCAGAGAAATGGCAAACTCTTTCATTTCTTCAGAATACCTGGAACCAGACCCTTTTCTAAAATTCTGTGCTTCGTTTCTGAAGAGCTCTGTTGTCATATGCCCAAAGTTATCTGCCAACGACTTCTGATTTTCTTCAGAAAGCAATCTATACTTATGAAGCTGTGTCATGAGACCCTCAATAGTTTTTGCTTTCCTAAAATTTCGTGACCTGAGTTTGTTTATTATTTTGTTCTTTTGATTAAGCTTTTTCTTATATTTGTCTTTCATTTTCCTTGGTGAAATAGTTGATGCATATGCATGATCGAGTTTGACCTGCTTTGGATCAAGTGTGGGTGGTGTTTCTGCTTGCTTAGGATTAGACCTTTTAACAGGAGAGGCTCTTTTCTTTGTACATGGCTTTTGCAGATGTGCAGGGAAATTGAAAACAGAGGGGACAGCATCTTTATTCAAATACTTTTTACCTAAAGACTCTGAGTTTGGCATGGAGGGAGGATAGCTATAGTCACTTGGAAGAAAATGCTTTTCACAAATTCGTTGCGATGAAGAAGGATGCCAATGTTTACGACGCATTGCAATTAGCCATTTATGTAACAATGACTGATTCTGAAGTGGAAACCTGTTTAGAATTGGGCTCATAGTTAAATATATAACAGTATTTTTTGTACAAAATATATGTTTTGTGATTCTTCCACATTATTTGCATAATTGAAAACTAAGGACTTGCTTTTGGCTTTTAAAAATACAATTTTGTAATATTTGGCAAAGTTAACATTTTGGTCGTTTTATATACTAATAAATAAAAGAGAATTGAGCTCAAGATATTTGTCTGTCTTTGAATTTTAGAAAAATTATGAGCTGCTAATCTAAAATGAATATTGCTTAAAATAACCTGTATTCTACCCCCCCCCCTCTACCGTTATTATAATCCTGTATAAAAACAGGATAGGAATGGAAATTTTAACCTATCTATGCATTTCCTAATAAACTCGTTACAAAAAGGGATATATGGTACCACATAGCTAAGTATGTATTTACTAAAATACATAAGAATACTATATATGCCCCCCTTTTTACCAGTTTGTTGGGAAATTTTGCTAGAATGTTAGAAATTGTTGGAAAATTTATCTTCAAAATCCGAATTATTTCGTGAGATGATTATTATGTCTCTACCATCTGCTTGTAAACATAGTAATAATGCTTGTAAACATAAATATCGTTGATGAAGAGCAGTTTATCAAAATAATTAATAATAGTATAATAGAATTTTTGGAAGTTTTTTTATATTTAAATTCCTATCAAGAATAAAGAGAAACACAGTACCCACAAATGGGCCTACTTACTTGTGGAACGATATGTTTGTTTGATCGGGAAGCAAGTCTTTTTTAGGAATCCATCGATTCTGGCAGCCGAAAGCAGCACACGACACTACCATTTTCTTATCTTTAAACGCTGAATTATCTTTAAATGTTGACAACAGTATATTAGATTGATAAGTGAGCCAAGCGCGTATACGGTGATACGAGGCAATACTGTCCGCTGTGATTTCCCGCGTATTTTTTTGCCAACTTGTTGCTACCATTTTGGATCCCCATAGTTCGCACGCGTCACGTGATAGACCGCGCATTCTAGCGCTACTATTTCTATGGAGTTCACTCAAACGAGTCTCGAACGAGGTCACATCAATATGAAAGCGAGTTTCTCTAAAAATGGAAACCAACATCGCATGGGCAAAAACTAATAAGAAACCTACCTCTGATTGATACATATTGCTACTGTATTGTGCAAAATTGACCAACAGATCTCTTTAGACACCACTATATGCCGTAGAGATAATTTGTTATGATTTGAACTACCCATGTTAATCCAAATAAAATAATACACATTCTGGTCCGTGCAAAGCCACTGCTCACTGCTGAAGCCCAACTAGGAAACAAGATGAATGCCAAAGGACTCCAGAAGTTGTTAATCTCCACGACCAAAGCTCAACAGAGACTCTTGAATAAAAAGTTTCTGAGTTATATAAGAAGTGAGTTTGTCAACCTTTCGTGAAGAAAAAGTATTTTAATTTATGCTCGAAACCAGCTTGATAACTGGAAACACAGGCCTAGTTTTTCAAAAATATGCCGAAATAAAAAATTTTCCCTATCGTTGGGTTTATTATTTTATATTTATTCTTTTTTTCTAAATTGGTATAGTTTGTTTTGATACAAATATAAAAAAGTCGTGTAGAGATTTCACAGAAATAATAGATAAGTCATTTTATCAAAGATATTGAGTTTGACAACTTTGTTTGTAAAATTCCTCTATCCTGGTGAGATGTTTCAAAATTGAAAGCGATTTTTTAGTTTTTTAATTTTTAGTACTTATTTTTTAGCAAAGCAACGGTTCTACAAAAACGTAACAATCAACGAAGATAAAGGTATCTATTCATAGTTACCATACATTCAAGTGTAAATGAATGTCAGTGTTATAAATTGGGGGTATTTCATTCATTATGACTTTTTAAATACAAGCATTCTTATTCTTGCGATTTTTGTACTTTCTTATCTTGTTAATGTTTAATTATTTTGTCAATGTATACTAAAATTATTTTGTTAAGAAAAGTTCTTTTAAATCAGATTGTAAATTTAATTTTGACAATAAAAGACTTTTGAACAAAATTGCCATGACACCCTGATAAATAAAGTCTTGGAACCAGAACACAATAGCTGAAGAACTGCTATTTTAAATAAAATACACATTATTTGAATTTTTCCAGGAAAGTATTTCATACAGTTGGATGGCAAGAATGTGAAAACTCCTCTTAGGAATGATCTGTATGCTCCAACACAAAAACTTGCATCAATAGTTGCTTCTGAGTGGAGTTCACAAAAACAGACAATATTGGCTCATCAAATGCACATGGTAAGCCAACTCGCATAAATTATTTTAAGTGACTGTTTTGTGAACAACAACAGTAAGCCTTGAATAAAAGTCATGCCTTTCAACTCTCATTTTCCAGCCATTTGAAAACAGAGTTAATATGTAATATGTTTAAGACATTGTTTCTTAACAATCCTTTAAGAAAACTTTTCTGATCAGCAGCATTTATCATCCAGAAACTGTTTTTATTAAGACACCATTAAATAGATCTTTTTCTGTAACTTTTTCAGAAACATTTTTTGACACTTAACTCAAGTTTCACTTTATTTATTTTTTAGCAAAATTTCTGTTGGAAAAAATATTATATATATTTGGATAATACTAATGAATTGAACACTAACATCCTACCAAGATTTTTGATGATGTGCCACCAAGATTTTTGAGTTTTGAAAAAGTTATATTTACATGTAATTTTTGTTTTGCAATATAATTAAAAGTAATCTTACAGCTACATGCTAGAAAAATAATAATTGAAAATTTTCAATGTTTTGTCTTTCTAGACTTCATTATGCAACACCTGCATTGATAACCCAAGGAAAAGAACAAAAGAGGACATGATACATGATGCCCTCAGTTTTTTAAATTCAGATACTTTGTGGTAATGTTTCCTTTCATGCTTTTTTGAGAATGCCAAATTTTCTTAAATTATAAAATATTTTAGATACAAGTAACAGATAAGTTGCCAATAAATACAAAGTTTTTAGTTGTAGTGCTTCAAATAAAATGTTGAAAGAAATATAATGCTGCAAGTTATAAATGTTTTCTTATTAGTGCAAGAACACCTATCGAAGAATCAGAACACACTGCAAAGATGCAGAGTGAAAAATGGGACCCAGTACTTCATTGGTTCAGCAAACGGTATGGAGCTTCTTTAAGAAACATCTTAGTTTATAGCTTTAGAATAGATGTAAAATTGCCAATTATTTTTTAAATGACCATTGTCAATCTGTACAAAACTGTTCTTTGGTACTGCCAATTTACATATCCCATTGTTCTGCATCTACAGTTACAGGGCCAATTACCCCAAAGTATGATCCTTTCATGTTATGAGCAATGTTTCAACCTTCATTAAACTGGCCAAGACATTATAATCTCAAAGCCAAGTATGTTACCATTTCAGTCTTCTTTGCATGTTACAAGATCTGAAAGCAACAGATGTCAGGAAACCAGATCTGAGTGTTATGTAGGGCAAAGCACCAAACCATTAAATTGCTATAAATTACTCCTCCTTTTCAAAACCTTCTTTTAGATTTGATGTTGAAATTGTGTCAAGTACTGATATTTTTGGCTTTGAGCAACCTGAAATGACTATGTTGAAAATGAAGCAGTATTTATCAAAGCTCAGCAGATGGCAACTTGAAGGTACTTACAAAAATATTAAAATTTTTCCATTGTCCAAAATATTTTGATTACAATGTATTTGTCTTTGGTCTCTGTAATTTGTGATTCGTGTTTATGCCATTTTTCCCTAGGTCTGGAGTTTTCAGTAGATAGTGTCAAATCTTTTATCATCCCATTTGCTGTTATTGAAAATTATACAACAATAAACGAAGCAATATATCTTGCAAGACTAGAAGTGAACCTGCAGGTAATCAAACAAATATGTCTAAGTATGTCCAATTAACATATGATTTGAAATAATTTAAAAACTGATGCAATATTTCACTTTGTAACTGTACACTTTATTTTTAAAATTTTAAAGTAGCCTTTTTGAGAATTTTAGCTTCTAAAAATAACCAAACTATCATTTCTCTACTACAAGATTTTAAAAAACCAAATATCTAGCAACAGGTCAACTAATCACTGGATTTTGCTCATTTGACCTTATACCAAGCCAGAGGAAGATGATTGTTTAAGATAAGATAAGGCACATGTCCTCAGGGGCATTGTGAAAAGGAAAGGGTATCAAATGAAAAATCACCTTTCAAACAAGGTATTTTAATTGGTAATTGAACCTAAAAGTTGCGCTTAAGTTTTAATCGTCAATATTATAAAAGCCAGCAAAATGTTGGTGGTAGATGTGGAAAGCATCTTAAAGTGCTGGGGGCACACATCTCGAAAATGCACACCGCTGTAAGCAGCAAATATGCATGTTACCTCTATTTCTAAAATGCAGGGCCACTTGCCCCAATTCCTGTATCTGGTTGATCAGTTTAGCTTGGCTAGGCCATTATAAGTAATCTTTATCACCAAAAATCATTGGTCACTTAATTAGGTATCAGATGACACTTAAAACATATATTACTATGTATTTCTTATTTTATTGAAGATTGAAAAATGGGGCAGTGTGGAATGGTATCATGATATCGAAAAAGAAAACCAATTGGCACATATGTCGGCTGGTGTACTGTTTTATCAGCTCTGTTCTGAGAGCTTTGATGATGAGCTGTAACTTAGAAACTATATAACTTTCAACTTTTTGTCTTAATTTTATAATCTTTCTTCATAGAAGTGTTTCTAACACAAGAGTTAAAGTTATGGCTTTATTTGCATTTTAAAGAATGTAATATTGCAGTTTCAATGAGTGCTCTTGCAACAATTTTAATGCAAATCATACCACTTGGGCTGTTGAGCCATCAAATTGTGAGACTGATATTATCTCAAGATATGCTTGTTTGTTATTGTCTGTTCTTCTGGTGCACTATAAATTTGAATCAAAATATAGTTTGGTTTTCATTTAATATGCTTCTTTAAAAAATGAAATATTTATGATGTTTGTGATGTGTTAGCAGGACAACAGAGCCACAAATAATTTCTAAACAGCCAAGAAAAATTTTGAGATGAACAGCTGGAAAAATAAGCTAGTTAATAATATGCCAAATATTAAGAAATAAACTACCAGTAAAGCCTCTTTTTATAAGGTTTTAGCCCCCTCCCCCACTTTTTAGACCCCCCCCACGTTTCTCATCACTCTGTTGTGCCTGAATAAGATGGTTGTTTTTACAGAACACCTCCCTTTCCAATTCAAACCTTTGTCTTCTCTTCATCTGCTGTTAAAGAGGCTGTTGGACACACCCATCATACTATATAACTTAATTGAAGTATGAATGACTTATAATTTACCTTGAAGTACAGTTTGTATCGATCCATGAGGTACTTCCATTTTAATTCAGTTCTTTCCAGTGGGTTCAAGGAAAGTAGTTCATCAACCTAAAACATACATGGGGGTGTCTCATTTAAGAATAAGTTTTAATCTGGTACTGCAAATAAATAGATAAAGATGCAATTTATATTGGTTATTATCCTTTTATTATCGTTTGATGACACGTTTTAAAATGCTGTTTATTCATTATTATAGAAATGAATTAAAAGCTATCTGTATCCAAAAAATTAATGATTTTTAGAATTATTAACGAGACCATATTTTGCAAAAGATAGGGAAGGAGGTTGAAGACGTTTGTCTCATATCCTTTTGTACCATGAAATGTGTGGAATACCTAGTGGTGAGTTATGCAAAATTGTGTTGTGTTAAAATAAACTTTTTGGTTGTGAAAGTCTGATGAACCTGGCTTTGTTAGTGTTCAGCTTTTCTTGTATATGTGAAAAAATGCTGCACCTTTGATCTTACTTTCTCTTTTGATCTTGTAATTGACCATATTTCTCTTTATTGAAAACGTGTCCTTCCATATCCAATCAAAACGCGCTTAAACCCGAGTTGATCTTTCTTGGCCAACAACTTAAAACTTGAATCATGCCAACTGTCTTTATAAAATATTGCATTATGTTTGCTGCGTAAGTCAACCAATTTTCAGGTATCAAAAATTAAAACTAAATTGGTTAGAAATTTCATCAAACGTGTTGTCATAGTTTATTTAAAACTATGACATAAAAGCTACCTCTAAGGTTTATAAGTAAACTTACATTGTGTTCCAATAACTTTTCAGCAATAAATCCACTGAGTCGAAAATTCGCCATGCCTCCTGTATGATCGCTTATATCGACTCTAATATTCATTTTCTTTACGGTAGTCTGTTGGTTGAATTGCTGTTTTCCGTCGTTAGTAGATCCTTGCAAAATGGAGTAGCACTTTTCATTGGTACACGATCCAGTTTCTCGGTCAACAACTCTTCTACATGCAGAGCTAAGACAGAATAGAAAAAAATTTGATTACACATCATGCATTCCTCATTAAAGCACGATGTATGTCGTTGCATGGCAGTATCTAAGCAGTTTTCACTACCATCCTGTGTCACCCAAAAATTATTGCTGATAGCCATTAAAGATGCAAAGGTGGGAAATACTTCAATATTTTTTTACCAAAGAGAACAAATACAGTTAAAGGAAAAATAGGAAGAAAAATACCATCGATAAATAAAATTTGGCGGACAAACAGAGAACATTGATTAGAATAAAACTTAGTAAAAAAGGGTGATAAGTAGTTATTATTTTGTCAATTGAGCATTAATTGGGAAGATAATTCTATTTTGTTAGGGAATCCGATGAGAACAGGTTTTTGCCTAGAAAGACTAAGTTACTCTTTTACAACTGGTATTGCGAGGGTCTGTTGATAAAAAATATCAAACATAACCTGTAGAAATGATCAAAGTGTGAATAACAGTACAGATAAGAAGATACGATTTTTTTATAGATAGGCTAAAGGGCTATAGCGATATGATTAATGATGATTTACCATGTTTGCACAAAAAATTTATCTTCTACATTTGATGAATCAATGTTGATATTTGTTATGCATCCGTAAATTATTCCATGCAGAAATCGATCATTTTCGTTGTACTTGTCATTTATCCATTGCTGGACTTTCTCTATTGTGTAGACATCCGTGATTTGTCCTGCTTTGGGAAAAAAAGATCAATGTCAATTTCATCTATTTAATGACTTGGTATCATAGATTATGGTAAACCTAGTCCAATTCATGTACTCGTTTCTTTATTTTTTATTAATCATAACTTCTTGTTGGTTGAAATGAAAGCTCTTATGTCTTATGTCTTATGTCTAAAAGAAACAAAGATTTTGTCATCATGTAGAAAACCAGATTTTGTCTGTAACGTTTCAAGAGGTGAACCGACAAGAAACGATTTTTTCAAAATAGAAAACAAGCACCCCATATACTGGTGAGCAAAATCAAGCAAATTAGCAAATTTCTCGGCATAATATCGGCTAAATCGGTGATTTGCTGAAACATTTGAAAAAATTCATACCACACGATAACTAAGATCAATTTTCATTTATAACTAAAGATATTTTGAAATTTTTAGCAAAAATACCAACTTTAAAGACAGCTTTTTAGAGAATAGATATTTCTAAAAGAATTGCGTTAAATTCCACATTATTCTAATACACAAGCAAAAGTGCGAAGCATCCTTGAACATCTGGTAAACTTCTACCTTCTAACTACGCTAAAAATATGAAAATTCATTCGATTAAAGTTCCAATCCTGTATGAAAATTGGCCGAATGGGTAAAGTTTTTCAAAAAACCATGAGGGTGGCAGGGTAGGCAGAGGGGTGGCAAAAAGGGAGGCAGAGGGAACCTTGGTCCCCTCAATATTTTAGAAGGTCTCCAAAAAAACGTTTGCAGATCGCACAGAGTTTGGAAACATGTTGCCTCTTAACCTTCTCTCCCATGACTCTATTGGTTATTACATGTTTGTGTACTGCCGCTGTACGTTATTTTTAATATAGTCATTTCTATATGTTTATAAAAAAGTTGCCCCCCCCCCCCCAATGTCAAAGTCCTAACTACTCCCATTGGGGCAAGATAGAGATTTGTGTTTGGCTAACGACTGTTGAATCATCTAATGAACGGGATTTAACCGCTAATCACACGGCTAAACGTGGTGCGCAGCTTCATGTCTGCACTGATATTCATCTAATTTTGTTATGTTATTGTTACGTTCGGTGGCTCGATGTGCGTTGGCAGTGACCCTAAATTTCACTAAATTTATTATTAATATTGGTTATCAAATCAACCATTAGCATTTGTTAATATTTTAGTGATTTTTACTATTTGTTGTGGGATTTTAGTAGATATTTTATGCGAAAGAAAGAATACAATTTATCAGAAGTTATCAACGTTTTTATGAAAAAAGTCCGGTCATCAAATTTTTCTTTTAAAACAAAAGGCTCTGGTGGTGATCGCCACTTTGCCACCCTAAAATCAATAAAAATAAAAAGACTATTTTCTTCAAAAAAACCTAAGGTGAAAGTAAAGGAATTTTTGGCAAATTTTTCAATGCAGATAGTCTGAATACTTTATAAAAGCTGCGAGAAGAGGGGCCAGACAATTGTCTAAAAGACTGAGTACACCTCTAAATTAAACTTATGTTGTCGTCTAAACTATATAGGTAGACTTGCCGTCATACAGTTCAATTGAATATTAAAATGAATACTGCACACTCAAAATAAACATTTAACCATCTATAAACAATGATGCGAATTTTTACTTAAAAACAATATTTGAGATCTTACATGGTATGGTGGTTGACTGTGGATCAGCCATGAACTCCTCGTCTAAGACATCGATGCTCTGCGCATAATTGTACAGCAAATGTGCATCTGGGATATCTAGGGAAATTAATTGCATTATGAATTTTTTTACTCCCCTATATTAGTTTGTAGCATTATCAAACAAAGGGTTACTTAAAGCTACCAGCTTCTGATTATAGCCATTTTATGGGACTTCAGTTGGATGGACACTATGTATGTATCCATGTATGTAATTCGCTACATTTATTGTATTTACAAGTTATAAAAGTTAAAAAAAATAGAATACAATAATATAAATTCAAAAAAGAGAAACACCTCTTATTTCAGTGGCAGGGATAGGATTAAAATGTCAAGTTGGCTTTATTTCCATAATGGTCTTTTTGGATGTGCTGGTTTGACAGGAAAATAACAAGAAAAATAATGAAAAAGGACGATGTCTTAGAATTTGAAACACCTCACGAAAACCAAATTTGGAGCATTGAGAACATTAAAGTTTAGGAGCGTCCATGTTGACATAAATAAGAAGTTTTACATAGATACGAAGTAATGGAAATCTTTCAAACAAAAGCTAGTGGTTTTGCTTTCATCATTTTTAGTATTTTTGCTATTTGGGCATTTATGGTGTCGACTACATTACATCGTCTGTTTTCAATAACCCAAACAACTGCAGTTTGTTCAAACAAATCTCATTTACATACAGCAAGGTTTTTCTCTTTCAAATTATCGCTGAGAACAACGATCAAGGTATCAGTGAGAGGGGTCCTATTTTTTTATCCTAAGGAGCAATTGTTGGCAGGGTCGTAGTTACTAGTGTTTTTGAGGAGGGGCGGGAGGAGATGTTGAGCCCTCTAAAAATTAAGCAAATTCCTTGTTTCAAATGAACACTACTTTTGTTGATATTTTTAACAAACAATAGTGCCACACATGGTTCTATCCTTTCCACAGCACTGACTGTAGGTAAATCAAACTGAAACTTGTTTATTTGCAGTCAGAAAACGATAAAGATAATTAAGTATCAATCTTTTACATTAAATGATTTAAGGAATTTGCTTCACGTGTTCTGGATGAAAACTGATAAAAAATCTTTTTAAGCCTAGTACGAACCTGGATTGACCGTGATTATCGTCTTTCCGTCACATGTTGCCACCATGCGTTTTCTGAAGTCATCATATTGGGCTTTCACATCAGCAAAGAATAAAACTAGAAATGGGAACATTTGAAAAGGAAATTTTCCTTTCTTTTGAGAATATATAAAGTAATGTATTAATGTGGATTATCAATAATAGTGAGATTTAGTGCTATAAATAATAATAACAGTGATATACACAAGACTTGCACATAATTGAATGGAGTATAGGAAATGTCGTTTGCTGCCAAATGTCATGCTCATGTCACGAAACCAGGCTTAATCAAATTCCTTTTAGTTATAAAGCAAGTCTATTATTTATACACTTTTTTTACAAATTAAAATGCGATGTCATACACGTCAAAAGGGTTCCCCATTTCCCCTACTTTCCTATTTCCCATTTAAGCAATTTCATAAAAATTTTGAGAAATTTCTTTTGCAAAATAGTTTCTTGTTCTTGTTCAATTCGTTTTAGAAACGTGTACAGCAATAATAAGACCCCATCAAACTCGCTACCTACTTTTTACCAATTATTAATGTTTCCAAGTCTGTATACAGTATAACGACTTCAAACGATTCTGGCGTTTTATACAGACAAAAAGAACTTAACAGAGATCAGTTGTAAAAAATCATTACTGAACGGGTTATAGGATCCCCTTAATGACACAGTTAAATTACCTGTCTCATGAGGAGTCCAGCCTTCAGCCAGCCAACTCAACTCTTCGCTCCATCTAACAAACAATATTAATGGAGTGTAATGCAAATAGCAAATAGCAGTGGATGACAAATTATGAAATCTCATATATCCACAGCCTGGATAACTGAACATCTTAATATATTTTGCTTATATACCATGACTTTTATTTTATCAGTGTAATATACTGATTAGCACTAGCTAAAAAATTCACAGCTGTGACATATGGGATACAGAATAAAACGTCATCTCCAAAATGATTCATGTCTGCTCTGGAAGGGTTTTCTAAAAAAATGCTACTTTTGTAGATGACATAATACTATACGAATACCCTTTGTTTTTTTCAGTTTATACTTAAAGAAAAATACTCTTGACCCAAGGCAAGAAATTGCGGTTACTGTCGGTGACCATTAAAGAGGGAGTACCGGGGTAGTTGCCCCCATTTTTCAAGGAGTGTAAAATAAAAAAATTATCGAGGAAGAAACTTGGTCGTAAAAATTTTGTTATGGTTTTGTTCTGTTCTTAAAAAGAATCATCTTTGTACAAAGCTGTTCCGTTACAGTTTCCCATTTGTATGACAACCGGCAAAAGAAATCTCTAGACAGTTGTCTATTATAAATAGAGGCGAACCGTTTTTTGGCGGTAGAGAACTTGAAAATGGCTTTTAAAAAAGGAAACATTCTATAACATATTTTATAAAATATAACACATTTTATATAGCCAATAAAACACATTTTATATAGCCAATATAATACATTTTATATAGCTAATATATTACATTTTATATAGCCAATATAGTACATTTTATATAGCCAATATAACACATTTTATTACATTTTATAACATATAGCCAGTATTTTATAAAATGCTTGCTTTTTACAAAGCCTTTATAAATAGAGGCTTTGAAATAGAGGGGGTGGGAGTGATCAGGCTAGGCAACGATTGTAATTGGGTTTAGTCCTTTACATTGCTTTGCCCTCCCGCATTTCAACTACATACTAGGATCTTTGTCATTATGAATTAGTAAAAGATTTCAATGTGTGGATATCAATGTGTATAGGTGTTTAATGTATATGGAAATATTTATTGCATGTTCGTTAAAATACAGGAAATATTTATTGCTTCAAAGACAGGTCCATTGTGTATGTCTTAATTTTACAGGAGGTATAGTTAAGATATAACGGACACATTAACTTCACATGAGAACAGTTTTTTGTTAGTGCTTACTGATTGACAATAAAGTTATTATGAAGATACTTTTGTCTTAAACTGTTTGCCGAGCACAAAATTTTATCAGGTATATTTATTCCCTTAACAAATTATTGTGATCTCCCTGTTTTTGACCGAGTCTCCCTGTTTTTCTTTAGGAAAAATCTAAAATCTCCAGGTTTTGAAAATTTAAGGTTGACAGGTCTGCAAATACATCAATGATAAACATCAAAATAGCTCACATTACAATTGGAAAGGAGACACAGCTATCATCGAAAACCAGTAATTCTCTTCTTTGAATCGTTTTCCCAGACTTTGTTATGATTTCTTTCGGACTTCCACTCTAATGAAATGATACCATGTGTTCTGAATGCATATTTAAAAATAGAACTTCGATAAGATCTACTATGTGTATCTCTGTTTGTTAGCTTGGGGGTGCCTAAAAGGTTTTGTCCATTAAATTTGAGTTTGAAATGTTTTAGATTTTTAGGGATCAATAGTGAGGAGCAGCGGAAAATCTTTTCAAATTTGTGGAGGTTTGCTTTTGATAATGTCAACAACAATTAACAGTCATTTGGAGAAATGTTCTGACAACTCCCTTTTCACCTAAAACGTTAAACCAAGGATAACTTTGAGCAAGGCTATCAGATTTGCAGTTACTAGTGAGAAAAACCTTCTTTTAAATCTAAGAAAACTTACGTCTCGTAATACCGCCAGCAAATTAAGATGAAGACAATTCAGATTTTGTCCGTTGGCAATAATGTCACCAAGTTTGTAATAATCGTACGTTTCCTTCACAGGGATGAAAGCAAACGATGCAAACTCGTCTATGCTACAGCGTTCTATAGTAGCATGGGTTTCGTTTGCAACAATGTTGAACTGACTAAAGGAAAACGACAGCAGTAAATAAACAAAATAAGTTTTCAGACCTCTTTTTATCTAGATGTGATTAGCTTAAGAGATGAATTTAACAAAATGCTTCCACTAGCACATGGCTTTTTCTTCAAGATGAACGATTTTGGTATGTCACATATAAAGGCATTGCATTTACAGTTAGCTCCATCTCACTTTTGGCCAATCCTTTAAAAACATTTCATGTTACTGCTAATTTTGTTTCATTTTGTAACCAAATGTTAGTGGGTAAAGTGAGTCAAACATTAACGTGGTTGTGCCTATAAAGATGTTACCTATTCGTGTGTCTAGTATGTCGAGTTTTTGTCTTGTTCAAACATTGCTTGAATTGCTCAAGTTCAAGTGGCCAGATATTCATTACTCTCTACCCTGGGTACCAGAGTCTGATGAATCCAGGGATATAGTATTGTAGACGGCAGCGGTGGCAAAGAATGAGTGGATGTGGGAAGGGGAAGGATCCAGTTCAATCAATGTTTTCTATTTCCAATCCTCGCTCAAAAAATATTTCTGAGACTAGTTTCGAACAATATTTCTGAGACTAAATAATGGAGACTCTGGCACCCAGGGTGATTACTCTCTTCAAAGGTGAGTCTCTACGTGTCATGCAAACATGGTGTACCCCGCTTTGTGGCTGGGCTTTTATTTGGCTTCAATCCAGCTTCACTCTTGATTTCGTCCCAAAGTAGTAAGGGTGTTATACTCTAAATATTTTTCTATTCGCAAACTCAATCGATTACTTGATAAAACGTCGATAAATTTAATATAGAAATTTGACAAAGAGCAGAGTGTACTGTGAATCAAAGATGGCATGCGCTAGCATCGAAATAATGAATGTCATGAATAGTAAACTTGATATTTCACCTGGGTGTCCATGGATTGAACTTCTCTTCAGCTTGAGTGTTTTGTTTGTTTTGAACCATGACATTCTTAATCTCAACTGAAAAATTCATATTTTTTCAATACTAAACAAATAAATATAATAAAGAAGTATGGCTGCAAGCTGTGTATGATAGTTGTCTCCAGAGAGGGTAACCAAAGGGGCAGTTATGAGATTTTTAGTGATTTTCAACAAACAAAAATATCATATCTTGGAAAATGCAGCTTGATAATAAAGGAGATAAACATAACACGACAAGAAGAGACGTTTTTAAACTTTTTCAACAACTTTGATCCAATTGAATTGAAAGACAAATTCATTATCAGATTGACAAATTCAGTAACACATTCCAGTTACAAATCCAGGTTAGACAAAATCAGTTTCACATAATTATAGACAGAAATCTCTCATAACATTACTCAGAAATACAGACCAGCATCCCCAATTCGAAATGATTTCGCGATATCTTTAATAAATGTTTCACTGCCCCAGCACGTGACGTTTGCAAAATCAGTGACAGAGTCCCTTAGGACAAAAGTAAGTTGCCATCTCATTTGCGAAGGATCTGTTAAAAGAATGAAAAAAGTGCATTTTCACAGGCTCTTTGACAATGCTCTTAGGTTCTTCAAAGATTTTTTATTTCCTGACTCATTCGGAGAGCATATCATCTAAAATTTTCCCCGCCCCCTTACTGTTGTTGCCTTCCATATGGTGCAAGTACTGTGGTAAAAGCAGGCTTTTAAGAAAGATGTTTCAAAAGCCAAATAAACAAGCTAGGGTCAAGGTGACCCCATCAACACCCCCGAATAACTAAAGCATTTACAGTGTATCCAACCCACTTCTAGCTTGGCTTCAAAACAATTGCGTTTTTGTTATCGACGCGAAAGCTATAATTGGCCTTGGCTACCAAGAAATTGAAAGAATAGAGGGATAAGATGGTTTTTTGGACCAACTAGGTTATCAGCAGGGATGGGATGTGCTCCTTATTTAACATCACTTATTATCATAAAGTTTTACATAAAAAATATTTATGTTGGCTGGCTGATGTTGTCCTGCATAAATTCGAGCGCATGGACGGGCGTACCTTGCAAGCAGCTATTTACAGGGTGTACGAGCCCTCTGCCTGATTGCCCAGGACCCTCAATATGCATTTAAGTAAAGAAGCAAAGACTTCTTACTTTTTCTGTCAGCGAATGATCTTGCATCTTGCTTTGCTATGATAATACCTGCAATAGACTACGGTAAAAGATTCTTGTTAGACAATGTAGAAAGAGAAACAAAATAAGGGAGGTCTGCAAACTTGCGAATAGGGCACCAAAAGAGTAACAAAATGCCTGGTTAACATAGAAGTGACATGTCCTTTACACATTTTCTGCTCTTTAATATATACACTGAGGTCGATTCGATATTAAGCGGGGTTTGCAATAAATTCGGAAAGGATCATGGCCAAGACCAAAATATAAAAGGAGGAGGGAAGACGATCAACCTTCAGTTAGAACATCGCCGAGACTTCTCTAATTTTGAATTGTCAATCGAACATTGTCACAAATCAAACAGAAGGCATTTAAATTGTAAACTACCATATAGCCATACACTTTGTTCAGTTGATTATAAATGGTTTACTTAGAACTTTGTAGCATTATAATCAGGTTTGATATTTCACTTCCGCTTAACAGCAATTTGGAGGTGGGGAAGGGAGGGGGGCTTCAATTGGCAATTAGTTAACGTCAGAAGAAAATGCAAAATCAGTTTTTTTCAATACTGAACTAAAATATCGGCCATATTCCAGAGACTCTTGCAATGAAGCTGCAACCATTGTGGAATATTTCAACCATCACAGGAAAGATTGACTCACATGGACTCAAAAAGAAGGCATTGTGATACGCTGAATATATAATGTTATAGGTAACAAGTATTACAAACTAAAAGTAAGAAAGTCGCTAAAGAAAAATTGCATATTGAAATTCGCTGTTAAGGGTGCTTTCATGTTCAAATCCAAATATAAGCGCTGGGCTTATATTCGGGGGCTCACATTCGGCAATTGCGTGCCAGGAATGGGGGATTTACATTTGGGGAAGGGGGAACATATTCAGGGATGACTATATTTTGAATTTTAAGGTATGCCTAAACGATTAACCTTTGCCCAAGTCTCATGATTCCCACCTTCAAATGAAAGGTTTTAGGGATACTTCTTGAATCAGAGTAGTATCCTAAATGTCGAAGCAAAGCTAAAGTCAGAAAGAACGATAAGAATCTATAATGTGATCAATACGATATGCGAATTTCGATTACAGCGAAAAACGTCAAGCTTTCCAGCAAATGCTAAACAATAAAGGTAAACAGCGTTTCAGTATTATATTTTTCTCAATTCTTGCTAACTCTTGCTCACCCCTTTCAAGATTCCAGCATGTAAGTTTTCAATATTTTCTCTCGTCGTATTTACGTCTGATTGCATGTTCAGTGTACTGCCATCTGGCCATTGAAGTCTGTTGTTGGCTAAATCGTTTCGTCTCATGATTTATCCACTTAACTGATGTTCTTCTATCTCTACAATTTCAAATTCCCATCTGCAAAAATTAAGCTAATGTGATGAAGGGAATATCAAGGAAAGATGATGGGTTGGTAATGTAGAATGAACCAACAAATATAGCCCTAAATGTAGAACAAGGTTACTGTAAAAAAAGTACTAGAGATTGGCTAAAGTCATCGATCAAAAATCAAAGGAATCAATTACAAATCGGTTTTATCAAACGTATTAAACACTAGATACTATTTTTATAACTAAAAGAAGTTGTAATGTAAAACACGAGGGAGTAAGGCCAATTTACAATACGATAGGCCTACATCAAAATGACGACAAAGCGAATACTTGTAAAAGTGGAATGAAATCCCATTCATGGGCATGTAATAAAGATCTAAAATGACGAATACTACATACTAAAATTGTTTGTAACTAACTTAGATACAAAAAATACGAAATGATAAAAACTTTATATAGACCTACCTCAGTTTCCGCTAAATTTTTGTTTAAAATCGTACGCGTGACGGGAGAATTGAATTTGGCGCGAAATTTACTAGAAACCAGACTCCCTGTAACTCGAAATTGCGGAAATAAATAGCAGTCACATAGACTACTTTTCAACATAATTTTTCATGGTGGTTTAAAGGGAGTCACAACTCATTTAGGGGTCTTGAGTACAGGCTAAAACTCAGTAGGCATATTAATTCTCCTAAAACCAAAATTAGTATTGATCTAGACCTTAAAAAACGAGAAAATCGGTGACCAGCTAACAACAATTATAAAACTTTTTTCGAAAAGTAGACAGTTAATAGATACTGCAATGCAGATGCACTAAATAGCGAGCCAGAAAAACTCAAAAAATTTGGTAGATTCATTTTTTACTGGGTTCTGGACTCTAGCGTTACCCCCTACAAAAGCAGCCATCTACAACAGAATTAAACATGCACAAAATTTGGGAGAGGGGGGAGGCTCGCTCTTGTATCCACGCTTGACATTAAAGTAATATATTAACGATCCAGAAATATAAAATAATCCAGAAATGATAGATACAGCGCATAAAAAGCAAGTTAAGGCATGTTAAGAACATGGTTTTTACAAAAATTGTCTTCTCGGGCTTAAGAAAAACGGAAACAATATATTATATACCACAATATGTAGACCAAAATAGTTACTTTGTTCTTCGAGATCAAAATACATTCCTAAAAATACCGATTTACCAGGAAAAACTGCACGCTTAACTAGTGACAATGAATCCTACTAAAAGTAGGTTAAACTTAAAAGGGAAAGGGTTTATGCTGTCTGCTGTCTGCCCAAATCGTCATAAAATCAAACAAAATCTGGGTTTAAATTAAAATCCTTGAAGAATATACTCATTTTCATACTTCAATAAACTTTGCTCGAACAAATCTTATAAATGATATACTTAAAACTTTGTTGATATTAAATCAGATGGAGATTTTGACTATCAACAGTCATGAAACTCTTTTGCAGTACACGATTAAACATTTTGCAAGTTATCTTCCTATTTCAACGAGAAATCTTATTTTCATCTGACAGTGAAGTTCAATAAGGGATTTTTGAAGGTACATCCTAACAAAGTTGCATAAAACAACGAAAACTACGAAACAACGAAAACACCGTCTGTATAAAAATATGTAATATTATATGATGAAAAATATAAAGTCCAGCAATATTATAGATTACCGTGACTTATGAAAAATGAAAGTCTTGTTTTCCATATGACATATATGTCAGCTTAATAACATTTTACGTCTCAAATCTGAGACTGAAAAAAACAAGAGTATAGTCAGATTGTGCACTAATATACTAAACTAATCTAAAAATGACTGAAAACTTCCAGGGACGGACGAAAATGTATCTAAGAACTGGCTGTAGAGTCACCTGATGAAACAGAGAGCTGGGAAAACTGAGACGCTGTAGAAACTATGGACATCCTCGTATTCCGGTTTATTTCAACTGGTTCAAATTCCAATGCCTTTTTGAATGCTGACATCCATTCCGTAAAATCCTCACTCGATTCTGCTCCGAAATTGAAGACTCTTTCTGGGGTTCTTACCATAAATGGATATGGTTCATCTGGGTGCTTGCCATCTACCCCTTCAGACACACTATATATCTCCGGGGAAGGTTTTAGGGATACTTCTTGAATTGGGGTTGCATCCTACATGTTGAAGCAAAGATAAAGTCAGAAATAATGATATGTACCGATAATGTGATGTGGGGATCAATATAATATGACAAATCTTGGTTACAGTAAAAAACGTCAAGCTTTTCAGTGAATGCTAAACAATCAACCAGAAAGTTATAAGTTATGTTTTGGCTTTCCCTACGTCACTGAATGTAAAGAAAAATTGTATAATCCCAGTATTAATAGACTAATATATACCCAAATTTATAGGGCATTGCATTGGTCTATGCCGTGTGGACAGAACGACGCTAGCCATCGTAACGAAAAACTAAGGTCTCGATGAGTAATTTTCAGAGATTCACGCTTAATGCGATCATTTGACATATAGTTACTGTTCAATTTAAACACTGAAGCTTAATTTATCGTTCCAGAGATTAATTCCGAGTTATTGCTCCTTTCTCATACCACTTTCAAAACTATCAAAAATATTTCTTATTTAAAAACACACGAGCTTTGAGATAAGCACTGACGTCACAAGTAATAAATGTTTTGAAAACAGAGGACAAGATTCCACAATAACAATGAAAAGAAAGCCTTACCAATTTGTGTTCAAAATATGAAAACTTGTTTGGTTCCACAGTCAGCCATCTTTGTTTATATCGATCGTTCTCCTAAAGAAAATAGCAATACTTAAATATCGTTTCTAATAACGAATGTACAATGCACCATTAACCTATTCGTAAACCCATATACGACAATAGCTGACGATAAAGCAAAACAACGAGATAAATTTGAGAATAAGCCACATAATATATGATAATTTTGACCGCAAACATAAACTTAACAGACGTTATCAGCGGACACAGCAAACGGAGCAGCTTAGGCAGGATTCCGATAACTTCAAATATTAATATGTCACATTTTACATGGAGAAGAGCATAGTTCAGTTACTTACTTTTGGACCACTTTTCTTCAAGTGCCCTTCCTTGATTCTACAGGTGGAAAGTATCATTTCAGTCTGAAAGAAAACAAATATACAAGATGCCACAAAATATCATCAAGTATCAATTTCAATTCGAAGAATATCTGCCACTCTGAAATTTAGGCCACGCCCTAATTGTATGAACCGTTATGAAAAATGGTACTCTCAGCAAGAAATTTTTTTCTCATCCAAGATACATAGCCACTACCCAAAAATGACTCAAAAAAATAGTTACATTTCAATTCCAATCTGCATTGCAAGCAAAATTGTGGTTTTTGCACCAAGCTCCTATCGCTACCCAATAAGAAAGGACACAAAGAACAAATATATACACACACGGGCATTTCGTCTATTACTAAACAGCTATTATCTCATTGTTGCTATTCAGCTTCCGAAGACAGTTTTAGACAACGAAAACCAATGTTCTGGCTATTTCTTCGATGTAGTGGCTACGCCTCCTGGTTCATACTCCTGGAATTCAAGACAGCTCAGAGCTGGCCACTCTCCTCAATCTAAGTGTAAAATTGTCACATCAAGTGCTGGGGCCCCAGAACCTTAGATCTGTAGTCCATGACCTTAATCACTGAGTCCTGCTCAACAAAACCTGATTATGAGTTGAAGTATTCGATAAAATATCTTGTCAAGTGGCTAATGCCAGCAACTGTCTATGTATATATACTACTTACAAGCTTTCTATTGAATCCTTCGACCGTCAAAATAATGTTATTTATGATAACAGCTAGAATTTCTAACAAAAAACTGTTAGGTATGATATTCGACTCTATTGTCAACATTGTTTGGGGGGGGGGAGAAGGGTGTAAAGTCGGTCTTTTGCACTGGTAACCACAGAAATTCTAAAATTTTACAAAACAATACAAACAAAAGGGCATTCCAAGAACTATGCAGGGAATCAAGGTAAAAAAACATCCTTGTCCTCTAGGCTCCAGAGAAACAAAAACGATACTGAATTCTGGTTGATTCACTTCAATGGCATGCATTACACGTAGATGCTAGTATTATACGTAAACAGTACAGTGTTGCTGGTAAGCGATAGATCTTAACTAAAAATAAGAGCAAAAGGCAAAAATAGCTTATTTACACATACATTAAGATCATTCGGATCCATATCGTAGCCTTCATCTTTAAGTAACATCAATTTCGCAGATCTGATGCAAAGATACCAGTCTATAATTTCCTGAAAATTACAAAAAATTATTACAATTTAGGAATGGTAAGACAGAGAAAATCTCACAATTTAATAAATAAATAAAAAGGATGTTTTAACATATTTATTTCATAATATACTGCAAAATTTTAGAATGACATGCCTCTATATTCTAATAAAAGGTTTTAAAAATGTATTGAATTAATAATACATAGTATTGAAAAAAATATCACAGTAGAGGCTTTTCTTAGCCTAAGTAATGAGCCCTGGGAGATATAAACTCGAAAAACTAAACAATGTTAATCGAGGATACCAGGTACACAGAATGAGCAACAGGAGTAAAACACGAGGGCTGCCTTTGCTGCTAAGGCGTTATGGCGCAAGGCCCCAAGACCGTTTCCCCACGTCACAGATTACAGGGCAATGTCTTCTTCCCATTTGAAGTCAACAGGTTCAATGAGAAATACAGATATATGTTCCAAAATGCATTCCGTGTTTCGACTTTGCTAAGTTCTATAAATCATAAATATTAGAAACGCTAGTAAATAAAACCGTTAAAAAATTAGAAAAAACATCCAAATAGTAAGATGATATTTTAAAACAGCTAACCTTGGCAGTTTCTGCGTGCACATAAATACTGCGGCTGCAAGATTTTTTAGGTTTTCCCTTCTTCTCTTTAACCTCCGGTGACACAATCTCCATGCTATAAAATTTCTCAGTTTTGCTTTCACTGCACAGTATAACATTGACGTCTTTGATGTTCAGTCTTTTTATGGGGGCTAAATCCTGAAAAAATTAGTCAGTGGAAACGAATTCAATTCGTGTTTCACTGAAATTCTCAATGGCAAAGCATCCAATTTTCACTCAAACTCGAATGCAACTTTACATTCAAAACAAAATATTATTTCTAAAATATTCAAGCTTTTGGAACCATATTTTATACCAAATGATTTTAACTTTACAATAGCCCTGTGTAACAAAAATAGCAGGAGGGACATGGAAAAGAAATAAAATTGTAGAATTATGGATTTAGCGGTTTAGTAGCTGCACTAAACGTAGTTTGCTAAATAGAGTAAAGTTGCGTACTGCAACTCATGAGATATTTGACAAAGAGTTGACAAAACAGATAACAAATAAACAAACCTCTTTTTTTTCGTAATAAGAAAGTGATCCCGTATCAGATGATAGCCTAAAGTATCTTAGATTCCAAGAGTTTCCATTTCGGTCCCTCTTTCTTAGCAGGCCATCCTTCATTCCTAGGGATAACGTATTGATTTATATCTAGATAAACTGACTGCACGATGTCCTGTTATGAATGAAAATGGACCACTAGGTTTAATCCGACCACACTAGTCAATATCAGCAAATTAGAATGAAAAAAACGAAGAAATAATTTAAACTGATCTTTTTGGGATGTGAAAATAAAAGGCGACAGAAAGGACTGTGCACAGGTATAACGTTACTATAACACGTACATGGCAGAGCCATAAATGCCCTGAAACACCTACATTTTTCTCAATAACAAGAAGATACACCGATTTCATAGTAAACGTAGAGAGGACTCATCTGCCTCCAAAAATGTGAATTTTCAGGCATTCAGAACTTCCGCAGAAGTAACTCTAATCTATCCAATATAGGTAATTCCTTAGCTCTAAACACAAATTGCACGAACCGAGCCGAATTTGAAAGACTCTGAGCTCAAGGCTGACGTGTATTTGGTATTGTAAAATGGATTTATCGAGAAACAAACGATACAAAAGGACAGGACCGCCTCCATACAAACAGGCCCTTAAAGTAGCGAATGGTCCATAAAGAAAACTCATATAATGACGTCATCTACCATTCATTGCAATACCATTTTATTCAAGAAAATTTCATCATACCAAAATATCATGCTCCACTTTATTACAAAAACTGTAAAACACTAAGTAATGAAGACAGGGTCGAGCCTTGAATTGCATAAGAACTGTTAAATAGAAATTAAGGTAATAAAACAGTACAATTATTGGTTTTGGTTTTGTGCCAATATTCAAGGATTCATTTCCAATTAAAGAGAATCCATGCAGGAAGCTGGGTGACGTTCTTGTCACATCGCTACCCCACCCTCCCGTAACTGTGTACTCTTAGACGGGGAATAAACAGGGGCATGGATGTTGAAGAAACGAGGGGTCATGACTGAGTCCAAAATATAATAAACGGGGTTCATTGTTTATAAATAACTCATAAATCCAAGTCATTGTTGAAAGGGATTCTGAAGAAAATTTCAATTTTTTGTCAAAAGTTCTCGACCATTTAAATACGGAGCTGGAGTCTTCAAAAATCCAACAAAAAAGAAACGGATAGAAGGGGGTATGATACTTGATCTTAATGCAGTTATAATCAATTTCTAATTGGAGCAGATCTATTGTGTATATTCAACTTTGAGACTAGCAAAGAAATACTATGCCCACCTCTACAATAGGCTTGCTTGGAATCATTTCCTTCCATAAACTCTTTTCTTTCATACTTTGCTCTGATCCACTCCTCGATATAAAAATCCGTTCTGTGATCGATAGGAGTTGGCCTTCTCCAGCATACTGGCACATTCTTTTCATAAATTTCGTTTGATTTTATGTTGCCCTTCGCAGCCATTGACTGAAATGAAAAGAGAATCTTCTCTCACACCAGATATGAGCAAAAAGAATTTTGTGAGGAAGAGGGGTGGGGAGAGATAGCGTTAGCTTGTCAGACTGGGAAAATTCTAGAGAAAGAAATTCAGAAACAAGTAATACGACGATCAGAATCCAATGTAATAAACTTTTCAAAATAAACTAAATTAAATGAATACTTATATTTTGCCCCGGCATACAGGGCTTCATTAAAGTGAGAAAATTTTGCTTTTTATTGCCTCGAAACCACAGGGATATAGATTTGAAGAAATTTCTGTGAGAGCTCTTTACAGTGTGATGGACTACAAGCGACTCGGGATGCTGTTTCAAAGATAACCAGTGTAAAAATGATAATGCATAATTAGCATAATAATCATTAGCATACTTAGCATAAACAAGGCATAATAAGTTAGAACCGCCCTGTTCCATACACCTGTTTTATAGAAGAACTTTACGACAGACTGTTTAAACAGTAATTTTCATAAACAACGTATTATGTTAAATTTTGAATGATTAGGGCAGGGCATTCAACGTTTGCATGCAGCAGAGTCCAACTCCCTAGAAAACACGAGTATAAAAAGGATGGGGTGATGGTTGAATTTAGAAAGGAGGGCGTTATCATAAAATATGATGCCACGAAATGTTATTCAGGAAAATGAGCATATGAAGATAAAAGTAAAACTCATGATGGTTTTTGCCATAAAAACTCTGTTCTAAATGTACAAAAATGAATAAATGAATGAAAATAGTTACATCGACTACAAGAAATGTATATCACTGCTCAAGAACCTATACAAAACTTCTAATCACGAGCATGTTTCTTTCTGAAAAATATCAAGATTTGATTTTGGAAATCGCAGGGAAACATAAAACGAAACAGCCAATAATTAGAGATATAAAAACCGCCATCCGCATCATTTACTTGCATTTGTGCACTGAAGCCATGACAGGCAAGCAAAACGTAGTATAAGTGGCTAAAAACTACTTGAGGTGTGAGCTAAGACCTTTAAGGCTTTTTGTTTGGATCCTTAGACTTTTTGCAACTGCCGGTAAATGCAATTATCCCAACCAGGACACGAAACCATCTTTACGTCAAGGAAACCTCAAATGACAGAGATTAATCAACAATAAGAAGAGTTTCTTCAAAATCATACGCGCCTCGGCAATACACGCCTGTCTCTAAAGCGTTATCTAACGTCAGCGTTGTAGTTTGTATCCCAGACTTTTTATCCTTCTCCCCTCTTTCCTTCATTATTTAAATACCTACGTTAGTTTGAACAACGAGTTATTAACGTAGTTTTTATATTTCAGCAAACATCCATGCGAAAACGCGGGGTGAATACCATTTTTTTCAACTATTTAGACAAAAAAGGTTAGCTAACCTTCTTGTCAATTATGGGACCAGCACCTCCTTCCACGATATCTAGTGAAGGCCATTTACAAAGTGATCGTACTGGTACTGTTATACTCTTCTTCATCAATAGTTTTTCAACTGAATTGCTTTCCTTTATTTACCTGAAAAATCCTCATATATTTCTATTCTAGCTTTTATATGATATTCTTAAACAGTTATATAAATTCATCCATCCTATCAAGTGGGTGCATTTTGTTGCTTCTGCTGTTTGTTTCAGTCTCAATTCTTAAGCAAATGACACAAATATCTGTCTTTAAAATACATTTTCTAAACAATTATCAGAATTCAATGTTTCTGAAAACAATTATGTTTTCAAGAATTAGCAAAATAAAAAATGAGTATAAACTCAAAACAAAAATATTTCAAAAGTTATGGTTCTGTTGGCTGATAGAATTTTGACCTTCAACTACACTTTAAATTTTCTTGCTTTTTCATGAAAATCTTTAGAACACACTTATTCAAAAGAATGAATCTTACATAAGTTATTATTTTAAAGAAATTTATTTTTCTTCAGTACAAAAAAATTGACTGTGTCAACTGTAGTGACTAAAAAACTGCATACCCCATCAGTAGTAGGGAAAACAAACTGTCACCTTAGCCACCTTAACAAGTCAGTAAATGTTTGGATGGGAAAATTTCTTACTTTGCAATCTTAAACCATTTATTATGCAATTGTTGTTCTATGGACGAGCAATTTCTATTAGCCTTTCAGAGTTGGTGAACAGCTTGAAAGATTTCATATGCACAACAGAGGATCTTTAACACAAATGCAAGACTATAGGGTGTGGTCATGGGTGTGGTCATGAGTGTTGCTATACAGCACAGCCCCCTTTCTAAATTTTCAGGATGGCAATCTTGCTCACCACTCTAGCTAATTGATGACACTTGTATTTCAAAAAGTCTGCATAGGTTTGTTGTGTCTCCACACGATAGTCTCCAAGCCAGACATCACTTGATATCTATTTCTCAAAATACTAAAACTAATATATAAGATGAATCTGACTATTTTTACCAATCAAATTTCTTTGTAAGCAGATCTTTGTCACCAAATCATCTAAGACAACTTCAGAACCTCTAATTCCAATGGTTCTATTTCCAATCAGGTCAGTGTTTCATGCAGAGTTCCACAAGGTTCCATCCTTGGACCCTTTCTTTTCTTAATTTACATTAATGACTCGCCTCTTTCATCCTCAAAATTAACCTTCTACTTATTTGCTGATGATACCAACATATATTATGAAGCTGAAAGTCTTAATCAGCTTCAACGTGTAGTTAATAAGGAAATGAAAAAAGTGAAGATGTGGCTTGATGTTAACAAATTGTCATTGAATATTGATAAAACCAATTTTATAATTTTTAAGTCTCCTCAGCATTTTTGTCCTGAAACTGTCAGTATCAAAATTGGAAACTTTACCATCAAACAGACATGTTATGTCCAATTTCTTGGTGTTCTTTTAGATGAAAATCTGTCATGGAAATATCACTTGTCAGAATTGTCTGAGAAATTAGCTAGAACTTGTGGTTTTTTTTCAAAGTAAGACGCTTTTTACCTTTAAGTGTTTTGATCTGTCTTTACAACTCTCTGTTTCACCTTTTCTCCAATATGGAATTTTAGTTTGGGGTCTTACCTATGAAACCTACATCAATCCAGTATTTCTTTTGCAGAAAAGGATAATAAGGGCAATCACATTTTAACATTTCAATTTTCATTCTACACCAATGTTTGCTGACTTAAAGATACTAAAGCTGCATGACCTCTCTCAATTAAAATTCAGAGTTTTGTATATGATTGTGTAAATACGATATCTCCTCCTTACTTTCACTCTTTCTTCAAACTAGTTAAAACTGTTTATCAATATGGTACACGGCAAGCTAGCAAGAATGATATTTTTGTTACTGAGAAGAATACTCTTCAATATGGTCTCAGGTCTGTGCGATACTTCGGAGCAAAGTGCTGCAATAGCATTCCTGTTCACCATCTGCCTTTAGCTTTCATCGAAAACTCAAGCTTTCTTTTTTGAAAACAATTACCTTACATAGTTGGCTTAACCTATAGTCTTTTTAGATGGCTCTGCTTTCCGGCTGAATGGATGATGGACTGCCTTTTTTGGGGATCGGCCTACTTGGGGGGCTGGTTGGTTTCCTGGGTGATGTTTTGTCCTATCAGGGGTGGGGGGTTGCTCTGCATGGTCTTTGCAGTTGGGAGTTGAGTCTTTTGATTGTGGGGATTGTGTCAAGGGGCATGCCTTGCCCTTGGTGGGTGGGACAGTGTTCAGGGGTTTCGGCTTGCTTCTGTGGGTTGGTCATGTGGGGCAGTGGCTGGTTGCTTGCTTGACTGGGATGTGGTAATACCTTGAAACTGAATTGAATTAAATTATAAAGTCGATTTAATGCCCAGAAACTACTTCCCAATTTCACTAGTCATTTTCAATAAAGGGGGTGCTCTCTCCTTGATTAGCCTAGCTACTGAGAGAGCTCCCCCTGGAGAAATTCCCCTGCATACAATTCTTTTTTTTCTTTTCTCAAATCATGACATATTTATATTGTATGTTATTAATATTTGTTGTTGTTTACTTGCTATTAAATTGTATCTTGTGGAATTTTCAAATTAAATGAACTGAACTAAAGAACCTTTGTGTCAACTGTTTCTGAGAAATATCATTGGGGCTAAATGGGTAATTATTTCACAATGTGTAATTATATATTGATTGGTCGATTATGACTTTGATCTTTTCAGACTTGTAAGTTTTTTTTCATTCTTTGTTCAGTGCATCTATTTGAATGTCAAATGAAAAGGATAAAAGGTCTATAGAGCTAAGGCAGTTTGGTGTATTTGTTTACAATTTTTTACACCTTTATACCTCATACATTTCTTCACTCCACTTATCCAGTTCAAGTGATTTTGTAACTGAGCAGTGCACACCAAGACTACGATGTGACCCCACACAGTTTACACAGAGGAATATACCAAGGCTAATAGAAGCCCATTTAGGTGCTGATGCTGCAAGAGAAAAAAAATGATATATTACATATAACACAAACTAAATTAAAGCTTGCAGGAGACCTAAAAAAGATTTTTGTTGCAATAAGGTGTTGCATTAGTTTAAATTATAGTCTGATTCATCAACATTATTTACAAGTATAGATAAATACCACTATTCTAAAAAAATTGCAAAGCTGTACATTTTAGGTATGATATTAACAAGAAGCAGCATGTTCTCTAGGACAGTGAGAAAAAACATAAAAGTTATTGAGCCCAGTACCCTAAATCATTGATCCGAAGTCATATTAGAAATCTAATCATAAATAGAAATCTTTTAAGCAAATCAGCAAAGTCAAGGTATTAGCCGTTTAATCTTCTTAAAGGTTCAATTTTCGTCAAGAGAAGTATTTTATAACTATTTATTCTATAAAGGTCTCCTTTTGAAACCAAAAAGCAAATGAGACTTGCAAATCAACATACCGTCGCATCCACAATCAGCACACCGGCTATTTCCAGGCTGATCCAGCAAATCGAACAACTTCAAACCAACGCTTCCTGACATATCTTCGTTTTCTTTCACTTCCAGAAAGTTAAAAATATACGGGATCTTTTGAAAGTACTGTGATTTCTCCCCTTTTGATGCAATTTTAGAAAGGCTCGATTTTGAAAGAATAAGGAAGCAAGTAGACCGGTGTGTCATATTGCTTATGATAGTGGCGAAGTCCAATTAGAAACGACTTCCGGATTCGTGACTTCCTACAAGGCCCTCTCTCTGGTCTCGAGGCAAAGCGCACGAAAAGAAATTAAAAAATATCAAATGCCATCTAAACGCAACGTCATACAAAAAATCTAGGTAGTTAATAGGCTAGACATTTTTAGAAAGAATGAAGTACCTCGCATTTTTCATCTGACCAGTTGTCGAGTCTAAGGGATCTGACGAAGGAAACATGTCTACCAAGGTTTCGATGAAGGCCGCTACATTTCAAACATAGAAAAATACTGAGATTTTCAGAAGCCCAATCTGGAGGTTCCCCTATAAACAAATAAAAATACAATCAAACACAAGGCAGAAGAATTTTATAAGCTCTATTTTCTTTGACACTTTGCATAACTTAGGCCACACCCCCCGAGCAAAGCGAAAAAAAACTTACTTTTATCACCACATTCTGCACAACCATCATTGCCAGGCTGTTTGAGAAGATTAAAAAGAACAGTCTTGTTTCTCTCGCTCATTTCTAATCTTATTTAGGCCTAAAGTTGTCTTCTGTGCTTTACAGTTTCCAAATGGCACATTAAACATTCCGCACGGATTCCTACATTGTTTTGCTAAAATCCTCCTTTGCAATCCCGCCTCGCATTCGAAATGGCCTAGTCTGGCGGCATGGTTAAATCCCAAATCAGTGGCTTCTGATCGTAAAATCATCTTTGGATAAAACGTAGTGAATTGGCAAAGGTAAGAGTAAGCTCTACAAAGGAGTTAAATAATAAGTAAGCTCTCCTCATTGGTTTTTCATTTCAGCAAGATTGCCTCATATATATTGGTCCAATTATGCGTCACTACTTGCAGTTTCACACTATCTGTTTTGAAAAACACGTATTTGCCACGTGAGTCATTAAAAATTTACAGTTATGTGACTCAGTTACACCAGGCGCGAATCTAGCCAAAATTTTGACCTGTTTCGGGGTGCTTTACCCCGTTACAGCCCTGTGTGTTATTGGTCCATAAATATTGCTAAAAGTTGTGAATGAAGTTAATAAAATGTGATTAACTAAACTTTATCTAAAATGTCACAATTTTACTACGTTCAGCATGGCCTTGATCCTCTTCTTTCAACTTCAATTCTAATTTTCATGATTTTTTCGGAGAAAGGAAGTCTAGTCCCTCAATAAATAAAAAACTTTATTAGAAAACACACCACTATTCGAAAGCTATGAAAGTTTTTATGCCATAGAGACAAGGACTCTGACGGAGACAAAGATATTGACATTCCTTGACCTTCCATAACGTGAAAACATCTTATGTGAACTTTAAAAAATTGTTCACACAATCTTTATTACATGTTTGTGGGAAAAAATTGTTTAAAGTCTGTTTTTATCTTTTTTCATCGCATTTTTCTTGTCATTTTTCATAAGAGAAACTTTTCATTTTGTATTGAACGCTGCCCTCTGATAAACGGTGCCCTCTATTGAACCCCGCATCCAAAATTTGGAGTCTGTAATAAACCCTGCAGCATTCTTTAGAGGAAATACTGTATAAGAAATTTTTTAAAGATTAATGCTATTAATATTTCTTGCTGTGGGAATTTTATGAATCCATGCCTCTCAGTTAGTTTGAGGTATGTGGTTGCAGGCCCATGTCTCAGCACATGCCTAGGCAAGACACGGTGCACATGTTGTCATAGGCCTGATTTTCAGACAGTAGCGTTATGGCCCCCCTGTCATTTGCACTTTGTAAAGATTCCTTTTACATCTAAATTTTTGTCATATTGTTTTAAACCTTAATGAGATGGTTTGCTTGTTAATCAGTGGAAACTGTCAAAAAATCACAGTGAGGTTTGGTGTGCCAGTTAAGTGTGATGAAAGAACCACACTGAATGTGCATCACCACCACTGTCATTACAGGAAGCAATATTTTGATTGTGCCATCAATCATCTGGGTCATCAAATGGAGCTGAATACAACTTTTCAGAAGATTGATTCCGTTAAACATTCAAGCAAAACTTCTATGTCAGAAGTTTAATTTTAGAACATTATTCTTATTGTTACTATTCTTGTTATGAATTCATGTTGGGATCAAAATAATATTAGTATCTTTTGTGAGTATCTATAACACTTGAAAGATGATAGTTATATAATCCTTTGGTATAGCAAGGGTTAAAATTGGCACAGAAAAGCTGTAACATCAATAGTACTTATATTACTGCTTTTCAGTGCAATTTAGGCAGGAAGTTATTAATGGCCCACCTTGATGAAAAATTTTAGGCACATGCTCAGCCATGAACCTGCTCAAATCATTACGAGCGGCATGTAAATCATAATAGTGTCCAAGATATCATGAATGTTGATTAATTCTTTCATTATCTCACATTATATATTTCCAAAGCCTAAACGTTTTTTAAAATTATTTGCAGGCGGCTCTTAGATAAAATGGAATGTGAAGCCCTAGAACATGAAGAGAAAAAAAGAAAGAAATCTAAGAAAAAACAGCATAAAGAATCTCAAAAGGATGATGATCTTGAACTCAAAAATGATAATAATCAATCAACTATTGTAGATGATGAACATGGAAAGAAGAAAAAAAATAAAAAGCACAAAAAGAAAGTAAAAAATGAAGACAGAGAAGCCGAAATTTCTACAGATACAGAACGTTCGGATTTGACAGAAAGTCAGCCAAAGAAAAAGAAGAAGAAACAAAAGCATGAAGCAGAAGATGTTAAAGAAATAAAAGGACAGAAAGGCCAAAAAGATCGTTTTGAAGACAAAGATGAAGCAACAGAAGCAAAACGGAAAAAGAAAAGAAAGAAGAGTAAAAAGGAAAAGACAAGTGACGAAGAAGAGGAAGAATTACGAGAGAATAAAAAGAAATCAGAGGTAGGTATTTATTGGTTTGGTATATGTTCTTTTGTGAACAGGACATATTCTGCTAAGTGTTGCAAATGTGTGTTCTCCAATTCAACGCTGGGTAGTTTCTCAACATTCTATGAAAAATGCTGTAAACTCTTTTAAAGGATGTAGTTTCCACATTTATCTTGAAATATTGCCAGACAAAAGTTGATTTGAGAAAATCATTTCACCAGATATATATATACACTCTTTTGCAATGTTTTCCAATGTTGATATTGTAAAAAAATTAAAATTAAAATTGGAATTTGTTGGCATTTGGGCCTTGGACAGTCTTTTCCTTTTACCCTTTCCCTCTCAATTGGCTTCTTTGGACTACAATATACTGTTTTTTCAATCTATGATGATGCTTCTTGAGAAGTTATTTTGTTTTCAACTCTACCACAATAATTTACAAATTTCCCTTGTTTCCACCTTTAATGCTACAAAAATGCTTCTGTTGTAGCAACTTGTGTTATTTGGAGCCAACTATTTCTTATTTATGTATTTGGTAAACATTTCAATCTAACCCAGTCTTGCAAAAATGTATTTTTTATTCAATGTTTGGGTTTTCCTAAAGTCTCATACTCTACATAAACAACAACAGCATCACTAACTGAAGATAAAAGATTCTATATCCTAAAAGTGAACTGTGACCATTGTGAAGGAAGTTTGTGAGTTTGCAAAATAAACTATGAATCATCAATTTTTTAGGAAAAAGTTGATGTTGGACAGTGGGGTCAAGCCTCTTTTGGATCTGAAGAGCAAAAAAATAAATTCATACGGCTGCTTGGTGGGTTTAAAAACAAAGACAAGTCAGTAGATGATAAAGGAAAGACAAGTATCTTTAAAGGAGTAAAGAAATTTAATAGTGCTGCAATGAGTAAAGATGAAGAGAAGAGGTTAAATAACAAACTGGAGACGCAATATCAACAAGCATTTGATACCTCAAGAAATAAAAGAGGTCTTGGCCTTGGTTATGACCCAAACCAGGATAAAAGCTTAAAAACATTTCATATTGATGTTGAGGGGCCACCAAAGTCAATGAAGTTTGAATGAGATCATATTGAACCTGTTTTTCTTTAAATGTTCTTTATTTCACAATATTATGGTTGACAAACATGCAGAAGAAAAGAGAAGGCAAAAATTGTTTGATTCTACTGAGAATTGAGATCCAATAAGACACTTTTTTGATACAAGAGTCATGTTAATTCTCTTCAATGGGATAGGTAGCAATACATAGACATGAAAGTTTAGTTGCAAATTTATCATAAAATGACTCTTTGCTGATTTGAATTTCAAAAGTGGACTGGTTAAAAATTGCTGTTTCCTTTATCTAAAACAAAATTAATAGCTTTGTGTTACAGAGAAAGGGTGGTAATTATGATAATATTGTATGTTGGGATAAAGGAAAGATTAAGAAAGTTTTTAAAAATGCAATGATCAACATTTTTCCACAATTTTTGCCTCTTGATGAAAAGTTATTTTCTTATTTGGAATAGACCTAATTTTGCAGGGAAAGCCACCAGCCTTTGCAAATAAAAATCAAAGGGTGCTGACAAGACCAATTGCTCAGACACATCAAATGAAAAAGGGGTGCATTAGTTTAAACTTGTTTTGGGTAAAATGCAGTAGGCTTTGCTAACTTTGTTTACGATTGAGATAAATCTGTGGAAAACATGTTTCCTAATGTTCAGTAAAATGCATTTAGTTTTTTAAAGACAAATGATATTAAAACATTCAGAATATGGAATGGCACTTTGACTTGTGGTTGATTAAAATTTGGCTGTTTGCCCTGATTTAATGATCTGTAATACTCTTGAATGACAAAATCAAAAAGATATTTTTTTCAAAAATTATGGTTTGAAACAACTGTTGTTCTTTGATTCATGAACTAATGTATTTATTGTAAATGTAGAGAAATGCACAAACCTTGGCAAAACCCATCTTTAAAAATAAAGCAACGCTTTCTTTGTTGTCATTTCCAACTATTGCATTGAATTTCTTTATTCCAAGAGACATATTACCTGTGACAAAGAAACAACAAAGGTTTACTATTCATTAAACCTTTTAATGACTGGAATGCTACTTATAAAACTAGAAAATTATGATATTATATTTTCATATGGTGTGCATACCGTAATACAACATTGCCAAAACTGCCTCTGTGCCAATGCCACACCCCCTTGATGCTGGTTCTAGAAAAAATAATTTGTTCCTTGACAAAAAAATTGCTAGTAAGTTTTTATAATTGCTTCTTTACCATGATAAAGAATGAATTTTTCACCCATTTTTTATGAGCTCTTTGTTACTTATTTGCTCTTTAGAGATTTCTGCTGATTAATAAAAGAAAGTTTTTTAAGGAAGTAGTGCATCTGCCTATCTTTGAGAACCATTGAATCAGAAGAAGAACAATCAAGTATTCTAGACAACATCTCTCTAAAGGAATCATAGATAGCAAGTTGAGATATGGAAATATTTTTATACCTGCAACCATAACTTCTACTTCAGCTTCTGTTCTATCATCAGGATTATTTAAAAAAAGATTTACATCTCCAACCATGGATTCTAAAGGAGATCCAATAAAAACTGTTAGACATGTCAAAACTTATTATGATTATCATGTTGACTGGTGTTCAAATAAATCTACATTTTGAACTTCTGTTATGATAATGTCCCTGCACCTAATACAGTGAACACAGCACAGGTATCACAGAGCATGGGAACTAGGGGAGGGGGGGGGTAATTTCTTCAGCAAAAATGCAAAATACTAAGAAGTGAACCACGAGTAAAGCCTATTTTAATTTGATTTTAGCCCCCACATAGTTTTAGACCTCCCGCTTTTCTCAGCACTCTGCGAGCCTGGAACACATTTGTTCAGATTGTCAAAGATGACTTCCAGATGTTTTTGTGGTATCTTAGATATTCATTCTCAGTGATACTTTACAAGACGATATAAACTTATTTGGATGTCTGTGTTTAGAGCTATTTCAGATCTTTTTAGACATTTTTGTTAAAATTAAGAAAGGTAAGTTTTTTGTTCAAGCAATGTTGATGTAATTTACAATTGTCAGAATACTCATCTGCTCTTTTCCTTGTTGACAGTTTGATATAAAGCTCCTGCTGTTTTCCTTTTTAAGTTGTCTAACAAAATTTAGTTAGATTTGTGAAATCTTTATACTCGTTGTTTTTGATAGATTTAAGTTAGTAAGAATTTCGCTGTTAGAAGTATTTATTTAGAGCTTTCATAAAAGAAAGGTTTTGTCCTGTAAACATACCAATTTCATCTCTGTTTTTTTTCCACAGAGATTTTGCAAGGATGATGAATGTACATTCTATAAATAAAAATAAGAAATTAAATGGTTGATTTGAATGAATGAATAAATATATAAATGGAAAAAGCTAATTGCTACTGAAATAAGGTAATTGAAACAAAGAATAACAAAGCAGAATTTATTTTCATGAAATTGAGAAAAAATAAAGGAGAAAGTACCCCATCAAATTTCAAGGAAAACAAAGTTTTAAGAACTGGATGCTGCTATGCCAAAATTGTTAAACTAAGCCTTAAGGCAAAAGTTAATATCATCTTAGAAATTTCCTTAATTGCTTGCTGCTTGATGAAGCATCTCTTGAAACAGGTACATCAATTTTTATTTTGCCAAGAATTTTAACAAAACATACTAATATCATATGTGTAACAAAAAACTGTGATATGTGTAGAATTTCTGCCATGGAAAAACTCACTGTCAGCATCGTTGTACCATTTTTGCTGCATTTCATACTCTTGTTCTAATGAAAGCCTTTCAGAGGCAGTCTTCTCAAGTAGCTCTTCATTTTGCATCCATGTGTGATATCTAACACAAATTCTAATACATTATTTTCAAGTTTATTTATGTTTAGTTATAGGAAAATAAAATGGCAATGTTGTTACGTATTTTATTTTAGTACATTTATATAAATGGATCAGCATGTGGTCTAGGCCACTGAGAAAAACCATGAAGATTATCGAGCCACATTATTGCATGTGAACTTCAATTTACAGTCAACATTTACAACAAGTGCACCAGTTCTTATCGATTCTTTCTGTGGTCCAAAAACCTCTACTGGGTCCAAAATTCCTTTCACGTGTACGATTTTATGTTTAAGTTTAATCTTGTTTGGGTATATTATTGAACCGTTGGAGGGGGGAGGGGGACGGTATATTTCTGTATTGCCAAGACAAACGAATAGGGAAGATATTTAGAAGACGATTTCTTACTTCCGAACATGCTCCTTTCGATATGGCACTAAAATCAGATTTCTTCCGTGGATTACAGTCGACGCATTTTCTTTCATTGTGCGAGGCTCTAGGGCCTCTATTCACCATGTGTTCTTGGAAATAATGCAGGCAGCAGTCTCGTTTTCAGTTTGAAAGGGGGGGCGGGTAGCGAATCAATTGATAATTTAACAATGCACCGCAGAAAGGAAATGAAATCCAAGGGAATTAAAAAACAATGCCCAAACCCTGCCTCTTTTTCTTTGAATCCTGAGTAAGGTCGAAGTTTGAAAAAATTACAGTTTGAAATAAAAAATCTTCCAAAAGTAAGTGGGAAAACGTACAACAAATAAATTCAGGGAACAAGATGTGTCTGACATGTTTAAATTAAAGTCAGACGAAAGTAAAATTATAAAACTTAAGAAAAACGCATATAGTATACAGCGAAAAGATAATTGCCAAATTAAATCAAAACATGAAGAAAAGAAAAAAAGAGAAAAGGGAAACTACCATTTCAGAAGATTTCAATATGGGTTTAAGGGATATCTTAACAGCAATACATGGCTACAAACATAGCTATGACTGAGCAAAAAGCAAACATTAAATGAATATTCAATTATATTTCGTAAAAAGTCTTTGGCACATGTAATTTTTAGTATTTTAGTAATTATTGATGTTATGGCCCAAGAAAGTCCTTATCGCTTGCTTCCGGGGAATCATCCTTGTGAAGTTAAAGTCAATGTCTCAGGTACTCGTCAGTGTCTTTTTTAAATGAGTAATAAACGGAAAGAGATAAGAAACAGCAAAAAGGTAGAGTCAAGTTTGTTCATAGCTTCAAGGGATAGGTTGTACCATTTAAAATGGAATGGTTGCACAAATCAAATGTAATTCAATTTCCTTAAAATGGTACTTTATTGATGTCTCTAAATATTATATGAAAGATTTGCTGTATTTCTTTATATAAATTACTCAAGGGTAGCAAAATTGACACTCATCCTCTTCAATTAGTCATGATCGCATCAATATTTTATAAATTTCAGGAGTTTGAAACATAAAATTTTTGTACCACATCGAGAGATTGGTTGAACTTTTTCAAACTGAAGTGAAAATTAGCCTGTGGTACTATACTGCACATGACGTCTTTCCTGGAAATTCTGTGTTTGTGCTATAGTAACTGCTCCGAAACGGAGATTTGGCGAGATATATTATTAAGTGGAACTTTTGTTGAACAACAACAGAGAGCTTCATGTTGAATGTCTACACAGATACTTAAACAAACAAATTGTATCCCTGAAATGGGGTAAATAAATCTTTGATTCATGCTTACTTCAAATCTTGAGAATCAAGAGCAAGAAAATACACTTGGAATATGACTGTTTCTTTTCTTCAAATAATGGACAAATTTAACATTCTTTGCTTTCAAACTTGTTGCAAATCAAACCATTTACTATACTTTGTTGGATAATACAAACAGGAGCAATCATTTGGGGTGATTTCAAAGCTCTTTCAAATTAAAACAAAATTGGGAATGTCACTTTCCAACGCCAGTGAGGTACCACCTGTGGTTTTTAATATCATCATCTATTTTTGCCTTTAGCTCTGGTTTATCAGCCAAGTAATCATCAATCTATACAAGAAAGGTAAATATTCATAAAATATTATGATGAGTTATTTAGACTTAATTAATTTAAAACAATTCTCCATGATCAGAAGCACAACTAATATTTATCCAAATATTAATCATAATTCTAAGCATAAGATAAAAATAGATTTAAAATCAAAATTTAAAGGCATTTGACACACAGGTAAAAGTGGCTTACAGCCACTCAACCATCAACGTTTGTCAAATCAAATTGCGCACAGAGAAAAGCATGTGAACAGTTTCTGCCTTTCTGCAAATCAGTGAAATCCTAGCACACAGTGGTTTCATGTGAGCAGTTTCCAATTCCTTTCATACGCGCATCCTCTGATCAATTTTGTCTGTTAGTAAGTTATTTCTGGGAATCGCTGTACTTATGCATGTAAAATGCCTTTAAAAAACATCAAAGATTGAACTTGTATGTATAATATATAAAGAGTTAGTGAACTGATACTCATCATGCTCTTTAATACCCTAATTAACTGACAGGCTACAAGCCTACTGGAAGCATTGAAAGGAATTGCTACCGCTACTTATTCCATCATTGGTATTGGTATTTTGTCTACCTTATAAGTGTAAGTCATACTCAGAAATGTTGTGAGCATTTAAACCCACCACTACAGCTATAATATTAACATGTCTTGATAAAATGGTTTCTAAAAAACAAACAAGTAGTGCACAGATTGATGCATTCTTACCGTCATTTCATCAAATGGTTTCTCAGCTTTCAATTTATTTAGCTACAAAAAACAAAATATCTTTAAATAAAATAAAAAAGAAATTGGAACATTGTCAAAGAAGTATATACATACTTCAGTATCATGTAGGGATTCCCCTATTTAGTGCCATTTTAGAGATTCCTTTAAGGAAATCTTTATCAATACCAATATACATATCTCCAGTTTATGGATGATTTTTTAAAACTACAAGGAAAAAAAGCAGACAAAAAGCAAAGCTGGTTCTGATATACCAGCTTTGTGTTGTCTGTCACTTGCTTTGGTCACAAAAGATGACTAGAATTTTGTTAATTGATGAGACATTTATGCCTTACAATTTACCATTTTGCGTGAGTGATCAAATGCGCACATGGTTGAGTATGCGTGAGTGCTGACGTGATCATGAGTTATCTCGAGCATCAAACAAAAAGGCCTGCATTTGAGCTCAATTTAGAAACCAAGGTGCTCGTTTCTTGCCAACTTCAATAATCTCATACATTGATATTGGTATAAACCAAGATAAAGACACAAAATATGACCCAACCTTCCCTGTTAATGGATACAAGAATCCTGTTAATGATACAGCAAATTTTTGTGCTCTTATTTTGTGAAAGTTTGCAGAATTACAACAAAATTCAATCATTGAACAAACCTCTGCTTGAAGGTGTGCTACCCTTTCATTTGCTTCAGTAACTTCCCTTTTAATTTCTGTCTCCTAAACAAAACATAAAAGAGTTGAAAAAATTGACCAAGTTCACAGGCAAGTTAAAGTACAATATTCAAAAAATGGTTTGCCAAACCTACCATTTCAGCTTTGTGGGCCTCAATTTTGACAGATTCTGTATCTTTTGGGTATGGAACACTCAAGGCCTCATACTAAAAGAAGAGATGATGCATTAGAACAAAATAAATTTATCAATTGAGTTGCACACAAGCAAGTGTGTATCTAATAATAAAGTAGGTATGAACAGCTTCTAAAATCTTACATTTTAGCTCCAAAATAACAACATAAACATCATACCTGCTTTTTGAAAGTCTCAACAAGTCCTGGTTTGGCAATAGTTTTTGCAAAGAAGTCCCAATCAATTGTTGGTGGTTTGTCAGGGATGGAGGTCAGGCTAAAAAGGATGGGAAAAATAAAGACATTGAAGAAATACAAAAAATAAATGACATTGTGACAATGTCAGATTTATGCACACACTCAATGGAAATATTGTATTATAACCGCAGAAAAGATCTGAGGCACCCTAACCTTTAGAGACATTTTGACAAACTTTTGTCTTGCATTACCCAATTTAAAAACAAGGCAAACTACCCATAGTCATTCATATCCTGACATTTGTCTTTCACAATGTATTTATCAATGAGCAGAATAACATACTTTATATATTTATGCTTATACTCATCAACATATATATTATTTCAAGCAACTTTGGGGTGTCTATAGCCACAGTCTATTAAATACACAAAAAGTATTCATGCTTTTATTATACAGTGGAAATATGGAGAGAGGTTTTCTAATCAATTTTACTGTTTAAATTTATAGCTTATTATATTCCTAATGGCCAAAACATACCAAAGCAGTGCTTAAACGTTCCAACAAGACAAAAATACTTTCGCCTAAAACGGTTTTGTCTGTTTCAGAGCTTAAGATACAAAAAAGCATGCTTTCATCGAAAGAAGGTAAAATTAATAATAATAATAAAAATATCTAAAGAAAGACCGTAAACAGACAATCATGTTGGTAATATCAAGTTACTTTGATCAGTTACCCAGAGCGTAGGTTTTCAAATTTAGATCTTAGTCCATTGAAATCTGCTCTAGCAGCTACTGGAACCTTCGTAGAAAGTGCTATCCAGTCGACCGCTAACTGACCGGCTTTTCGAGCTGCCATTTTGAGATATCGAACAGCCTGCTTCTTGCTCCAACTCCCTTTAATGCTTCAGTACGAGCAAGGCTTAGGCCACTAGACTCGGTTGCATTGTGGGTAAACGCAACAGCAACTACAAAGCAGAAGTTGGACGGGGACGTTTTGGGACGCCTGTTAGTGAGACTTCAGTCAGTTATTTCATTCGTCAAATTTTTGTTTTCTTTGCAGATCGTAATGAAGAACTGAGGTCAGAAGGGGCGAAAAACCCAGCTGTAACAGTATCATCGGAAATACATGGGCAGCCCCCACCCCCCATTTGTATAACACAAATATTTGTATGATGATTGTAGAACACAGTTTGACAATTATTGACCCCTGCTTTCGACGACCCTGTGTAAAGCTAAAAAGTTGTTTTATCGGAAAACTCCTCATCTTTTCGGAATAAACCATGCTGTCTTAGACTCTTAGACTCGTCTGTCTATTACACTCTTTTCCAGGGCCGTAAATCCCGGGGGGGGACGGGGGGGACTGGACCCCCCCAAAAATCTGGAGCAAAACGATTTTTTTGGAGAAATTACCATCATTTTTCTTGGAAGAAAGAAATCCCTGGTAGCCGGGTTAGAACCAAACTACGTTTTCTGTGTTATTGCAACAAACGTCAGCCACTAATGTTATTTTTGTAAGCAGAGTGGTTTTTATAATTTTTACAATATAAAAACTTACCGTTTTCTACCGTTTTTTACCGTTTTCTACTGTTTTCTACCGTTTTATTTTTGAAAACAGAGTATGAAATAAAAAGAGAGCAATCTGTCATTTTATTTGACCTATTTACTAACTTTTTTACGTACATTTCTATTATTTGTCTATTATTTACTTTTATTTAGTAAATCACTTTTTGTATCATTAAAATGTATTCATTTTTGATGTGTAAACATGGCCTACTGAAATCAGTCAAAATAAGGAAGACGCACATTTCTGTTCAGAAAGTAAATTTCTACCAATCAATACAACAGTGTCCCATATTTCCCCAAAGTCTGTCACTGAGGTTTAAGCATGACTCTTCCCCTCCAAAATTTCACCCAATAAACAATAATCTGTGTTCTTCTGAGAAACGCCAAACTTTCTATCCTGAGCAATTCTAGTATTTTATTAAATTTAGTCTGGGGGATGCTTTTTTAGCCTTTCTAGAAGGTAAAATTTCAAAAATTTTCTTCCGCGTCGGACCCAACCATGGTGGGTCCTCCTACGAGAGTAAATTCGATTCTTAGCTCCCAAGGTTAAATTTCTTGGGGCCGTCTCTGAATAATGTTATCCATCCAATCTTACACACAAGTCAATGTACTAAGGAATATCTGTAAATACCTTCTATAGAGCAGAAGGTCTTGAGAAATCCAAAAATATTGACTTTTGTTTTTAAAGTAATTTGCCCCTCAACTGTTTCCATAACACATACCATAATCCCTTGTGGTGCCATGACCCACTGCATACTTTATATTCATTCGCTCTGCTGACCCCCCTAATTCACATGACAGATTTACGGCCCTGCTCTTTTCTAAAAATAAGCAGTAAATCAAAGTTCAGGCTGTTCTTATGTAATTTCTTTGAAAATCTGAGGCTGGATTATTCTTAATTTGTTCTTAAATTAAAATGTTATAAGCTGTGCCATCGTTAGATTTTTCGCTCTTGAGAGGTGTTCAGGCCTCATTTCCTAAAAAAGTGAGCGAGACAACCTTTATTTGCCGACAAGCTTGAATATTCACCGAATAAGCTCTCATACCTGGCTAAAAATCATCGTTTTGAGATAAAACGTTGTTCAAATTGCATTTAACAGCAGCTCAGCCTCAGCTTGTTCTTAATTTGTTCCTAAATTTTTAAAACTAATTAAAAAAAGAGTGTATTTATCCAATTGGTACATTTTTAGAGGAAAGGTCTTAAAGCTGCATACGAAGATTGTATTCTGTCGCTCTGAAACTGATTGGCAATCTCATTTACAATTAAATTCTTTTTAGGACTTTGGTCTGAAATTCTCTTTTTCTCGCCCCTCGAATGCATTTTCCTGCCTCCGCTATTGGGTTGTTCCAGTGCTGGTGTAGCTTGCTCTTCCAGAATAGGGGGCCACATACCAAAAGACGATATTTTCCCGACAAACTAGGGATTTTGTGGACCAACTGAAGATTTACCGAACAACTCATGAAGAATTGAGGGTGTCACAACACAACCCCACACCCTCGCTAGCTAGGTCTCGGATACCCTGGGTACCAGAGCCGCAAAAATTAAAAAATTACCCAGGATAGGTCTTGGAGTGGATCTCGGGCAGGGGTAGATCTCGGGAATTTTCTAAAGGGCACACGAGAAACCTGAATGGTGTTGGAGAAAAGATGTTACCTAAAATTGTTTATAGATATATGAAATTGTGGTGTGGTTCAAGTGGAAAAAAGTCCTAGAGAAGTTAATATTCTGATTGACAACACACTCACGCGGGCCGGACAGGAACATCAAAAGGGCGTCCTTTGCTTCAGCGGGCTCGCTTTTGCTTGCGTAAACGCGCTTTGGTTTCCGATTTTCAGGTAGGATTGACCTGGGAATGACAATATTTGTCAAGCACTTATAGAGAACCCATATTTAAATCTTAATAAGAAATTAAAGCATGGAGAAAATAAGATATCCTCCCAATAAAAAAGCCAGTTAACTGAACTGCTGGGTTAAGAATGACCCTAAACATTTTTTGAGTAAACGCAGTTTGAGAAAAAAATTTAACATTATATTGGAACCCGTATCGCCACATCTGGAAAAAAACAACAACATTTAAAAGGCTGAATTTCAGCAGAAGAGAGACTCGCTCCAGCTTTTAGGTGAGTTCTCACATTTTATAAAAAAATACTTATGTAGCAAGAAGTATCTTATGCAGTGATTATTTTTTCAAGGCCTATATGTTGCAAATTCGTTGAAATTTCCATATACTGCTTCGTGCAAAACTTGCTTAAGTCTAATTTCTACGCCAGTTCTTTCTCTCTCTGGAATTTTTTTCAGCATGGGTAATAAACTCAAAACAAAATGTCTGTCAAAGTCATTTTCCTCCCTTTCTCTTCTGTCGTTATCTTGCAGGAGCAGCTGTAGTTTATGCTTCTCTATGTCCACTTTCTCCATCTGAATAGCAATTAGTCCTTCTGCCTCACCATCCCTTTGATCTCTTCTTCGTTTTCTTTTATTCGCTACTTTTGGAAGGGCCGTATAAACTGTTGCATCTTTTTTTGGGACAGTTTCTTCCCAAAGTAAAACGTTCTTTGTCTCCGACAGACTCTGCAATGAGGGTACAGGAGAAGTGACATTTGGCTCGTTGTCTACGGTTTCTGCTGATACAGCCGCAGTCGAAGCAGCTGTATGGTTGCCGGACAACATCTTTTCAACCATGGGATCTCTCAGAAAGAACATCATTTTGAAGAAGACCCACTTTGATAGGTACTGATCAATTGGCAGACTAGGATCATCCGATTTTCCGATTGGCACCTTTCTCAATTCGACACGAAAGTTGTCTCTAAGTGATTTCCATTTCTTCTTCACAATATCCACTGAAAAAAAAATTCAGTCAGTAAGTAGCAACTTCTCTCTTTATTTTAGGTTCATGGCTACAGATGAGCCTTATCATTCACTAGCACTCCAATTTAAAGTTTCAACAGTTTCAGGAATTGTCAAGAGATAACAAAAATTAGTTGCGCCTGCTTACAGAAGAGGTTCATGCCTATTCCACCAAACGGCCTCATCATAAAAGGCAAAAGAAAATTTTGGACAAGTAGATAACATGCATGTTTGAATAAGAAAATGCTGGACCAATTCTGCCAATAATGGGACAACTATCACAACTATTTTGCTATTGTTTTCTACAAGTAGCATCTACATCTACTAATATTCTTTACTGTTCTGCGTCCAAGGTTTGGGAGATTCTACCCTGGGTACCAAAGCCAAAAAATTTCGAGCACATAAACAGAATCTTCTGTTTCCGCCCAGGGCAGTGCTGAGAAAAAGGGGGTCAGAGGGGTTACTGACCTAGGGGCTCAAGACTATAAGGGCCAATAAATAATATAATATAAAACTCAATTAGAATATACAACAAATTTTGAAAAATAACTCGGTTAGAAACTTATTAGACGGGTTTTGCTCGAAATTAGTAATCGAGCGTATTTCATTTTTTAGGATTTTTTCAAATGCAAAGATTAAATTATTATAAAATGGCCAAAGAAGTAACAGCTAGTCAACACAATTTACAGGCACCACGGAGCAGGGGGCTGGGGGCTTTAGCCCCCTACTTTTTGCAAAAAATGCCAAATATTAAGTAATAAACTACCAGTAAAGCATTTTCTATACGATTTTAGGCCCCCACATTCTTTAAACCCCCCCCACTTTTCTTAATGCTCCGCAGTGCATGATTTAGCCACTATAAATATTTCGGAAACTAAATAAGCCACCAAAATAATTTTAGCAACCATCCTCTCAAAAATTTTCCCCGGAACCCTAAATGATTCTGCCTTAGACGTGTCTTGCTATTTTTCTTTCGTTTTGACCCGGGCTCCGTAAATCCTCTCCGTTGCCCTAGCCCAGGGTAGCAAATTAAATGATCCAGAAGACGCATAAAGTCATTAAGAACATGTTTGGAGTGGGCACACGCATATTTGGTTATAATGCCTGTTTATTTAGTACCCCTGTTCTAGCGAGAGAACAATAAGTGACGCTTTTCGACAAGTTTTCGCAAAATACAAAAACCCTCTTTGTTTTGTGAAAAAATTTGACGTCACCCCCGTCTTTTGCAAAGCACGCGGGTTACATCGGGAAGAAAACAGGAAAGTAGAGTAGGCCTTGTGGTGTGGGTGAAGATGTAACATAAATTTTAAAACAACACAGAAAGCAATAAAGCAAAAATAGGGATTACTTGTATTGTCTTTAGCTGGCCTGGGCAATTCACAATAGGGTCGTTCAGGACTTTAGTCTGGTGTGGGCTGGTTTTCGGGCCATTTTAAACAACTGTCGGAGTTTGTTCGGGCATAAACTTGGGCATTTGAACGAGCGAACAGAACAGCTGTTACTGTGAATTGCTTGTTTTCAGCTACTGATAAGGGTGAATAAAAATTTTTAAATCTGTTTTTCGCATTTTACAAAATACCTTATCGAAGAGTCGCAGTAACTTTTTCGACGTTTCATGTCAAAGCGTTCGCTTGGCCTAAAATAGCCTGCGTGCAGAAAGGGCCTACCTTCGAATGATTTTCAAGATCAAAAAGACTGTGGAGGGGAAATCGTGATCCAGTGGGAGCCGACCTGTATCAGGCTCTACGGAGTACCAATTTAAGCATTGATGTCAGAAACATTAAAAATTGACAATATACCTAGAAACAATTTCTCCGATCATTCTTATAGAAATGTAACTTTATTTGGAGTTTTTGCTTATCTAGAGTTTTTGAGCAACAATGTTTATTTTAAAAAAAAATTTGAAATATAATGTTCAATTTTATTTTATTTTATCGGCCTTTGAATTCTGAGAAAATTGAAGATACAAACCTTTTAACCGCATTACTTCTGCGACCTCTGTCCAGCATTTTTCAGTAAAGCCCCTGTTACTGTGGTTGGGATTTTTAGGATCCCATAAAGCTGAACGTTTTTTCACTTCTGAAATAAGAAGTTCGAAATCCATCTTGTTTGCACGCGCATGTGAGTAACCAACTACAGTCTACTTGCTAGCCAACAAGCCTTTTAGTCTCAGCAAGCTGCTTTCCGCGTGCGATTATCTTTGGATCATGAACACTGAGGGGGATAGGCAAAACGGAAGTCGGCAAGCACGTTTAGGCGCCTGTGAAAGGATTGTGTATTGTGGACGCAGCCAGCTTCTTTTCCTGCAATGAGGTGTATACCTCATTGTTTTCCTGTAACTAGGCCTTAAGCCCCGGCAAAACGACTGGACATTTGCGCTGGTCACACACTGGACATTGCTCACTTGTTTAGAGTATGAACATCAAAAAATATTGGTGGTGGCAAAACGACTGAACATTGTCCAGTGAACTTTTTCCCTGTTGAAGAATGCGGGTGGGAAAACTGGCAACAGGGCATCTCTTTACCTTTGAAAATACACTTTTCATAGTCCTAACCGTGTTATCGTATGAATTAGAGTGTATTATTGACAAGTGGCTAGGACAGCTAGGTTTATCAAAATCACCGTACTCCTGCTCTCTGACATCGCTTTCCTTATTGGAACTAAAGCTAATCTGATCGGAAGACTCGTCGTTATTAATAAAATGCCTTTTCTGCTATTGGTCGAATTGAATTTTCACGTTGTTTCCATTTCGTTCGCGGTGTTGACTAGGAAAGTTTGTTAAAGATTTGAATAATGGAAATAAATTCGCGCCAAATCCTATCCATTACATTCATTGCGCCTGCGCGAACTGGACAATGTTCAGTAGAGTGGCAAAACGACTGAACATTTCTCTACAACATCTGCGAACAAAAGAATTTTAATCCTGTCCACTGAACATTTTTGACTACCTTCAAAATCGACTGAACAACACTCAACATCGCTGAACAAGACTGGACAAGGTGGCAAAACGACGCAACATTTACGCTGGACATTGGTCCAGTCCATGTTCAGTGAAAATGTCCAGTCGTTTTGCCGGGGCTTTAGACCCGGGACCCATAAATCCGGGGTTCACGCTGGGCGCTTGATGAAGAGTGCGAGTTTATGCTTACTTGCCCCCACTTTTGGCTGTTCACACAGGCCGCTATCTACTTGTGCAACGGCATTGTTCATAAGAATTCTTTTGTTTAAAATACGTTCATGTTTGTTGACAACTTGCTATTGACGGAGGCTGTTTTTTAAATCAGTTCGAGGTGAGTTCATGTGATCAATGTCAGGCCTACCACTGCAGCACAAAATTCATGACTCTGACACGACGCCGGATCTGTTTTTACTTCCAAATCCGAAACAATACGATAAGCGGAGTGGTTACATTGGATAAAATGCGAAGCAGGGTATTTTGGATTGACTTTCATTCCGGTTCAGTGGCGGCTCCAGCCTGGGTTTTTAGGGGGGGACAAAAGGTGTGTCCGGGACCACGCCCTTTTAGACCACACCCTTTCCCCCTGATTGAAACATTTTCTTCCGGAGGATACAACTTCTGTCTCCCAAAAAAATGTTTTTTAAATGTGACGATCTAGATAACGCACCTATCCCCCTCCCCCGAAGTTTTCTCATCAGGTTTGCAAGAATCTCAAGGACCGACTTTCCATCCCCCCCCCCCGGTTTGCCAATCCAAGGCGTTTGGAATTTTCACTGCATCGTGCAGCTGAAACCCCTAGATCCAAAGTAAAAAACCAATCCGGGTTAATCCAATCCGGCATCGTGCATCTCAGGGATGTAGTAGCAATAAAAGTTTTGATTAGTAACAATGAAGACTGTTCTGTTTCGTTTTTGTAAATTTTGCTTTTGTTTACTCCAATAGCAGGGCCCTGTGCTCAGTGGTGTAGTGCTATCAAAATGAGGGGGGGGGGGGCTCTTGCATAAAAAGTTTAAAAAACAATAGCAAAAGTAGAAATTTAGTCCCGTGAGGCCCCCCAGTACTACACCTCTGTCTGTTCTCCTACCTCAGGCTGTTTAAAGATTAACTTTGCAATGCCGTGAAACCGAAATTCCTATTGGGAGGGGGGGGGGCTGGGGTCCCACTGTATTGCTTCCCATTCGGTACACTGTTATAAAGAAAATATAGTACAGTTTGACATTACTGGGGGGCTCCAGCCCTTTGCATAATCTATTTACTGAAAATCCTAGCAACATAAAAACATGATCATTTCATCACACATCACTTCTGTTGCAAAGAGAATATTCATGGACGCTTTGTTCGGGTATGACGTAAAGAAACGATGTTTAATATTTAAGAAAAAGCCTTCCTCAGTCTTTGAAACAGACCAGATCTAAACATAATATGCAAAACAAAGAAGCAAATCTCTATTTTTATGCCAAGACTGCAATTTTCCCATGTTCAAAAAATTCGCTGAAAAAAGTAGAAAAGCAACCCTGTTCACGGTTCAATACAAAAATGGAATACCTAAGAATAGAAATTAGGCTGATATCAAAGAGAATACTGAAAACTTAAACTCAAGAGGCTAGAGGGTGATTGAGTCAGGGTAACTTCATTGACTGCATTATTAAAATTCTAATCTTTAAGATTGATATAGGCCTATAGGCCTAATATAATTTATACTAAATACATAGCAATGAGGTCAAATTTTTGGCCAGTCAATTCTAGAACGTAAAATTTTCAAAGCAGTTTCTACCGATGTATTTTTCACCCCAACATCTAACAAGGCATTCTTTGCACAATTTTCTTTATCTTCAGTTTTATTTTTCTCCGACAACATCAAAGCTTCCTGCAGTAGCACACCTGATCCAGAAAGAAGGTTTAGCAGGGTACAAGCATCTTTTGTCCTGAAGCAGAACAATTTCTGATAAATATTTAAACAGCCAGAAAACAAAGCTTGATATAATACCACTTATCAATTGATACCACAAACTTTGATCTAAGCATGATTATGCTAAACTGAAGCTTACAAGCTGTTTCTAGCCTAAACAAATTTTAGTATGCTGGTATTGTTAATATCATTAATAGCTTAAACAATTGAAATTTAATCTCATACTTCGACGTTTGATATCAGAGTTAGTGTTTAAATGAACCATTTTTTAGACCGTGTTAAATACTTCAAAATTAAATGCTTTCAACCACGGCAGAAAACGTTGACCTACCTCTTCATATAATTAATTTGAGAATTAACCATACTTCGAATTTTGAATTTTCGCACCATTTTTCTCTAATATCAAGCTTTTCACATAGCATGCACAAAAATTTATTGCATGGCAAACTATCTAAAGAACAATGTGAACAATTTTTTTGTGGTACAGAATTTGAAAATGGCTTTGAAAAAAGCAAACATTTTACGACATACTAAAAGCTTTTTCGTCTGACACTCCTCAGAGCATAAAACGTCAGAATAGGTTCCGAAAAAACACGATGGAAAAATATATACCCAGTTGTGGATCGAAATAGGCCAATCAGTAAAACGCAAGCACAAGACCGGTATAGTTGACCAATCAGTGCCGCGAGCCTAAAGAAAAATTACCAATGGAGTCCAAGAGAGAAAACGAACGCCTTTTGTCTACACAATCTAAAGAACAGGGAACAATTCTCTCTCCGTATCAGGCTGAGAGCTTCAATGTGTACCTCTCTCCCCCAAAGGCAGCATCTCTCCCCCAAATGCAGAGAGACATGTACTCCTAAAGCTCCTTAAAACTATGAACTCCTAAAAACAGTAAAACTTTTGAAGTAATTACTACTCACATTTTAAAAAACGAATCCGGTTTGGCAGTGTGCTCTTCAAAGATCAGGAACAAATTTTTTGTTAAATCAAATTTAATCTGTGAAGCACCTCCCTCATTGAAATGACTTTCCAAAATCACCTGAACATAAATTAAATCGTCATGAAACTGTAACAGCAAAACTTGGATTCTATAGCATAGAAATGAAGTCTTAAATGTTGGGGCACTAAGTAGAAAAAATGTATAAAGGAACAAATAGTTTTAATACATTAAGATCGTGCTACGTGCACATTTCAGTATTTATCGTACAGTTATCCCTGCATGTAGGAACGTATAAAAATATAAAGCTACAGACAATTATATTTCATTCTAACTATCTTGCTGATCCTTATATTCTTAACAATAAGGTAAAATAAGAAGAAAAGTCTTCATATTGCATATTCAGTAGGCTATATACATTAAGTTACAGTCAAGATACTAAGCTGGTTGATAAGTCATTAAGTTTACTTGGTCAAGTTCCTAAAGCGGTCGACCATGACCTTCAAACAAGAATCTCTATACCCTGAGCTGAACCTAGCTACCTTCTATAGAGGAATCTAACACAGCTTGACCCTCATAAAGTTTGTACTTTCGTCCCAGTTTGGCACCATCAAGATTTTGCTACTACACTTTAAATATTGAGCAATACGTACTTCCTCAAATATTAGCCTGTCAACAATTTGTGCGTACTTCTGCCAAACTTTGCCAAAGATCGAAGAACAGAGTTCGTCATTCATTGACTGCAATGTCTCTTTGACATTCATCAAAACACTACAAGCTGAGCTAGACAGCATCTGCGTGACGAGATCTTTTGGTGGTGGGCAGCAATGCCATCTGAAAGAAATAACATTCAAATACTAGATAGTCTACCAGCTTAGCCTTTAAGAAATGAGGTTCTTTGAATTACAGCTATCGCTTGGGGTGCCAAGAGGGATGGGGGGGGGTGGACTGCTTCATTTTTGTCAAATTAAAGCCGCACGATTCCTCTAAAATCAATTCCTGACAAATTCACTGCTAGCTTTACAAAAGTAACGCATTGTTACATTTCTAATTCAGTTTCATTCAAAGATGTAAGTATTTGTGAATGATACCCCTTGTTACCCGGCGCAAGAGGACGGGAGTATGAGAAAGCTTAGTTTAGTGCATTCAATCATTTAGCGAATATCATATATCAAATTCAATTCAGGCCTCGAATAAGGCTTAAAAATCTTGCGATGTAGTTTATGGGCTGTTAATTTTGAGCAAGCTTTTGACGAACAGAACACTACTTTAACAAATGGACAAGCTGGAAAATGCAGAAACAATTACCTCTGTTAAGCAAAAAAGACTTACCTGTTTCTTAGATTAAAAAGAAATTTGACTAGCTATGCATTAGCAAAACTAAGAAATTTTGGGTCGAAATACCTTTCTTCTCGATAAGGCTTTAATTTTGATTTTAAATCTTTCTCGCTGTTTCTAAGCAGGGATGTTGTTAGGGATTTGATGAAATCCTCCAAGGAACTGATTACGTCATCAAACAGCCCTCGTTCTAACAGCGAGTCCTGCTGATCACTGACTGCATCCATACTGCCAAAACTTACTTGTTCTTCAGCCAGGGAGTCATCCAGTCTGGTGCTTTTCGATAGCATTTTATCTGACTTTTGCGATCGTATGCAAAATAACTGTATGAAAAACTATGAAAAAATGGAAGAAGATAAAGAGAGGCGGAGACGCAGTAACAGAAAGTGAAAAAATATCGTTAAAACTCTTATAGGCCACACGGTAGGGGGAAGAAGGCTTATTCAATTTTTAAGGTTCCATAGATAAGAGCCTAGAAAAGAACGTGGCTTATTGGATATTAAGGTTTATCACAACTTTACAAGTAGAATATAAAGGTTATAAAATGCTTTTGGAGTGTTTATCAAGCTACACATTTGTGAAAAATTACTAATACTAACAGCCTCTTAGGACAGATAATTGGTTATATGTCGTATTTCAATGAAGACTGATAATGACAATCATCTTCATCCGACATCAGATCAAAACCCATGGAAGAAGTTTAATTGAGAAGGGAGCTTTTTTCAAAGTTTTTCTTTACGATACTTTAAAATGAAAATAAGTAAACAGGATACTTGTTATACATTTCACAAGGAGTAAATTCAAGCTATTGGCACGGGGCTTGTACACCTATTTCTAAAGTTCTTCTTATTGGCAATCTAGCAAGTCTTTCTTTGACAAGAAGAAAATTTAAGTAGGCACAACTTCTTTGTGCAACAGATGCAGCGTTTTTAAAGCATAAATTGGTAAGCATTAACGCAACGCAGGACCATTGCCAATTAACTCAGCTATACTCACAACTTGTTCGGTCCAGTCGGTCAGAATATCAACAATAAACTGAGACCCATTCAAAAGTGAATATATAGCTTTGTAATTCAGCGATGAAGACTCAATGTCACCGATTTCTTCCAACTTCTTTATGAAGTATTCCAACAGCATTAATTGTAGATCCAAGAATCTAAGTTGTGCTTCTGTATTGCCAAACGATTTGTATTTTTCTGCGAAAAAGAAGTCTCCACGTCACATCAGCCTTTTGGCTATAATAGTTGTTTCTGGGGTTTATTCTTAGAAGGAACAAAGCAGAAATCACTTTATTACGGAAGATTGTTGGAAGAAGGTATAGAGAGCAGCAAAAATAAGTGTTAGTTAATACTTCGAACATATGACAAATTACAATCAATATTATGATAAACTAAGAAAAATCGATAATAAATTAACTGTGTGAATTAAAGCGTCACTTGTTAGCTTTTAGCTTATTGCACAGACCAGGGTGCATTTGGGTGTCGAAACAAAAACGACAAAAAGCTCTTATCCCCTGTTCAATTAAAATATTTTTGGGTACTTCGAGTTATGGAGACAAAACATCATTAATTTATTTTGCTAAACAGGGTGGCAAGCAAGCGTAGAAAAGTAGGTTTGAAAATGGTGATGCATCACAATCATATTAGAACTAATAACATATCATTCGCTTCTTTTCCAGAAATATCAAAACATCGTTATACATCTGTTCATTCTGATTTGATTTTATTCCTTAAACTTTCTATAAAGATACTCTCATGCAAAAAACTTTACCAGTTATGAGTGATAGCTGTTCTATGAAATCTTCAACACAAGCGGGAACTTTCAAGTTGTTTTCTACATCAGGGTCACCGTATTTAGAAGTGAATGCTTCGTTCCCCAATAGAATGTTGTTTACTGCATCAATTGCGCCTGCAAGTGAAATGTTTTACACTTTTTACTAGATTTAGTGTCTGTCGCACGTAATTCTCACAAAAAAGGAAGCATAAATCTTCTCATGCCGGAAAATTGAATTTTAGACATTCAGAAGGGACTTTACTTAGGGGGCTTTGGCCTCCCAATAATTTCAAAAATGCACATAAAACTATACAAAAATTGCTTTGTTCTTGGTTTTTTGCATCTTTAGCCCCCCCCAAAAAAAAACGTATTCACCCCCTTAATCTGTAATGTGCTCCGCGGTCCTTATATACATATTTACAATCGGAAACTTTCTTAGACGGCAAAAAAATCAACTGGCCTTATTTACTTAATTCGAATTATTACAGTTCACTTTCAGGATGTTGAAAATCTTTGACCTCAAGCTATACAGTGGAAGCTACAATCCCAGACAAAATTGTTGAGACAAAATGCAAATTTCGCATTTTCTACTTTACGTTGCTCTGGTTAATTCGAATCCCCTCATTCTCCTCAAATCACAACTGGATTTGTATTTCTATCATTGCTCCTTCAAAATCATGCATTCAACATTGAATGTCTAGTATATCTCCTGCAAAAAAAGTTGCAAAAAACAATAGCAAAATGAGAAATTTGCTAAATTTCGGCATTAACAAGAGGGGCTCAGTCCCATAGCTCTACACCCCTGGTAGGAGGGAAAGCTCCAAGTTGCTACTCGTAAAGCTCAATCTACAAGGTATCAAGCACTTAAAATCAGACCAGTAAACATAATTTTTATTAAAAGCACTACATACATTTCGTTTCAAGATCGATCCAATGGTCGAGGTAGGGCTTTTGAAGCAAGACAGATGTACATCCTGGCAGTTGACTTGGATAATCAAACAAGGATCGGAGTTCATTATCGAAAAGTATCGTTTCATCGATAAGATGGGAGAATAGGCTTTCGTTTGTGATTACTTGAGGTAGTGTTGTTTTGATCTTCTCCATGCACGTTTCCAGTAAGGCTTGTATAAACTCGTGCTAAAAGGAGGATGGGAATGAAAATATTGATTTTCATTCCTCAATACATACAATTAAAATCTGCAAAATTAATGTGATTTCTTTGTATAACGCAACAAAACATTACAAAGAGCAAAGAAAAAATAAAAAATGTACAAAAACAACAATGGAAGTAGAATCATTTGCGACGATATCAGTCACTTTTTTACAGTAAACAAAACAGGCAATCGAAAATCAAAGGAATTGACGTAGGAATGAGCCTCTGTCATTTACAGTACGTTCTGGTAGTGAACAAATATGGATAAGTACGGAATTGCAACATGACCTTTTTGTTTTCTCGAGCCACTGTAAACCAAACTTATAGTGCAGTGTGCACTTATCGATAAATTGCACCTCTACGGCGGGTCGCAAGACTTATCATTCAAAAAACGAGGGTTTTTGGGATGATGAAAGAGACTAAAAATCCATGATTGAACAAGTGAAAATAAATGCAGTCTTCATTTTTATAATAACTGAACTGTGCGTTTTGAGTTATGAATTATTAACATAGGCCTAAAAGACAGCAATTTTAGCAGAAAAAGCGATGAACAGACTCTACATGCTAAAGATGTCGTTATGCAGATTAAATCGTGACACAATTTATCAAAATGACAATATTAAGATAGCTAAATGTATAATAATTATACACCATTAATAGGAAGACTGAATGAAATGATCTACGGAATCAACACAGATAAAGAATTGGAATTTTCTTACTTGTACGTAATGGTTAAGATACCCTGCATCATCAATTATTGGTTGGACAAAACTTTCAAGAAATGAAGAATGATCTCTAATCCAATTTAATATCTGTGTGAAATACCATTCCGGCTACAAAAGTAGGAAAACAAATGATAATTAACAAGGGAAGGAAAAGTTTCAATTTTCAGATATTCCTTGAAAAAAAATCAGTCTTGAATTTCTTTTACATTCTGTTTAGTATCAGTAAATTTAATAATGATAGCTTTAATGATGGCAGCAGTGTTGGTAACACTTGCAAAGCCCAAAAAATAATCTAATAAACTCCCAAAGCGCATAAAAGATATATAAAAAAATAAATTTTACCTTATCACTAATAAAATAATTACTGACGAAATATAAGAAAATGAAACGTAATTAACATGCTTTATTATCTTGTTCCAGTTTACTTTATTTAATCAACCTTGTTTCTGTAACTGTAATAACTGTTATGCTTTTAACTATAACTTTTGTCAACTGCCCAAGCTGGATAAGTACATAGTTTTACTTGGATCGTGTATATTGCAGTATTTATATAGTACTCTTCTTCCGTAGTATACGAATGAAATTGAATGAACTTGGCAGGCATGAACTAAAAACTTGTTTGCTATTTAGAAAATCTGCTAAAAGAAAAATTTCCACTCTTTATCTTTTAAAGTAAAAGTTAAATTCCATTACTTCTTTTTTGATAGTAATGTTCAAAATACAGCTTTAAGTTTTCCTCTAAGTTTTCTTCTAGAGTGATTGCAGAAAGAAGAAGACCGATTTTCCTTCTTGAAATGAGAGCGAGTTATGCTTTCTCCTAAGGGAAATTTACAACAGGCCACCTAGCATATATTTATAATTATATATTTATTGACTTTATCTTTTAAGTTACCTTTTCTAAATTGTTTGTTCGTCTTGATCCATAGAAATGGAATGCAAATCTCTTTTGGAATGGTTTCACAAGAATTTTCGTCAAGATGAGAGCATCAGTTTTACCTGTCTTCTCATAATTAATTTTTCTGTTTTTTGTTAAGGAGTTTGTTCTCTGTAAAAGTTTTTCTAAACGACAAATTTCAATGTTAATCCACTAATTGCCTTAATACCGATGAAAACTAGTTGATATGATAAAAAAGGCGACAAGATCACTAGTTAACGAACAACAATAACAACGACTTCTACACTAGGACTGCTTGTAAGCAAGTTTAATAGGGTTTGTATTCACAGGTGGGGAGGGGTATAAGGGAAGAGGGTGTCAGAGGAGAGGGTGTAGCAAACACACATATTGCAGATACTTTGTGAAGGTCACTATAGACTTGTGTTCTCTGCATAGTTCAAGATTGCAAAAACATTGAAAAAGGATACTGAGAATCAAGTTTGAGAATAAGTTTTGTGATTGCACAAAACTTAGACATCACATCATCCTTATTATCTGCAATTTGAGGTGACGATGTTCCAGTTGCAAAAGGCCATTTCATTTTGATTAAAGTCTCATCCAACTCTCTAGAATAAAAACAGAATGATATCTATCAAATCTACACCAGCAAACTAAATTTGGTTTCCACAAGATTTTTTGTTAACGAAGGATGAACTTTCAAAGTTTTAGCACAATTGACCAGAGCTTGGCTTGGATAGCTGTGTAAAACGCTCCAGATAGATGGGACCTAAGTTGAGTCTAGTAAGAATTCCACATACAAACAAGAACTCTTGGTTGTATTGCTTTAGATTTGTTACAGAAATTATTTAAAGAAATTTGAACAACATTCAGTTCTTAACTTGACCATTCTCACTGTTCTGTTACAAAAAAATTGCTGAAAGATAACTATCTGCAAACAGATATGAGCTTTAATGTAAACAGGGCTACTCTCTAATTGCTGAATACATCTGTAAACAAACATTTTGTATTTTCTCAAATAAGCTGCCACATTTGAATAAGCACACATCTCTAATTATGTAAAACTCTGCCCTGATTTAAAAAAAGTTCAATTACAAGGCTATTTTAATGTATGATATTTTTCCTACCATGAACTATGGTATTTCCACATATTTACAATTGATGTTCCTCAAGGAAAACTGAAATTAGTGTTTAAACAAATTACCCAGCTGATACAATGAAAATATTTTCATGGCATCTATAAATAACCAAAAGGTTGTTGTCCTTTCAATGTTTCCAAGGTAATGTTTGACCCTCTTATTCATATCAGTCGACTAGTGGTATGTTAAAGGTTGTATTCATCTACCCTAAATTTTAAATAAGCGAATAGGTTTGAAAAAAACAATGATGTAATAAGTGCACATGCTTGCATAAGCATGCACCTTTGGCCCTAGTTTGTTATATAAGCACACAGTGCCCTGATTTGAGAAAATATGGTAATCACATATTGAAAAATGAGTCATTAAATCATACCTCACTAACAAGTCAGAAAGAGCCTTAAACCAGTATTCCTGGGAAGTAACAGCATAGTCTACTAGATTTTGACAAGAAGAATCCTTCAGTCTTCCAGTTATTTCTGTCAAGTTATAAAAAAACTCAGTGGCAATTTCCAAGTTTCCAGCTGTCAGTTCCTTCTTCATTTCACTGCTGCAATTACAGAAACAATTTTGTCAGGTTAGGAAATATCATACTACAAGAAATAAGCAAAGAGGTGATTTAAAAGGCTTGTGTTTCTTTAACTTTGCTTTGCTAAGCAAAAATAGGGAAATTCTTACCTTGAATGTAAGGAAAAGTATGTACTTTAGACAAACTTAACAGAATGATAAACTGGCTTAAAGTTAACGTCTATTAAAACAATAAATTTCAAACTAAATTGGGGATCCAAATCTCACAGTGCCCAAGAATTAGGGAAACCAGACTTCTAAAACAGCCCCCCTTGAAATGTGTTAACCTTTTTCAGTATATAACATCCTACAGGAAACACAACAAGAGGTTTATAAATACTGTTATGTTGAAGATTTTGCAAATTCATGAAGAGTTTGTAAATTCAAGACTTTGTCTGCTTCAACAAAAATTAAAAAAACAAAGTTACATAATATTTTAATTCCTTTAAATGATTATAACAAGTTTTGTGAAATTATACCTGCTTCTGTTAACATAAGAGTGCTAGGTAAAGGCTTGTTAAAAAGAACAGAATTGGGAAAACAAAGAATTAAAAATTGAAAAAAAATGAATGGAGGAAATAAAATATATACGTACCTCAAATGACTTATTTGGGCAACCCAGCTAAGGTAAACTTGAAGGCAATTAATTTGCTCAATTTCCTGATTAATATTCCCTATCTTTTCAACAAGTTCCTCATTTTTACTTGAGTATTCTTTGACTTTTGTTTCTTCAATTTCTTTTTCCTCTAATAATCTGTCAATTTCTTCTAACTGCTCTTTCCCAGCCAACTGAGCTTTTTCCTTTGTCACATCAGTTTCATTGCTGCATTTGGAAATCTAAAAATCAAGCAAAATGTAAAATAAGGATAATTTAGTGCTTGTGATGTGCTTGTAAAGGATATTACTGAAAGTTGGAAAGAGACAGAAAATAAGTGTTGCATGAAGCTATATAAATATTATGCATTTGGATACTACCAAAATAAAAGCACACAAATAGGCTGATCCATGAGACAGGTAAGTGTAAGGTTGGAAGACAAATTTTAAAATTGCACTCCCAAATCTATCTGTTTGCAGGTCATATTATTGAACTTGTTGGGAATTTTTGTGATACACTGCAGACCGGTAAACAGACACACAAAAAACCATGTAATAATTTTTGGCTAAATATTAGTATATCTATAAAGTTATAATGCTGAAAAGAGTATCTTATCAAGTTCTGTGAGAGGAAAGTTGTATCCTTAAAAGAAAATTTACGGTAAATATATGGAAATATGTTGGTGCTAACTTTTCAAACCTAGACAACCCTAACATGAAAAGGTTTTCTTTAAAACTGCAAAATAGTTCTGGCCTGGTGAGCCAAAGTCTGAGACCATTTCAGTTGCTCGTTGGCTCCTGATATACTTTCCCTGCGGGCCTTAGGTTATCTTTGTGAGTGCTAAAAGCTAATACAAAAACAAATTTGAATGAGTTATTGATAAAGTTTGGCAACCGGATGCCCATAAATTTAACTCAGTTGATGCTGCTCGCTGCTACAGATCTTTTTATTGACATCCTTTCTAAGATCCTTACTTTAACATGCAAAACATGTTGTCGAGACTTGTGACCGACCTACTCTCCATTGAAGTTATATAGCTGGGAAAATGTTTCAATTGACTTTTACAAACCTTTAAACGAAGAGAATTGCTGAGATCTTCCCGCTCTTTTATTATTTTTTCTACTTCTTTGAGCCTGTCGAGATCTTCTCCGAATTCCTTGTCTAAGAACTCAACAACTTCATCAGTGAATTCTGCGCCTTCGGCAGCCATTTTTCCGAATGTTATCGTGTTGTTGTTCAGTTTGTTGTTGTGGTTGTGCAAGGAAGTCACGGAAGAAATGTCACATGAACGCAAAGTTCGCGGTAGCGAAAATGAGGCGCGGGTGACAAAAGTACGGAATTTGTTAATAGATATTACCATTGAAATTATTTCTAGAACGGAATTCGTAAATTAAATCCGCTCCGCCGATGAAATAGATCTACATTTGCCTATTTTTTACGTCGATGACCGCTTGGATAAACAATGGGAATTATATGACACACAAACCTAGCTTGCTGTAAATTAATCTACATTTTGCAAACAAGAACAATTTTTACCAACAATTGAAGACAAAACTGCTATTGTTGAATAAAGAGACTGTCGCAAAGACAAAAAGATCTGATGGAAAATAAGAGGCAAGAAATGTATCTGCAACATTACTTCAAGGAATACTGTCGAAAAAAGGTCAAAGGCTTCTGTCAACTATTCGAGGTTCTCATTGATGAAATATAAACTCTCTAACAGTAACAAGTTTAATTAAAATATAACGTGACGACACATTTTAAGTCTGTCGCATGTTTGCCAAACCCTCCCTGTATCTCGGATTACAGAAATGTTAAAACATACTGGTATATGTCTTTTTTACATACACAAAACTGATTTGTAGCATGTTTTGGTTGCCAGAATTGTCAGAATGCTGTTGTCACTTCTCAAGATAGTGTCATAAATTATTGCTGGATCCGAGCAGAATCAAAGTCTACGTAGACGTTTAGGACAAGCTTCGAGTTTCATGAAAGTTTTTCATGACCACATGGAGGATTGAACATTATTTGCACATATTTCTGAAATTATTCCTCCATTTCCGAGTTATCTGTTAAAATATATCTCTTACAAACTATTTCGTCTTCATAAAATTAGATCCAAAAAACAATATTTCAAGAAACGGCATGCTCGTAAAATCCATTGAAATTAACTTGCAACAAGAAATCGTCCAGATGGTGTTGGTATCCGCGTCGAATGAGTTTTGAAACAACTAAAAGGGAGAGAGAGAAAGAAAGGGAATAAAAAATAACGCAAGGTCGTTAATCTAATATTAAAGCAAGAAGAATTTTGCAAACTGGTAACGTAACTGGGAAAAAGAATCTAGGAAAGTAGCCACAAAACCTTGAAACATGCTCAAAACAATATTTTGGAAATATCAAATCCTCCTATGGCGTCAGAACGATCTTGGCAATGTATCTAACGATTCATGAGGGCAACGAAGGTATTAATTTCAAATACCTTAGAAACTAAGCAAGTTAATAATAGATTGGCTTTTACTTTACATAAGAAAATAGATACTTAGAAAAACCCCGAATGCGCACAAGGACCTGCTGACGACATAGGATTGCAAGGCGGGAATAATGTTACAGGGCAACAGAAGATATAAATCAGGTCTGGTTGCACAAAAGGACAAAATATAAGCAAATTTGAAGTAAGATGCAAAAACGACATATGTAGAATTCATTTCTTAATATCTTTGTAGTTTCGTTAATGGAATTGTACCTTTGAAGAGGAAAGCAGTGTACTCTTTGAATGCTTTGTGAGTGGCGCACATCAGGGCGAATGCGGAATGGATTATGTAACCATCGTCATTCTCATTCCACTGGGAACTCAATAATTGGAAATCAAATTTGAGAATCAGTGAGAAAATGTCTGTGATAATTTTGAGAACTGGGGTCGCGTTCTTACTCAGCAATGACCTAAAAAAAAGAGTATGTTGCGTTACTGCGAAACTATCTTAACATGTCTTAAACATTTAAAAATGATGTCCTTTGGATACAAGGAGAGGCTATCTACTTGAGGTCTAAAGGGATAACATCATTGCTTTTCAAACAAATCGATATGTTAAACCTTTAAGAAGCTAGCCAAACTTCAAAAATATTCTTCATAACAGACCTCTTGGATAAGGTAAAACGAGAATTTGCTTTACAGTATATTATTAATATATAAAGAAATACTAGCAACGAAATCAAAGCAGATGAAACTGATTTAGGCATTACTGCTCTAACATTCTTGAGTCATGATAGACCTGCGCCCTAAAGACTTTCAAGTACACAACATTCAAGTATGTCCAATCAATAGCAATATTTACCGACGCACACATAGATGAAGAACAACTAAGGTGTCATTACACCTACTAATAGATGATTTTACCAACAAAGTAAAGATTTTTTTGACCAGCTGAAGATATAGCGACCAATTCATGAAGTATTTGGTGGGGGTGGGAGGTGTAACACCCCCTACATCCCCCATCAGCTACGCCCCTGCCAATCCGCGGATAGAGTAAGAAAAGGACGCTATCTGTGCTTTAATAGAGAGCCAAATCTAGGAACGACTTGAATGAAACAAAAGGAAAATACCTGAATATAATTCTGTTAAGGTAACCAACGTGTGATTTGTGTAAATCGTCAACATTGTGTACCTTTGAAAAACAGAGCCAAATTAAGATTAAAAAAAAGCAAATATACAAAAGATATACACTAACAATCTAAGACATGTCAAATATGTGTTAAAGACATCATCTCTAAAATTTATCAACTAAAACTGAAATATCGATTGAAACAAATTTCAGACCATAAATTAAGAGGAAAAATAATTATCAGCACATTGCTACAGCTAAGAATTGCAGCTCATTGAAAAGGAAAAAGATTGGTTTATCAAGGGTCTACAAAACGCTAGCAAGGGCTTATCGCCTACCAGCACAAAAACAAAGTATCGAACCTAATGGCAGACTCTTGGGTAGATGGGGAGCAGTGTAAAAAGTACCACGGAAGATACGTACCTTTAAAGAAATAAAAAAATACGATTGTCTATGAAACAACGATTTTCCATGCAATCATTGGTCTATTTTATGTCATTATTCGAACCACTGTGTCAATGAAGCCAGTAATTAGTGCATTCTTAGAAACATTTAGAGCCAGTAATCCATGCATTAGATACAGCAAAAGACTCACATTATTCTTAAGGTCGTCTTGAAATTCCTGCCAGCTGATATGAATAATTTGGTTGACAAGATAACGCTCCACATTGTTTACAAAATGCTGCATTTCATGTCTGCAATAAAGCAATGTTTATAAAAAATATCAATTTCTGCTGATCAGCTGATACGTGTCACTTAGGCTGGATAAATTCACAGCAAAACACTTATCAAAACGTCATTAAAGTTGCCTCCTAAACAAACAGGATTGGAGACACAATGAATTCATTACACTTTGCCTTAGAAGTTTCTTAGAATGATCTACTATTACCTCAGCCCGGCAAACAACAGGCATATTTCCTTTATAACAAGGATCTTGCGAATTTCTAAGAGATTAAGTCCTAAGGAACATATCTAAAGCTTCAAATTATATAAACATCAGTTGATCTTACTTTAAGTCTATATATACTTTAGGATGATATAAACATGTTTTTGAAATAAAAACACTGTGCCTGTTCAGCCTAACTGATAAGCAAGAGACATTACGGTAAATAAATCAAAATACCTTGAAAGCTGTAATTGTCTTAACTGTGGAGATGCGGCAGCTTTGTTGTTGTGGCCTATGAAGACAACGTCGAAAGCATTTATAAAATTTAGCAATGACTTCAATAATGTAAGATTCGATTGAAAAAAGGCTCGATTAGGCAGAAAAGGTATCTGATAGTATGCAAGTTAAATCTTGTTTACCATTCTGTAGCAGAGTCCTTGATGCCGTGTAAACAGAGCTTTACATAGACCTGTTACATGTAAACAGGTCTATATGACATAGCAGGATAAACAGGACAGGATGTGACAGAACGGGACAGGAACAGATAGGACAGCACAAAGCAGGACAAGACGGGATGGGGCGGGACAGTATGGGATAGAAACAAAAAAGAAACACTCTTTTTTGCACAACCAAGAGTGTAAAATATAATGCAAAGTATTATGAACAACAAGCCATATAGCTATTACCAGCTCTCTTGAGATTTTTCCAGACCCTTCGAAGGGCCCAGTTCACCATCTTTAATCGCAAAAGGAAGCTAAAAATCTGAAAAGTATTTAGTTATTGGAATTTGTCAGTGATAAATTTGAAGATAGTAACAATAAAATGCTATAAGAATGCGGAATAATAGGCGTGCTTTAGGGACAATGGAGGATGTGCAACAAACCAAGATGAGAAAGAGCCGAGAAAATAGGCCCAAGTCATCCTGGAAAAGGTGTGGCTTTAATTCCTTATTCCAGCTCCCTACTCCAACTCCCTGCTCCAATTTCCTACCTTGTTGTACTTGACAATGCAGTTTTCTGTGATGATAATGTTGCATGGCCAAGGCACCTGCAAAGAGAGAGGCAAAAACTCAGAAACATGAAGAGAGCAACAAATATGACATCAAATACTACAAATCATAAACAATTACTTGTAAAGACTAGTGAACCAGCAGCTTGTGTGTTGATAAAACGCAAAATTCTGGTAGAAAACTCTTTACAGAAAACGAAAAACCATTTTATTGGGTACTAGGTAAAAGACTAGCTAGATAACGAGTATAAATTGCACACTACGTCAGTGAAACTTTCAAGAACAAGCCCATACCTTGTATCTTAGCTGCAAGAAATCCAGTGAAGCGATATCTAAAACCGAAATAAGCAATCGACAATAAATAAAGGGAAAAAACAGAATGCAAAAATAAACAAACATGATTCTCACAAGGCAAAATGAAGGCAAATGACACTCAGCTTTCTGATATCATATGTTGAAAAGCAGTAAAAACCAGCCTTTGGGACAACAAATAAAAAGAATTATTACTTTCTAAAACAGCAATCTTGTTGGCCTAAAGAGGATATTGTACCTTTATTTGCTTAACATTTTGATGAAAAATAAAACAGAGTCGAAATGAAAGCTCTGAAAATGGTGATTAAGTTAAGTGGGACACTCTGATAAGGAAATTAATGAATGAACTCAAGGTCCATTTACATTCATGGCTCGCTATAGAAAACTGATTGTATAAAGTAGCCTACAGGGCCTCGGGCAGGGGGTTTCGTTAATGTAAACTCTAGAGACAGGCTAGGCCCTTACCTGTTGTCCTGATAACATCAGGAATCCATTTCAGTGAGAATGTTAGTTGTCTCGCCGATTCAACTTTATCAGCAAAAACAGAAAACTGCATGGCTTTATTGATCATGTTGTTTAAGATGCTTGGTTGGCAAAATTCTTTCGGAGAAACGCACACGAAGGCCTAAAAATGTTTGTTAGCTGTAAGATCAAATTGGCTTTAACTTGGGTGATTCACAAACAACTTCAAAGAGAGAAATTAACACATACATGGTTGCTCGTTGAAAATTGCCATACTGCAATATGGCTTACGTTCTTTTGGAACTTCCAAATGGCGATTTGTAGAGTAGAGAGAGGAACTTTGGAGACTAAACCCGATAAAATGATCTTTTTCCACGAATCATGTAGAGTAGGTTTACTTACTTCAAAGCTAGCGTCATCAAAATTAATATATACAATCTGTTGTTTAAAAAAATGCAAGCATGAGCCTTTCAAAATACCTTGCTCATAGTTAAAATACTCAATTGGTTCAAACAAGTACATTTGAAGTGGATACTAACTTTTTTAAAGATTTCATTGCATAGGCTGTGTCCAAATTCTCCATCTTCCAACAACAAAAACTTCCTGAACGCATCAAAATGGTGGCCTATTTGCAAAGTGTCCGTAAAATATTCAACGGCCGCAGTTTGTACAAGCTTTACTCTGGCGAAAAATGGAAGAGCAATAGTTGTTAATCCTGAATAATAATTTCCTTGGAAAAAAGACATTATGAAACATACTAAAGCTTTTCATCCGACACTCTTCAGAGTATAAAACGTCAGAACATCTACTCTAGGAAATATATATGCCTTGTTGTGGATCGAAATAGGCCAATCAAAAACGCGAGCAAAATCAGAATGTTGAGGTTGCCCAATCAGTGCCGCTTGCCTATGAAAATATTATTTTGACTGAGACCGATCAGCGACAAAAAACCCCAACAAATTTGCAAATGCTACAAGAATTTTCGCCCAAACAACTCCTAATAATAGAAAAGTTACAAAAGCTAAGTTTCTTCACTGAAATATAAAAAGCAAACTGAAATAAAAATACAAAAACTTAACGTCTCTTTTATAGCAAAATTTGAAGCTTTTTAAGAGCTATGAAGCTGTAACACGGTCGAATTTGATATAAGTAATATTCAAGAAATAAAATGATTTAAGAAGCGCTGATATGTGGTGTTTTCATGTTTTCAAGTCTTACCTAGAGCTTGGTTCTCAATAGTGAGTAAGCACAAATGCAAGTACTAGGGTATTATTCTCTAATGTGGAGGGGCTTGACAGAACATAACCACAAACATATGAATATCGAAACACAAGATCTTTGCTGTTGGAATCTGGTGTTACCCCCTGACACCTATATGTATATTCTATAACATTGTACTACATAGTCATCCTGTGATAGTACTAGTTGTGTAAACACCAATACAGACTCTTCTGTTGAGTTATTCCTCATATTGCTAGCGTTTGGGCTTGTGCTTGTGTCACTAGTGAGGACCAAGTTTCAAAGCGGCTTACTGTGCGTAGACTGGTCCAATAATAGAGCGATCGATAATCATTTCCAGGGAGAGATGATCAATTGCATCTTCAGTTCTTAAAAGCACCTCCGTTTCTTTGATTTTGACGTCATTTTTCAATGTATCAAAAAGTGACGGGCTTGGCGGAAAATCTGTAGATATAGGAAAGAAAGACTAAAGCAAAAAATTGATATGTGTATCAAATCAGTACAAAACAAAATGCTGAATGCTAATAAAATTTCTTAGGAAGTTAGTTCGTCACAACAAGTTCAGGAGCATTTAAGTACCGAATAGGTGAATTCAAAATAGCTACAGATCTTACTCATCGATTGAAAGTCAGTTTGTAGGGGCTCAACTTCAAAATCCAAAAGTACTTCTTTGTCTGTTAGACTAGCCAGAGTGTTTTCGTCTTCATCTTCTGAAGAATTGACAAGAAAACAATTACACAAAGATTTTGATTAAATGTAGTAAAAATTAAATTGACAAGGAAAACAATAAAGAACAAAACAGCAAAAATATCCTATGAACAAAAGAATTTCAGTGAATGCAGTAGTTTGAATGAATGCAAAAGTATTAATTTTCAAAATTACATCTTAAAGAGCCAAAATTTGCAAAATTAGTCCAATATTATTCCAGTAAAAATCAGTTGCAATAAATGCAAAGAATTATACTGACCATCTGTGGCATGATTATCATTATGATACAGGAGCTTTTTAATCCTTGAAGTCGGCTCATGCCCTCTTGTTGATTGCCACGTGATATCTCCTCCGTGTTCCTCGTATGAATCAGGATACAGCAAGCCTTTCACTTCTGTCTTTTCTTTAATGGCAACGGTTTTCTCAACTTCCCAAAGCTTTCTATTGGATTTCTTTGCACTTTCAATCTGCATTTTCTCACTGCCATACAAAAGATTTTTAGCCGCATTTCCTTCTACAATAGGTTTTGCCTCTTTACTGGCAACGGTTTCGTCGACTTCCCAAAGCTTTCTACTAGATTTCTTTGCACTTTCAATCTGCATTTTCCCACTACCATACAAAAGATTTTTAGCCGCATCTCCTTCTACGACAGGTTTTGCTTCTTTACTTGATGTTTCCTCACCTTCAACTGATTCTTCTTCAGAATCTTTCCCTTCAACTTCGTCATGATTAGTTTGAATCTGTTTAGATTCGTCTACAGACTCGCTTTCCATTTTCGCAGTACCTGCATCCAAATTAATATCGCTACCCGTGACATGCTCCTTCGCTCTTTTGGTAACTGATTCATCGTTTAGAAAAGTTGTTGCACTGTTTTCAACTTGCTGCTCAGAAAAATGATCACGCAAACTGGTGTGTTCTTTACGACCTTCTACGCTTCGTAGAGAAAGAGCTTCTGACGGATTCACAGCTTTCACATCGACAACAGCTTCTCTCTCTCGCTGCAAGGTCAATTCATCATTTTTAAGGAACTCCTTTCTCTTCTGAAAAAGCTCCAATCGACGAAGATTCCACAAAGCTCGATTTTCTCTTTCAATTGCCTTGTTGGATAGCTCCTGATAATGCGCCAACATCTGTTCCCTATTGGGAAAAAAAATCCAGAAAGCAGATCAAATATTTAGTCTTTACATCTAATGCAGTTTAGTATATTTTGTCAAATAAATGAAACCAAGCTTGAATGAAAGCTGCCTAAGGAGACGTCGATATACATTCAGTGTGAACAAAAGTGATGCCTCAAGAAACCCTATGAGCCCCCTTGACCAGTGGCGTAACACAGTTTAGGGCACATCAGCTCGATAACTAAGGGCCCCCAATCTAAAGGGGCCTCAAAATATGTTTAAACCAATGTTTGAAGCAATGAACTCAGATATAATTTCAACATTCTTTACACACTGGATGGGACTTTTGGCAGCCCATAAATAGGGGATCGTCTAAGGCATTTCCAAGGGCCCCAGGTGCCTCGGTTACACCGCTGGCCTTACCCCCAGCCCCTTCCCACCTGTTACGAAAACAGCAGTCAGGATACACTATTGTGGCTTTGTGACTATGTGCTTATTGTGGCTATGCGGCATAAAATCACCTTGCTTTTCTTGTTTCTTCATCTTTCTCAGAATCCATTGCTACAAGATTCTTCATGAATTCTTTATCCTCTTTTAACCTAATTTCCTTTTCAGCTTTTCGTTTCTACGATAAAAGCCAATGTTTGAATTAGTGATATATCTAGATACATATATCAACATTAAAAACATCATTAAAAACATATACAAAATTTAATTTAACAACTAGTCAGTCAGAAAAATGGAAACTTTAGCTATAGTAACTATATAAGAACAAATTATCCCAGAAGGAACTAAGTATGTTATATACAAACCGAACACTTACCTCAAAATCATCCTCCATCTGCTTCTTAAGTCTTTGCAATTCTTTGAACTTTTTCTGATGGGCTGATTCTTTTAGCTTCTTTTCAATATCTATCAAAACAAAAACAAAAACTCACTTATAACAAAAAACTGGCAAGAACTATGATACAACAAACTTTTTATAAAAGTTGAACAAGACACAAAGTAAGACAAGGCAAAGCAGGCGTGAAATATTTGGTGGCACAAGACTTACTACTTATCCTTTTCATGCTTTGAAGTATTTTTCTCTTTTCTTGTTCATGCTGTTCTTCTCTCTTAAGAAGAAGTTCATCCATCTGAAAGCAAGAATCATTTTTAGTCGAGCCACTCTTCAAACCTGCTGCTGAACTTATTTGATGAACAAAAGGTTCAAACTAAGGTGATAAGTTTCAGTTGGGTTCAGGGTTAAAAGCTCCAACAACGAGCAGTGTTTCTGGAGAAGAGGAAAGCTTCCTCTCCTCTTCTTCTCCTGGATTGATCACCAAGTACGATTGCTGGCACAAAAATATACCAACTTGGAAATAATAATTCTCATTCTTTCTCAAACAAGGAATACAAAACGCCTGACGTATCGAAATTTTTTTAAAATGGAATAGATCAGAGGAATTGTATCAGATATAATTAAAACCTTTTTTAGTCCACCAAAGTATCGAGAAGGTGAGTTAACATGTCTTCAGATAACAGCTGAAACAAGCCAAAAGGAAATGGGATGCACGTGATTTGCTCCTTTTTGGCCAATCAGTGCCTTCTAGCCTCTATTGCGATTGGAGAGTGAAAGTGAGCAAAACGAACCTTATATGTTTGTACCAGGTTTAATCCCTGGTCCATATCAAATGATATGACAACCTAGTTTGACCGATTATGAGAAATGTCATCATTGTAAATTTTAATAAACTATTGATTTTCGACCAACTTATTTCCTATAGCCAAGTTACAGATTGTTTAGAAAGAAATTGCAGTCAGCAAGAAGTGAAATAACACACTGATAAAACACATCCTTTTGTAATTGTTTGTTTTTCAAAAAATTATTCCTACAAAAGCCTTTAACTGAACTTTTCAGTTGTTCAATTCTTGAAACGCCGCTGCTTAGAAAAACATCCTGGTGCAAGCAACACTTTAAAACAGCAAGTTATAGACACTCACGGCAGCATTCTTGCTTTGCAGGTCTTCAGCCTTGGCTTGGTTAACTCTCGCAACATACGTGGCACTTATATCTTGTACTCTTTCTAGGTCGTAGGTTGACAGCAAAATTCCTATTGATGGCCGTTGCAGGTCTTGTAGGAGGTAATGCTATGGATAAGCAGAAACTACCATAACAAAAATTTTAGTCAAAGATAACAAATTCTATGACAGCAACGTTAAAAAAACATCAGTTACGCAACAAAAGAGTTATTGCAATACTGTAAATGATACAAAGCTGCCTAAGAAAATTATATGAATAGACAAAATAATTGTTCGCATAGAGATACTAAATTTTGGAATAGTTTCTCAGCTGAGGGTCAAACAGTTATCCACTTTTATCTTTCATAACATTCTTCATGATTGTAGCAGATTTCTATTTCACTTGTATTTATATGACAATACTCTAAATAATCTTAATAACCATACATATCTTAGTTAGGTTTAGGTTTTAAATACTATCATCAGGATTCATTATCCATGTTTTTTATTCGAAGTTTTTAGTGGAGGGGTTTGGAAGATCAGCATCACTGTCGAAGAGCATTCCTCTTTAAAAATTATAAATGTCAGAAATGAAATGCTCTAAAAACTAATCAAATTGGAAGAAGAAATACGATCCTCTTTGTTAGTAGAAATGCTGTGTGGGCCTACCGAGGTTACTATTTCTTATTATGGTATCAGATGAAGGGTTTCCAGTATACGATTCTCTACGCAATTAATGTTTCGCGTGGATCCAAGAAATATCACAAGTTTATATACACAGCGATAAATTAGAAACTATAAGATGAAAGATGTGTTAGAAACAGCAGATGACAGAAAAGATCAAGGTCAAAGTTTTCGCATTTTTAAATTATTGCGCATAGGCAGCTTTCAAATTAAAGTCTAATAAGAATTTATGTTAATGTTAAAGAAAGTTTGGCAAGAAGGAATAATTTGTTCTATCGCATGTGATGGCGAAAAAGGAACTTTCATTCACCGCATAACAAGAGTCTAAAACCTGATATTTTCAAGCATAACGTTTTCAAACCTTTTGATTTGTCAGTTTCAGTAAATTTATTGCTTTGCCACAAGCGTGTATTTGATCAATAAAATCGTTGTCAAACATTCCAAATTCTTTTCTACTCGGCTTCAGAACATAACCATGTGTCCAATAGTGTTTATCTGCAGAAATGCCAAAAGTCAAATTAAACTTTCAGGATGAGCTATAAAACCTTCTTAAAGAAGTAAATTTTTAAATTTAGAATAGTATTCACTTTCAATTAAATAGTATACGGAATATCGATGTTACATATCCCCCTGGCCAGGAATTAAGTTGTCATCTTCACCAAAAATACCTTGTTAATTGTCGATACTTTGGACAACTTGAAAATTATTGACTTCTTCAAGCATATTGCCAAATTACATTGGTGCAGTTTCAGTTTCCCTAAAAACTCTTATTTACAATCCATATGAAATGATTAACCTAAATGAAAATTCCCCCTACATATTGAACAAAACGCTTCCAACATACCACGATAGCATAAAAACTGATCATCGACATCGAGAAGAAATTCGTTGTATGGATCGCGACATATCCCATCGAATATCCAGTTGGCAATGTACCTAAAAAAGGACGAAAATTATAGGCCCGCATGCTTAAATTAATAGTGCACCTCGCGAACCTTGGAACAAAGAGCTCGCAAATTCATTTATATTTGACTGTAGGGAAATAGCAGGCCAATACAGATACAGCAAGCCGAAGTGGATTGGATAACGTTCAAAAATCAAAATGTTCATTGGAAGGTCTTTGTGCCCAAGTGTTCCTTGGGACATTCGGTTATGATAACACGACATTCCTGAGCTGAAAACCTAGCCACTTTAACAAAATTGTAGGACAGCATTTTACACTGACTCCTTTAGCTGACATAAAATGGTATTCCACTTAAAATATCCACAATTTATCGTTCTGTTTCGAGGTTTTAAGCCAAAATGGCAGATCGATTCAATTTTAGACCCAATATCAAATTGACTCTAATTATAGGGCATTCAGAAAAGGATCTAAAACACTGTAAAAACAGGCAACATAAATTTTTTTGCTTCCAAAAACTGATCACTCACTGCCAAAAAGCTACATAAACATTAGCGTTTCTGGATGATATCGAATTAAGATAAATTTTTAGAATTCCATGTTTAGCATACCCAGGTCTATTATGCTAGGTGAATTTGTAAAAAGTTAGGCTGATTATTAAATAATTTGGTTTCATACTTATAAAAATATAATCATTTATTTTGACATTTCGACTGTTTGATGGCATATAGAGAAATAAAGTTGACACAGTACAGGAGATGTTCATTTACCTTAAGAAAGGCAAGCTTGTATCTTTGTAAAGATGTAGCAGCAAGGAGTAATGCCTTGTTGATTTGTTCTTGATACATAAATCATAGAGGTAGGATAACAGTTTCAGGCCCTGTAAGAAAAAAAAATAAAGTATAATTCGTGTAGCATCACTTTGATAATAACTAGTTTACAAATACACTACAAAATTGTTCGGGAGACGACAATGAGAAAGTGTTTTGATCAGTGAGGCAGCCCCCCGTCTTGGAGTCAATAAGCATGCGCATGGAACATAGCCATCATCGTGTATGCTTTTCACTCCAAGACGGGGGATTATCTCACACATTGAAAGACTTTCGCTCGCTCATCTCCACAACAAAGAAATAATGATAAACAAAGAAGTTACAATTTATTCAGCATTCCAGTTGTATGCTAACACTGGTATAAATTGACAATGTAAAGAAGGTTATACCATTGGAAACTTTGGCCTAGGGGCATTTTCCGTTCTTCGAAAAGCCGCAGAACACAAGCACATCTCAGCAAGGAATCTAAAATGAGAAGAAATCTTGTACAGGATAGTGGAGAGATGATACAAATAATTTTTGAAAGGATAAAAGGAAGAAAAAAGATGATATAAACTTATATTCTAATTATAATTTTTATTAAAAAGATTTATTACTGACCTCATTTGAAGAGCCATGTCATCGAAGATAGCCCACAGTTGCAGCATACTTTTTGGAAAATTGTCTAGAAACGAACCACACTTATTGACGAAATTCATCAGTAAAAACATTAAATCCAATATAAAAATTCTGCATGAAGAAAATACAATTATATATTATAAAGATAAATTATAAAAGACAGTGTACGCTTAATATTCAACTACAAGCAAGTAAGCGTTATTGTTTTTGAATTGCTTAAAAGCGTAGTTTGATAGGCTCGAGAAACATACTTGACATAGAGGTAGCAGTTCTTTTATGTCCATCATGTTAAAGTATTTGCAAGCTGGTATGTGACTACAACAGATATCATTATGGAACATACATTGAGGGCATCTATTCTTAGCAGCTTGTATGAGCCAGATTATATCAAAATTGGGAAGGCTGACTTGCTGCAAGGCACTGTGGAGGTATGAATAGGGATTGGAGCTGAATCTGGCTAAAAAACAGACTTGAAAAAGACTAACAACGAAAGTTCTTAGAAATTCCTGTGTACCAAGTACACTTTTTGACTGCAAAGCAAAGGAACGAATGGCTTTGGAAAGAGCATGCATTTCAAGATATACTGAAGCTTTTCGTCTGACAATCTCCAGATTCTAAAAAAGTCAGAAAAACTAAAGTTGTTCTGGCTTTTTTAATCGATTTACACTGGCGTTTTAAATTCAGTTCCGCCAAAAAATCAATTCCAAAAAAGAAACTAACAAGAGTGATTAAGATACCTTGGAGGAGCAGTACAGCGTGTTTATACGAATCAATATACTTTCGAAGACTTGTCACAAATGCTTCCAGTGTTAAGCCACCAGAAAGGCCAGTCAGTTTTTCTGAATGATGTTGGGTAAATCGATTCAATTGTCTGTAATGTGTTCCTGTTTCTGCAAATCGCTGCAAAAACCCTTGCAAAGCTTCAGGGCTCACACCAGAGGTCCTTAAGGAGGAATCAACAGTGAAGGAACATCTGCCCTGAAACAAAAGTGTGGTGATTGATAAAATACCAACTCTAAAAAAGGTTCTTTCCATGTCGAAATTTAGTTTCTGTCAGTAAGGCTAGGAGACGTTATGACATTATATAAGTCACAGAAAATCTTTCTGGATCAATATCATGAAAAACTAACGATAAAGCGTTAATGTGCTAATGTAGAGGAAAGGAAAATTGCGAAGCAGTAAAGTTTCTTAAGACTCTGTCACTTACCTGTCTTTCCGAAAACAGTCAACGATTAAAGAAACATTATAAATGGTTTATTTACCGTGTATATACAAGATATAACTAAAATAAACTTACTCTGTTGAAATGGAATGACCGAGAAGGCAGACCAATAAGGACATTAACTGACTGCTTTATAAGTTGGTTCTGAGAAACATAAAAGTGTTCTTGCTTCTGGTCTGTTATGTAGCTTGCCTCTTTTCGACGTAAATTGTACAAATGGTCGATCGCTGCAGGCCCACTTTCACAGAAATAAGTTGAGACGTCTGTTCCATGCATACTAAAAATAACAAAGCACAGTAATCAATTACTTATTGGATAAATATGAATTCACTTTTACTTTCATAGCAAGGTATCGGCTGCAGAAGCTGGCATTCGCATCTCCATTCGACTTTCCATTGGTCGTTGCATGAGCCCATGACGTAACATATCTAAAGTCCACGGTATGACGTAGCTATTAACCTCAGTTTTGAAAAGAAGAACCTTGGCGTGAAGATTAGAGGTAAGTACAAAACAGCCTAAGATTAGACCATGACATCTCAAGCGTGAAGAACCATGTAACGTTACTAGAGGTGATACAATTTTGATGCGTGCTCACTTCACATAACATTTTCAGACCATCACAGGGGCTTTTTGTTGGAATAATGAGTCCAATAAATGTTATAAAACGGAAAATTTGCATTTCATTTAAGATGTTTTTATACAACAATATTGACTCACCGAGTCAGTCTTTCCCATGTGTATTGAAGTTGAACAGTAGAATTAAGACAGTCAGTCCAAATTTGCAAATAATCATTTGAGTTGTATTGAGAATCAACAAGTTCATTTGAAGATTGGCTTGAGTTGTCATCAATAAAGCCTTCATCTATCGAAATCTATTTCGGAAAATAAACAGATTTGTCAGAAAACGTTCAGTAAAATGAATCTGGCTCAAGCATTTTTGTATTGCTAGTATAAAATCAGTTTACTTAAATTACCAGATTCAGTAAAAAAAATAGCAAAATTACATTAGTCTATCATTGAAAATAGAAAGCATTACCGATTTGAAATTAGGCTTAAAAATCAATGATGTGTCTTGTGACATTTCTGGTAAACTCAGGACCAGGTCAAGCGAATCAGGAGATTTAGTGGGTTGTTGATTTGTAAGGGCACCAAAAAGCCTTTGCTGTGTGGTATTCACGAATTTGCTGTTTGTCTATGAAATAAATAAATGAATAGTGAAAATCAACAAAACAAAATAAAAAGGTATGAAGCTATCTTTGTGGAAATATATTAATTGCAGAAATATATCAATTTTCCATTCTATGTACAGTTGAGAAAATACAATTTATCCATTTTATTGAAGCACTGGAGCACCATCAGCCATTATCCAAATGTCTAAAATAGGCAGTGAGCACACAAGGTTCATAATCATATTTTTGGTTTGTTTACAAAAGCCTGAAACAGCCCTTTTAGAGCAGGACATAATAGAACAAAGTTTTATACATACATTGTTTTGGAGACTTGAATTACAGTCAATGAATCTGCAAGCTGGAGTTTCAGAAAAGACCTAAAAACAACACTTGATCTAAATACAATTGAAATAGCCAATAGAAACAGGAAAATCTGAAAACTTTAGCCCTTTATGTCAGGGATGAATGCAGCCATTTGTGATGTAAGGTGAATATATTAGCTAATCTTTGCAATCAAATCTTGAGTATAATGGAGCTGATAATGAAGCTGATAATGAAATAGATGATGATGATTAAATAAGTAGTTGGTAAGGTAAAATTTGAAGATTTCAAATAGTAGTGGAATCATAGCATACTGAAGTATATTTGTCCAACACCCTTCTGACTATAAACAGTGGACAATGATGGTTCATGATTACCAAAATTGATATCAAATTCATGGCAGAAATCTCCAAAACTAAGCATTATATTTTTCTAGCACAAGTACTATCTAGCAAAAACGAAGCAATTACATTTTTTCCAGATTTCATTGAACTTGGCAGCAAATCAACTTGAAAGAATCTACAAAGTAATAAAATATTCAAAAATCCAAAACAAACTTAACATAGAAGAACTCCAAATATCTATCAACAGGTTTAAAATCCCATACTGACTTGAATCCTAAATTAACAAAGCATACAGGCCCTCTGATGAAAGGGGGCTGGGGAGCCCATGGCCCCCTACTTTTTTGCAAAACAATAGAGCTTTTTTCAAATTCTTTTGGTATGAGTGATAAATTTTCTTTTAGCCCCCCGCTTTCCAACAGGCCTTGCTCTAAGCAAAATGAAGGTGCTCCATAAAAAGAGCCTCTTAGAAACTCTAGGCGCTCCATTTCGAACCTTTAAATAAAGTATCCTTGAGAGCATCCTTCAAGAGCTTTGGAAGATCGAGAGCTTCATATCGAAAGCTTTGAAAGAGTGTTAAATAAGAAATTCAATGGTGATACCAAAAAGCACCATAATATGAAATAACAAAACATGCAGCAAACACTATGTTAATACAAATATAGAAATATAGGAAAACGCATGGCTTTAAGTCGAACATCAACTTTGTTTCCCTTTTTATGCTATCCATTCTATAAGACACACTAGAACATCTACTACCCGCGAAAGCAAATGCAAACTGAAAAGCAATGCGATAATTTGGACGGAAATGTGATCTCTGATTTGCAATGGTGGTTTTAAATAATTAAGAAAAAAAGAAAATAATACTTCAACAGATAATTAACGCTTGCTCGAAAATCAAATAAATCTGACGGAGAATACGATTGATGGCCTGTGTCCTTGATGGTTATTAGAGGGTTATTAGATTAAAAATGATATCAAAAACCCAACGTTGAATTTGTTGAATTTTTTTCTCAAGGGGTAATTTTACGCAAATCATAATATTGCGGTCTATTGGGAAGATTGTTTATGCTTGATCAAGTTTATTAGACAAAGGCCAAAAAATTAATTTGCTCCGTGGTAATATTGTTTTTACGTTTTGAGGCGCTCTATAAATCGCTCTCCAAGGCTTCTTTTGGGTGCGCTCTAGGCGCGCGCGCTCGATCGAGCGCCTTTCCGGGCAAGGCCTGTTTCCAACCTATGTCGAAGCCCATGCATCATCTGGTTTCTCGGCTACCTAAATTGTATAACTGGTATTAAGACTGGAAGTACTACAACTGTTATCTTATTTGCTTGGTTGTAATATCATGAGTCATGCCAAACAATTAAAGTTTTCTGTTTATCAAGCTTCAACAATCTAGTTTTACCTAAAGAATATGTATCACATCCATTGTAACTTAATATTACTCACATTTTTTCTTTTCTTGCAACTTTGCTGCTTGAGGTGGAAATCCAGCTTGACAATGATTGATTCTAGAGTAAAATCATGTTGTTAGCATGATAAATATTTCTCTATTCCTTTATGTCCCATGTTACACATAGAAGCTTAAAATAAATATTCATAGCCCGTTCAAACATATATATATTCAATGTGGTGGCAATTAACTCAGTGCTAAAGTTACTAAATAGCCCACAATATAAAAACAGATCTGAATAAAAATACAACTTTGACTTATATTTAAATGTAAGGAACTGATAAAGACTGTACTTACTGTTAAGGTGTCATCTTGGAAACCACTCTCAGCTGAAGAAAGGCAATAAATATTTTGAAAATCTTCTTCAACTGGACCATCATCTGCCTTTGATAAACTCAGTAGGAGTTTTATTATCTTTGGGTTAACTTTCAAAGCTGCAAGTAAGAATCAATACACTTTAGCACAAAGATCCAGATATAACTACTATAAAAAAATAATTGATAAATTGACTGTAAGTCCTATTAGCAAATAGGGATAAATTCCTAAATAAGTTATTCACATCACATTTCAGATATAACAGTACATGCTATCTATTCCATTGATAATTTTCTGTCAAAGATTTTTCCTTTTGTCTGTTGTAGAACTTCTAAGAATTTATATCGTGGTTCAAACTTTTGAAACATGCTACAGGTGCAGATTTGAGAGTTGATGGCTTTGTAGTTATCATCCACTAAATCTATTTGCTGATAAGGCCTTTTTCTATTATAAACAAAAACATTAAATGCATTAAAATTACAATGAAAAGTATCTTATGTAAAAAGGGTCTAAAATCCTGGTGCACTGTTTCTAGTGCACATGCCAGAGAAGAATAGCAAATTTATGAAAGTTGTTTACATGATATCATCTGGTAAGGAATTATTAGTTATATCATTTCTTGAAATTATTACTTATATGTACCATGAGAATCTGATGAGTTACTTTGAGACCAGGAGATAAAATTGTAAACCAGGAAACCCCTTTCAAATCTGGGAGGCTATGAAGGTCAGATACTTCAAGGATGCTGTGGCTGGGGGCTGGACAGCTATGCTTTGGTTTTCCATCTAAGGCTGGACACATTATTACATTGTTTACATATCTAACAATACTGTCTATTAACTGGCACTTAGGTTATATGTACAATGTTTAGCAAGGTAAAGACAATTGTTAGCTGGCTACACAAAGATGGAAAAAGTGTATTAGCAAAGTTTGATGGAAAATTTGATTGAAATGCCTCTAAAACAATGGACATTTTTCAATATTTTACTGTTTCCTGTATGCTTTTGTCAAAATTTGTAGGGAGATAAGCTACATTGGTTCCCTATAGAATATGATCCCCAAACACACAACACTCATTTTATTTTTTTGATAGCTAGTGATCTGTTTTTAAGTTAGTAGTGGCAAAATGTTCATCTATGTTCCTTTAATAAAGGGCCAAAGAATTCATTTTCTTAACTCAAAAAAACACCCTTCAATATGGTTTAAGATCTGTCTGTTTTTCTGGTGCTGCATCGTGGAATAGTATTCCTACTGACATCAAAATCTGTATCATTGGTTTGCTTTCGTTATAAATTGAAGTCATATCTGCTTGCAAAAAACATTAACAGCTAATCCTTGAAATTTTTCACCCTGTTTTCCACTTCCCACATACAGAAATCCGAGTTTAATTTTCGGTATTATTTATTTTGATATCTTTGAAGTGCTGAAATATCTTAATGTATACTATAAGGGGGCCTCTCTCCTCGACTAGCTTTGCTACTGAGAGAGTTCCTCCTTTAAATTATTCCCCATACATACATATCCCACCAACAATTTGTGTTCCATATCTTATTGTTATAGTTATTGTTTGATATTTGATGTTGTTGTATTTTTATTAGTATTTTGTGAAAATGTATGTTGTAGAATTTAAAATAAAATGAATCTGAACCTGAACCATACAGCTTGCAGATTAATTTTTCTGCACATATCTAAAGATGTCCAGATTTCTAATTCTATACATTAAGCAAACCAATCAAATTGACAAAATTGTGCAGGGTTTCTCTTTAAAAATTCCGGTCTTATTCTGAGCTCTAAGATCCTGGCTTGAACAGAAAATTGTTTCAAGCACAGACAGAAAAGTGTACAGCCATGCATCATATGATGATTGAAAATGTTCGAATGTTTATCAGTCCAAAAAAACATTTTACCCTTGAAGGATTCAGCTAATTCTTCGATCTTTAATCCTTCGGCACTTCTCCTTTGCACCTTCAAAATGAAGGCTTTGATCATTAAATCATTGTAAATTTTGAAATCACTGTCTTCCGTATATTCAGACACAATGAAATTATCCTGCGAGACAACATAAGGTGAATTTAGACACGTCAGTAGCATTGTCCAGGCTTTTCTTTCGCATGCTCGCTCCGTACTTTTAAACTTTATTCTTTGGCTGACTTTATTCAAGTCAAACTCGGTCACAGAATTTCTTGATAATGACAATGCAAGTCGTTTTATTTCTAACTTTACATTGCATTCTTGTCTGTTGACAGCCATATTGTTTTGTTTTTATAATGTATTCGGTCAGAAATTAGCAACAACTGAAAATAGCGACGTGCTCTTCTATATCCTTCCTACATGTTGCTTTGAAAAAATCACTTATCTCAATGGCTTTGCATGTAATCCGCGACATATCGACGACAAAGGCGAATAAAAAATCTTCCTACAACATCCTTTGCCGCCATCACTTGTTTGAAGCATTTGTTGTTGTTGTTGTTGTTGGTTCTGGGTGCGTGAATATTTCTATGGTTAGAAGTTTTTTCCATTCTACTTCACTCTACTCAGATTTTTCTTCAGCAATTTTTTTAAAATATGACATAGATAACATAGATAATCTTTAGAATGTGTCATAAATTTTCCTAGATGATGGTGGAGCCCCAAATAATTGTCAAACTGTAGTATATTTCCTTTATATCAGTGCACTGAATGAGAAGGAATACAATGGGCAGCCTCCAATATGAATTTCGTTCCGATAGCACTGCGTGTATATTACAGCCAGTACATTCATAGGCGTACGATGAGTTCAGGAAAGGGGAGCTGAAATTTTTTTGCCCGAAAAATAGTAACGCCCAAATTTTTACGAATTTTGGCTTCTAAAATTAGGCAAGAAATGACTTAAAGGCAACTTCATTAAAATAATGTTAGCTAATAAGCATAGGCGTAAACTTAGGGGGGATCTGGGGCTTCAGCAACTCCTGATGAAAACCGAGAGGGGGGGCTGAGCCCCCCTGGAAAATAAGGAAGTGCTTTACCAATTTTTAGATTAGTTTGTTATATTATTGGTTTCACGCATAAGATTTGTTGCATTAGATAATTGCATTTACATCAAAATAAAGTAGGAAATTATTGTGAACATAAGGTTGACACCTTCATATCAAGAAATGCCGCGAGAAAGAGTACATTTTGGGTGCCTAAATAGAGCTGATGATCTCAACCTAAAGAAACTGATAATGATTTAAAAATAAACTTTCAATTTCATTTGTGTGTTTCTTCTTCCTCGATAATGGAAAATGCACGGAAAAATCGCCTTAGTTAATCCACTTTCTATCCTGTGACATCAGCAGCTGCCATCAGGAATTGTCATTAATTTTTTGAGCCCCCCCCCCCCCTGAAAAAATGCAAGTCTACGCCTATGCTGATAAGCCTTTTTTAAAACTTAACACTAACGCAGTTTAGGGCACCTTTATTCAGCGTTTTTCAACCTTTTTATCTACGGCACATTATTTGCGGATAGTTGTGTATTGGAGAATTTTCCACGGCACACTTGGCTGTACCTCAAGGCACGCTAGTGTGTCATGACACAGTGGTTGAAAACATTGCCTTAGTTTGATAACCAAGGGCCCCTGACCAAATGGGGTCCAAGGTGCTTTTACGTTCGTATCTTTAAAGCTTTGCTCAAGTTAAAAAACTTTTGGAAACTTTGAAAGTTCTTCAACTGAAGCTCTAAAACTCAGTTCCCCCTAGCTAACGAGAAAATAATTATCATTTTAATCTTTTTCTATTGTGATTGACATGCTCTACACAATTGAATGTTATCTGCTTGCTCTCCGTGAATAGAAGTCCCGTGGCAGTTTTTGCTTAGGGCCCCAGAAGCCTCCATTACGCCAAAGCACATAAAATGTGATAGTCACTATCACTAAATCACGCATAGATTTCTTCCAAAACTTTGTCCATTACATTGTAGAATCAATTGAACAGAGCTTTGCTTTCTAGATGGGTTTTGGGGTCTTTTTCCTTGCAAACAGAATAAATGTTCTGTCCACTGACTCCCACTGGCAAGCACAGTGCTTTGCGCTTTGTCCATATTACTTATTTAACCATTCATTATCACCTTTTCTCTTGAAATTGCATATCTTTTGAGGTTAGCCTCAATGACATTGTAGAGACTTTGAACAACACTATGTACATTTCTCATAGACTCACTTTCTGCAAGATTCAACTTGTGTCCAGGGCAGTGGATATAGATGCTCAGCGTAGAAGAGTCCTTCATTCACTATTCCCAACCCTTGGCTTTGCAATTCATTTTAGACTGTTGAACCTTTTCCCAGCAAGTTTCTACATATGCTTTTAAGCCCAATTTGTACAATTGCTGAAGACAGAGTTTTGTAAAATTTGGCAAAAGACTTCCTTTTGGACACCAATTAGTTAAAAACTGCCACAGACTGACATTTCTCCGTGCTGACGAAAATAAGATGTTTTATCAATTATGAGAGCATAATAGCTGCTTTCTTTTACTTCTTCGGCAATCTTTTCGAGCACTATTGGAGCTGTTGCTCAGCAAAACAATATATAAAGATAGCAAAACAATAGACCCAAAGTGAGATTTGCTCAGAAGATTCTTCAATAATAAGCCATTTAGCTACAAAACAGTGTGTCCTTCTGTACTAAAGAAAATCCTTAACATAAGATTTACACAAAGAAAAAGTATTATGACCAGTATACAGAAATTCACCTAAAAAACAAAACTTTACAATAACATTACATATAAATATTTAATAGCTAGGCCTATCTAGCATTTTCTTTGGTCTTACGTACTAAGTAATTCTGAAGTCTTTCCACCTGTGAATTCCAGTCATCCATAGTGCAACCATGCAATTCAGAAATTCTAAATGCTTGAATACATGGAATTCTGTTGCCTGTCTGCAAAACCATTCCTGTGACCATGACTTGCATTCCTGAACAAAGGTTCAAAATAACATATATTGCATTTTAAACCTTAAAACCAATTTAAATTTCTGTGCTACATGTCATAGAAGAATATTGGTTATTAAACCCTAACTATCTATCTATACCATCATTCATGACATCATAATAAAGATACTCTTAAGAAAAAATGAGTATTGAAATTTCTAGAACATTAAGAAACTGGAATACTCAACACTGACCTTTGTTGCTTATGAAAAATGAGTGTATATACCTATTTTTTTAATAATTCTGTATTTCAACCTGCACTTAGGTATTAAGTTATTAGATAGTGAAATTGAGGATTAGTAAAATCGTTAACTGGTTAAACAAAGATGTAAAACAATATAATAGCAGCAATTCTTCACAGTGAAAATTACTTTACTTAAGAAACAGGGGCTTTAAAACATTTTTGTAACAAATGAAAAATAAGATGTGTGAAGCGTGTTTGCTTGGATACAAAGCCAAGAGAAGGGGCAACAGTAGCCTGTGCACTATCATTTATATATATATATTTTACATAGCCCTTAAAATTATTATATTTTCTACATTCGTTAACCTTTGTTGAAGCTCTTCTCCAGGAACCAGTTCCTGCTAACTATTTCTTCAATGCCAAACACATCCGCCACACCAGTCCCATCATGCAATCTAACGATAGTTTTATTGTCATTGTCATGTAATATGTCTTCAATAGTTCCCTGAATCCAGACATTTGTTAAATAAAAACATTTTCCTCCTCCTAAATTTAAAACAAATTTTCCATACAAATTTTGATCGTTGTGTCTCGCTCTTTCTGGCGATGGGACAAGCTCTACAGACTGCAGTTGCGAAATGAAGATCTTCCGTGCCGGTGCCGGAATCCTTGGCCTTTCAACTGACATATAGATTTAGGCTGTCTCAGGTTATCAAAGCTAAAACTGGAATTCAGAGACGTGAATATGATTCAGTCCATGTTGACTATCAAAACATTCTGATCAGATGAGAATTCGCGCCAAATTCGCAGTGCAGGATCGAGGCCTTCTGAGTACGAGATCTTAGTTCGACAAAGGAACAAAGATGGAGAGTCCAGAGGACGCACCTGAGGAAGCAAATCCTATAGAAGATCTTGATGAAGAAGCGAAGGATGTTGTCGTCGTGCACAATCAATCAACTTCTGTGCTCTCGATTGAAACATTTTCACATGCGCTTTCTGGGGCTACTGTAAGTGACAATAAAGTTTCAACTCGTCTCCGTCTTGCAAAACTGCAAGAGTTGCTTTTTTAGCCAGAATGTATTAATTTGGGGGTGCGTGGGCAGGGGCGTCGTCAGAGAGGATGGTATGGGGGCGCTCTCATGTATGGTATTGCAGACGCGTCATTGCAACAAACGCCACATTATCAGCTGGGTGCATATGTAAGTTTCCCAGCCTGGATTGTAACAAATAACAGTAGAAGTTGAACTTTCAAAGTATGGCACTAAAGTATGAATTTTGAAATAGAAGGACATGAAAGCAGCATCTTATGACCACAACCTTAAAGAGTGAAACACGCTCTTTTGTCAGAAAATTTTTTTGGCTTCGCACTTGAGCATTTGGCATACTGGAATCTTTTTGCTCTACTCTACAGATCTATGGCAGACAGAACCTTGGATGAATTTGACACCTTGGATGAACTTTAGACCGAAGGATACTGGCCCCAATTGATTGCTCAGTTTTAATTTCTGGCATTTGTGGCAAACATTTAATTTCTGGAAACAATTTTTTTTCGATTCTAGTAGGGGGGCATGGGGAAAGTATTCTGTTGCAGAAGGAACTTTTGTATGAACCAAATGAGAAACTTCTTGCCTAAAAGACACAGTGTCTGGTCAGTCTAACATTCAGAGTTAACAACAGTCTTTGGAGCTCATTTATAATTGATGAAAATTGAGAATTATCTGATTAGATGCATAACAATAGGTCTGTGTAATCCAACATATAGGAAATTTAAGTTGACAGTAAAATGCATTGGTCAGGGGACATAGTGCCTCTAAGGCTTAACTAGAACAATAAAAGCCTAGATAATATACAAACATTATTTTCAAAACAGAAATCCTGCAGCATTCTTTCAATCTGTTATTTTGCAGTATTTTTGCCAACATCTACTCCATGTAGGAACTCTAGGAAGTAGAATATTTTCTAATCTAAGCATTACATGAAGTACTTTTACAGTTTTAGTATATCTATGAGAAAAGACTCTAATTAAAAAAATTTTGCAAAGCAAAATAAGGCAACTCAGGTTAAGCTACATAGCCAGTGGCACAGAGAGGGGGGCAGGGGGGGCAATTTGCCCCAGGGCCTCGGCCTGAAAGGGGCCCCAAAATTATTCTGACAATTTTTTAAAATGTTTTTTTTTGAGAAACTGAAAATGCATTCAAAGATATATTTGTTAAGATCGAAAATGATGGCAGTAATTTCATTGGGTCCGTACACTGAGTCTTGTTTGAATTTAAGGCCTATCAGCTTTATTTATTGAGTCTGGGGCCCTGAGAAAAGCTGAATAAATCTTAGATCACATATTTCACGAATTCATCTTTTAAGCTGAGTTTCCCTGAGTTTGGCAAAATCGTACTTATTGGCTGATAAAAAATTTTGTAACCCATATTATCTTGTTTTAATCTATGGCCCGTTCAAGTGAGTTATGTTTGCATTTAGACTCGTTGCATAAAACTTTATTATATTTTTGGGGCCCCTTTCAGCAAACTAGCATTAATAAATAACCGCTTACGTTCAACAATGACTCAAGACAGACTATCAAGCCTCATGACTCTTTCGATCGAGCACGAACTAGCAAGACAAATTGATTACAACAATATCATTGATCAGTTTGCAACTGAAAAAGCAAGAAAAATTAACTTTTGAAGGACGAAAGAACTGAAAAGCATAGTTCCATGGGATTTTTTAAATAAAAGTTCGTAGAATAAAAGTTTGCCTTCATTTTAAATCCTAATATTGCGTGGCTCACCAGAAAAAAACAGTTAGAATTGAAGGAACACATCTTGAGGTCCTCTTTAATCAGCTAAAAGGGTGTGGTCGAAGAGCGTATTTAAATCGCTTACCTTTAGAATTAATGCTTTTTATTACATTTTATGATATTTTAACCATATTCTATAACGTGCGCAAACTTATGGAAATAATGGGTGTTAAAAAGGGCATGGTCTCGAAAAATTTTTGTATCCGACTCTAGGGCCCCAACCAGGACTTTGCCCCAAGGCCCAGGCCGCCTATCGGCGGCCCTGTACATAGCTTATACTTGTATACTATTTTTAGTTTCCTATTAATTCTATCTAAGTTCATTATTAAATGCAACAACATTAAGTTCATTTCTACAATTTTGCAGGGTAGCGTCTTGGCAATGTCAACTTTTTATCCTCTTGATACAATTCGTACAAGACTGCAAGGTATGCCTGTGTAGAATTACAATAAGATGCATGGAATATTTTGATAGAAAGTGCTAAGAAATGCTCCACCAAAAAGTAAACAGGAAAGCAAGAAGTTTGCTCAAAGTTTTTCAGATATAATGTATATTAGGAAAAGTTACAACTGGGAAAATGTTCATAGTCTCAGTGTCATCATTAATCTAAGTTCCCCTTAACTCTTTTGTGAAAATGATTTGATACATGCATAGATTGCAGCTCTATACCTGGATCCACAGTTGCTTAAATATTAACATGTGGGAAATCCACATATGGTGTTTCATAGATATATTGAAGTTCAAACAATTGGACATGAGCTCTGAAAATTAAAAATTGGAGCTTGCAATATTACAAAGCTTGTCTTTGTGATAAAAATATGTGCCTCTTTTTGCAACATTTTTTATGACTGGCATGTCTCTGCTAAGAAATACTGGAATAATGTTCTCCTTATTAAACCTAGATAAAAAAATCAAAGAAGTCTAAAAAATATGAATAATTTTCTTTTCAGTGGAAGATAGAAGAGAAGCAAAACCTACATACAAAGTTGTCCAAGAAATCTGTAATGAAGAAGGCATAGCAACTTTGTACCGTGGCCTTGTCCCAGTCCTATCTAGTCTCTATTGCTCAAACTTTGTTTACTTCTATACCTTTCATGGCCTGAAGAAGCTCCTGCATTCCAAAGATATGAAGCATAGACCTTTCCTTGATCTATCTCTAGGATATTTTGCAGGTATGTTATGGATTTAAATGCTACTCAGTATTAACCCTTTCCAAATCTTATCATTGGAACTGTCCAACTCTAAACATTTGAATATAAAGTTAATGTGGTTTTATTTGGTTTTTTGCACTACAATATCTGGAAAACAAAAACCTCACTATGCTTTGTAAGACGTCAAAACTTGGCTCATATTAACCCATTTAGCTTATAAAGAGAAATGATTATGTCACAATCTGATTTGAATTTAGAGTCACAAAAGCTATACATTTCAGGGCTTCCAATGGGGGGCGTGCGATAGTGTGCAGGCACGCACCCGATCCTTGAGAGCAATTAGTCCCGCACCCAGAGATAAATATTTCTCTGAAAGAGTGCGATTACCGGGTGCTGATAGGTCAATCCACTCAAGAAACTCTTTTTATAAATGGAAGTTTGACATGGAATCCTTGTTTCCACTACTCCATTTTCGTATGTCTTTGTTTTCCGATCATTCAGTTTCCGTTATTCTTGAGCTGTTCCCATTGTTGGCTTTTGTAAATAGTTGGCTTTTATGAGCTATGCTTGGCAATTTTATACCTGAAGATGAATGAATTCGTTTTTAATTGACGCCTTTTTCATTTCTCTCATTCAAACAATTCGTCTTTTAATGACTCTGTTTTTGATTCTCTCATTCAAACAATTCGTTTTTTAAATGACTCTGTTCTCCAATAACTTTGTTTTCGCTGTTCCATCTTCATCTTCAAACAATTTTTTTCTGGTTGATAACGATTGAAGATGAAACATCTCTATGTCACACAGTACCCTTCATGATTACTCCCGAGGAAAAACATGAACATAACTACACAATGTGTAGCATTCAGTTCATTTATTAAAAGGTTTGTCACGTTTAATGATTCAATAGAAAAAACTTTATTGCTTTGTGTTAAAAAATGAATTTGATTCACGTGCCCCACTCTTATCACTTGCATTTCATTTTGTAGGACTTGTGAACTCAGTGTTAACAACTCCACTATGGGTTGCAAACACAAGATTAAAACTGCAAGGTATAAAGCAAAAGAATAGCAAAAGTAACCAGGAAAGGAAGACAACAAATTATTCAGGCCTTTTTGGTAAGGCTATAGAATTGGTTTAGTCTGTTTGCTGAAATCATGTAACACTACTTCCAGAACTTTTTGCTTCAATAAAAATCTAAAGACTCTTTGGAACTGTAAAGACCAAATGCTAAATATTTATGTAAAATCGTTTTTATTGTATTAAGCCTAGCTAATTTTATTGAACTAATTAAGTTGCCTTTGTTAATTGGTGCTCAAAAGTAAGTTTTAGTGTACATTTTTAAATGTATATATGTATGCTAAAATGTCGTTCAAATAAACTTATTATCTCAAATATAATTTAGATGCTGTTCAAAAGATTGCAAAGGATGAAGGTATAACTGCATTGTGGAAAGGTATTCAAACCTCAGTCTTCCTCTCTGCGAATCCAGCTATCCAGTTTATGGTTTATGAAGCAATCAAACGATTTGTAAACAGACTAAAAAGAACTGAATCAGGAAAGAAAATGGTACTTGGCTCATATTAAAATACATTATCAAAAATCATAAACCAGACAATAACTCCATGAAATAAATACCATATTGTCACATGTTTCCTGTTGCTTTTTTACAAAGCATAAATCTATATTTTCTTCGACACATTTGTGAAAGGCTCTGTACATTATCATGCTTTTCTCCTGTCCTTTCAGCTTCTGGTTTTTTCATATCATACATCTGATACAGCTATTACCTTTTCTTTTGTATTGGACCTTCAGAAATGGAAATGAAATTCTATTATTGTTTTGAACAGATCATTATTTTGAAAACTGACAAAGAGTATCTCTATTCAATAGGCCATTTCAAGTATTGAATTCTTTGTGATGGGAGGAGCAGCAAAAGCAGTAGCAACCATCCTTACATACCCCTTGCAATTGGCCCAGTGCAGGCTCAGGGTACGAAAAAGTGTAATTTAATGTATAATGAAATTTTTCTGAAAATGAGTGGACATAGTGCAAGAAAAAAGATTTATGCGAGCACATTTACATAATGTTTACTTATTATATTTGATTAAAACTATTGTAGAAACAAGCAGAAACAAGTAAACATTTACATAATGTTTAGTAAACATGTTTTCATAGGTATATAAGGTAAAAACTAAAAAACCAATATGTGAATGAAATTGTAAAATCCAAAATGGAAAAATGAGAAAAACGGAGAAAATACTTCTAATACTTGTTCCTACTTGTTAATTAGATGTACCGTAACAAGTTTGCAAATAGGCTTAACTAAGTTCCCAAAGAAATTAAATCGATTTGTTCTACTCAGTTTTTTGTTTTAAATCCTAAAAAGCTGTTCCACTTGAATTTAAATTTATGAATTGAAAATCAATTTAAAGTTTAATGTGGGTTTTAATCATGCCAAATCTTCAGGCTAAGTAAAAAAAGTAAAACAATTGATCTTCTGAAAATAGATTTTGATCAATGTATGATAATTTATTCATTATAAACATAAATAACAATTTCAACAGAATAAGTTTTTAGATTTTTTATAGTATTTATGACTGCAATTGTCTTGATTAACAGGCAAACAGGGATTCTAAAGCCAAGGAAAGTCAAGGAATGTTGAAGATGTTACTTCAGATATACAGGTAAGTCAAATGTTTCTTTCATCTTTGTAATGAATTAAGGCCATTTAACAGTAAACTTGATGGCTTACATATACCTTAGAGTTTAGAGGTAGAAAAAAGGAGTAAATTGATCAACTTTTAAATGACAAAGATCAAAGAACTACAATTCTTGCATACGTCTGTTTCCTAAAAGTAGAATACTCAACAGCTACTTACACAAAGTTTTATTCTTTGTGAGTCAACAATTACTATCTAACTGCCAATTTTAACCAGTTATATAAATAACAATAATTTGAAAACTAGTCAGATGTCCAATGTTGATATCAACAACTAGTTATAACTAGTTTTGTTTCTTTTTTATAGAGACAGAGGTTTCGTTGGACTGTTTAAGGGCCTTGAGGCAAAGCTCCTGCAAACAATTTCGACAGCAGCATTGATGTTCTTAGTTTATGAAAAACTGATGAAGATTATAATGAAATTTTTAAAAGTTACAAAATAACTCTAGGCTATTGATAGTTTTTAATACTAGTAGTTTTATTTCTACCCTAGAAGTATGAGAAAAGAATGTATCAGAATTGGAACCTAAATTGTTGTGCCAATGTGATGTGTTGTAGTTAAGAATTTTTTGAGAAAATCAGGAATTAAATAGTTAACTAGGATTTCAAAGAATTTCAAAATTTTGATTATGTTTGTATTACTTATGTTTTTCTAACTAGAATTTTCTTTATTCAAAAGTAAAGCTAGTGCAAAATTCAGATAATCAAAGTCATATTTGAAATTAAATCATCAAATGGATTGCACTGTCTTTTATTTCTTGTTAGTATTTTGACTCTCTCTCTTTCTCAAACTAAACTTTTTGTCAAACTATGCTTGTCAGGTGTTACTGCAGCTTTAAACAAAAAATTTAGATGTTTTTTTTTAAAAAGCAAGATATGCAGTCTGTTTCATAAGCAAAATGCCATGTGTTTGTCAAGGGGGGCTGCTCTTGTTTTCCAGCATTTTACAATGGATATTTCAACACTGCTCTGAATTATCTCTTCCCTCTCTTCATCTGACCAATTTTTGTTGTTTTATATTAAAACTCAGAAGCATTTCCATACGATTATGTTCCATTCTTAGTCTCCTGTCTGAGAGAACGGGGCGTAGAGTACTGAATGCCCTTTCCACAGTAGAGTTGGAACCGCTGATTGACATTATAATTTCAGCGCATAAGCATAAATTTGGATATTCGTTCGCATGCCGAGTGCCCTATAGCGAGCCCTTTAATCTCTGATTCAGTTCAATCTTAAGCCTTGTTTCCATATATAGCTTTTATGCATTGGCGACACTTTTAACCAAGGCCTTCTAGGGAGCCTCTTGATATTGACAACAAACCTTTCCTTTCGAAGTCATCACGTGAAGAAAAGCCTGCTTGCTTACTCGCAAAAACAGAAACGGTCTTTACGAAAAAGTGAATGAAATGACCACACATGAACGTGAGGCTGGCAACTACCACACATGAACGGCATGCAAAAGAGCGGAAACAAGGTCACACACCCGTCGCCACTTTTCAAAACTGTCAACATTGGCAGAAATATTATTGCCTAATTAGATTACATACCATTAACATAAAACACTTCACATTGTCAAATTTATCATGCAGCACAAATAGTAACAGTAAATTGTTTCATGCGTGCATTTTATCGCACTCATTATTAACTCCATGCGTGTGTGGGTGCGTGCGCATGCGATCGCACGCATTAAAAGAAATAGGCTGGACATGTTGATGGAATTTTTTGTAATGACCTGAAGATATGAAAAGGAACTTGCTGGTGATTTTTGTGGAAAGATGAATTATAGCAATGAAGGGATTTTATGCAAAAATATTGTTTTGCAGTCTTAAAAATTATTTTTTAAGTAACTGAAGACAGTTTATGCTGCATACTATTTACAATATTTGAATATTATATTGCTAGGTTGAAGAGCAGAGTAAAGGTTTACATATTTCTTTATTACTAAAAGAAATTGAAAAACATTGGAACATCTTAGGATAAACTTATTAATGAACTAAATAAACATTTTAGTTACACAACATTTTGTTCTTTTCTGCTCTACTCTTATATTCCTCTTGAATCAGGCATTCTTTCCTATTTGTTAAGCCTTGTCTTCTCGTTTCTTGGCTGGACATTTTTAGAGTCATTTCTTAATGAGTATATGTTTAAAACAGTCTACTGTATTTTTGCACTTAATTTATTTACTCATCATGTTATTACTCAATAAAAGTACTACAAGAAGTCAACATATTTAATCTAATATTAGCAGGACTGTATAAATGATAACTAGTTTATTTTGCTAGACAGTCTTTAGGTTCAAAAGGTGAAACTAACAGAGCTTCAAAGGCTTAAAACCAATTTGAACTTTTTTAACCATCTAGTAGGACAATAAGAATTTTTCATTTTAAAATAACAACTGATACCATCAATCCATAAAATGAGATCTAGAAATAGATTTTGATAAAAAAATTCCAAATGAAAATGTGGACAGAAATGGAAGACAAGGACAGAACCATAAAGAGGTAGGAATATACCTGTTTTTATATTCCTATCCCCAAGGTTAAAAAAGAATAAATTTAATATGTACCTAATCTTCAAGTGGAATGTCCCTAAAGAGGTAAGACATGGATTCTCCATTATGAATTCTTCTTACAGCCTCAGCAAGGATAGCACTGATATCAACTGACTTGATTTTTGTGCATTTTGCTTCCTTTTCAGTTGATGGAATTGTATTTGTTACAATTACCTACAACATGGAAAATACTTCTCAATGAGTTTAATTTTCTCCTACAATGCAGACATTTTAAACAAAACCTTAATATGAAATAACTAAAATAGACAAACTGCAGCATGTCCACCAGATTACATCAAACCAAGATTATTTATTAGAACAGCGTATCTTTTCTGTGAAGTAAACACAAACTCTATATTTCCCACTATATAAAATAAATTAATTGAAAAATTTAACAAGTAAGAAGATATGCGGATCACCTCATCAATACATGAATCTTCAACCATTGATGGGGCATTTGAAGATAACAAGCCATGAGTTGCCATAACATATATTGTGTATGCACCCCTTTCTTTGAGTAGTCTGGCTGCCATTACCAATGGTGAAACATCATCCACTATATCATCCTGTTAAAATTAAAAAGGTAGTTTTGTTTTCTAAATATTTGGCAAAAGGACAAACAGATCATGAAATTTCTACAAGAAATTAATGGGAAAATATTTTGATTTTTCATGCACAGAACACTTCAATGAAGCTTTTGACATCACAAATCTTTTAAATTTTAGAACCATTTCCATATCTAAGATTTTTTAATTCTTGACAAGAGGAAAAAAATTTCAAACACAAAATTCAAAGCTGTTGTATAAAACAACCCTATTCCAAATTTATTGACATTTTTTAATGACATATGTAACATTATTTCTCTTGTTAATTATCAGAGCTTGTTAAGGAAAACCAAAAGCCCTGCAACTAAAGCTACACTCTTTTTTTATAAGAACACATTCAAGCCTCAAAACTGGTCGAAAGTTAAGAACAAATTAAGAACAAGCTGAGGCTGAGCTTCTGCAAAATGCAATTTTGAACAAGATTTTTTCTCAAAAGAGAGGATTTTTAGCAATGTGTGGGTGCTTTTTCTGTGAATATTCAGATTTTTCAGCAAATTAAGGCTGTCTCACTCATTTTGTTGGCAAATGAGGCCTGAACACCACCCTAGAGCAAAAAAGCTAGCACTCACACTGCTTACACCCTATTAAGATTAAGAACAAATTAAGAACAATCCAGCCTCAGATTTTCAAAAAATTAAGAACAGTCAGCCTGTTATGAACACTGAAGAGGAAGTTTTCCCTCTAACTCTAAAGGTCAAAACTCCCTCAAGAGACACATTTCAGAGAAATACGAGCAAGAAACCCGTATGAGACATGTGTTTAGTAAAATAGTAGTTTTTATTGTTTCCTAAGATAAAAGCGTCTGTTCTAAAATTAGCTGGACTTTGGACTGTTTTTTGATATAAATACAAGCGAAGATTTGTATGTTCTTGTTCATTATCGTTGAGTTAAGAAGACATAGTTGCGGTAAATGAATCAAAACTAGAAGCTTCTCTTTTGTTGATATGAACAAGACCTCTGATCAAACACAGCCTAAACGCAAATTTACTGGTTCTTATAAAAAAGATAGTAATCTACAATCAACTTATGTGCTAAAAAAGATAATCGAGTTGTATAAATGCAATTTATGTTACAAAAAAGGCTACTGGCCGGATAGATAAGAATGATTACCACAATAATTGCGATCTTCCCGTCAACATCTCCCACCAAATTCATTGGTTGCTTTGTCTTGATATGCATTCCTACAAGAACAATCCTCTATTCATTAAACAATAAAGAGCTTCTTTTAGCATTATAGTATCAATCAATCAGTCTTTAAGGCCTGCGATCACACAAACACATGCCCAAATTTTCCAAAGCATGCAAATCATTGCACCCACAAAACAAAGAATTTGCCATAAAATATGTTTTGAATATTTTTAAAGCAGCAGTAAATCAAAGTTGCCAAATTCAAAGGCAGTTCTGTCGTTTTTCAAGGTGTTTCTAAAGCATTCCCATACGAGACTTAACAACAGTGTCACAAAGTAGTAACAGCAAGATCGCTTAACATAACAGTTTTTAACCAAGGGGATGCCAAGGGGGAGTATCTGTGGTTTAAAGTTTCGATCCAAGAGTTGTCTTCAGTCTCGATTATTCTGTTCTTCAGTGATCATGGCGGGAGGAAACAAAGTGGAGCTGGCAACATTTTTTGGTTGGGGAAAAAACGGAATTATCGTAAGAATAGAATGCCATACAGTGTTATGGAGATGCAACTTCGTATTGCAATCAATGATAATATATGGACTGACAGAGAAAGATAAATTATATTGAAAAGGGCAATGGTGCTCTATTTTTCATAAGAGCAGAAACCTAAACTAGAGAAAGAGGAGGAAGCTGAAGAAAGCTTTGAGGAAAAAGGGACGATTATTGTACTGTTATTTAATTATTTTAAACTGCTATCGAACAATTTTTAAGATTAAGAGCTGTAAAAACTTATTGTTGAGTTCAAAGAAGTGATGGTAAGATATTTTTCAAGAATTTCCGCTATGATATTCGCTACGTTAACGATGATACTGAAGTCAATGATGCTGCATGGTAATTCTCGACAATGCATTGTAATTTCTATGAGCAATCGAGTATTTTTTTTCAACCCAGATATCTTTAAAGGATAACAAAAAGGTTCTATAATTACTTCCTAGAAAATTTATTGAAGAATTAAATTTAACATAAGAAGAACAAGAACAGTTTCTCTGCCAATTTCCTTGGTTTCTGTTCAGTGTATAACACAAAGGTCTCCTTGAAAGCAGCACCCTATAGTTCTTGACATCAGGAGAAAGAAACGACCAATAAAAAAGCGGTCCACATCACACACGCAAATCAGTCAAGACATGCGACATGCCGCACGTGGCCTATTCTCATATTACAAAGACTGATTTATAGGAAAGAAGGGATTTCACAATTAGCCATAGATGCACTAGTGCAAAAGAGGTTTAACTAGCGGCTACATGGAGTGTTGTGTACTTCTCTATGCTTTCTCTTGATAACATATCCGCTTTATCAATTAAAACCAACTGATAAAGTGATGAAAAACCTAAGGTCTAATTAGACATGGGGCAAAAGCATGTTGTGTAGCACATAATTGCTGATGGTGGTCATTTGAAAAAAAATTAAAGAAAAAGCTTGGTCTTCACTTGACCAAATCTGGATAAAACTTATTCTGTCATATGTTAACATGCCCTGTTTCAAAAAAATAATTCATTCATGATTATTGACACAAGTATATAGATTAACTGGACTTTGTGTCTAAGACAATAGCAACATAGTTGAGGGGGCAACAAATCTAAAGAGGACCAAAATAAGTGAAAGATACAACAATTAGTCTCATATTTACAATACCTGGTGGAATAAGCTCAGAAGCAACTTCGCTGTACATAGACTTTGAAATTCTTCGGGTTCGTTCAGGAGGAGGAGAATGCCTCCCATCCACTATTTCACTGTCTGCTTCAAATTGGTCACCATGAATTACAGCAAGACCTAGCCGCAGCCTCTCAGCAAAGGACTGAGCTCTAAATGAATTCATCCAGATTTTAGATATATTTCCTGGCCTTTAATATTTAAATGCTATAAGGCTTATACAATATTTTGAAAGAAAATTTATTAAAGGAGCTTGAAAAAATCAACTTTAACTTTTATCAATCATTTTATCTAAGTCTTCTGATTTGGAATTGGTTCCAATTTAATCAAAACTTTGGTATCTTTGAACACAATAAAACAAATTTTTATGAAAACCAGGTGCTCTTTCTAGATTGTCAACAGGTAAAAACCCTTCTTAAAAAATCCCTCCAACTCACATCAACATCTTTGTAGTATCCCTTGTCAACTTGTTATTTACACTAAATTAAATATTATTAAAAGTTTTGGGAAAAAAACAAACCTTGCAGCAGAACCTGGGTTTTTTGCAACAATGACTGCATTGCGATAATCAGGAACCTATAATGATAGCAGATACAACAAAATCAAGGATATGAGTTTGAATTTGTATCAAACTAGTGTCTGGCAAATGTGTTATTCTGTCTGACCCATTAAAAAGTATGAAATGTATGAGCATTTACATGAAAATGTGAATGGAAAGTTGATATCCAGTTGTGGATAGAAGAAAATACAAGAAAAATAATGAGAGATATAAATAATTTAAAGTCTCTTTAATTTCTCCCACAAAAATAGGTGATATTCATGGATTTCAATTGCATTTTGAAACAGTGAAAATTATCTATGAGGAGCTAAAAACAAAAATGAGCTTTGAGAAACAGAAGAGGATATATCTTGTCATTCTTTAATAAATCTTGTCATCTTGTCATTGCATAAATGAACCATTACTGTTGCCTTAATGTAACTCAACAAGAACAAAGCTTAAACAGCCCAAACATAATATAGGTTCATTTTTTACTTTTAAGGGCCAAAATATTGTGGGTTTTAGTCATGTGGTCTGAATCAACTCACTGGTATCAATCTATCAAAAATAATTATTCAGGGCAGTTAATGACAACCCTAAAAGATATCCTTTAAATAAACTTTATTATAGGGAGTATCACACAGAGAACATCCCACATGGCAACCAACCAGATAAAGTGAAAGTTGTTTGGGTGAAATAAATTTTAAAGCAATGAATAGCAAAACCAAAATATGATAAGAAAGCCATTTATATCCATGCTTATCATGGAAGCCATTGCATTTTTTTACGTTTTATGAAAGGAAAAAATAATAGAGGCCCTTTTTTTAGTCTCATCGCCATATTTCTTTGGAACAAGGATGACAATGCTGTAGAAAAGGAAGGCTATATTTAAAGAAATGATACAGTAACATATACTCCCCAGCAGTGGGGGCACCAAGGGGTGGTATGGGAGGTAACTACCCCACACTTTTGTCGAAACATGGTCTACATATTTTGTTTAAAAACAGATTAAAAAGCACTAGGTAGGAGTAGATCGTATTTCCTAAGGAAATTTGACCTGATACAAAGCACTGAAACGAGGCCAATAGGGCATGGTCTCACCTAGGTAACACCCATTACCCTCCCACTCTGCAGTAGCTGGTGCCGCCACTGGTCTACAGTTGGCAAAAATGGGCAGAAATGACACTGAGAAGCAAATCTTACCAACATAAATTTTGAGCTATTGAATAAACATAAATAGAAATAAGAATGTAGCAATGAACTATTTATTTGCATACCTTATCTTGGATGTACTGAATCAAAAATGGAGAAGCCCTCAAATTATCAACAGGACAATTGAAAAAGCCTTGAATTTCTTTTGAATGCAGGTCCATTGTAATGACTTGATCAATACCTGGTAAGAAAAAATAAAGGATGTTATTAATCAGTATGAACCTGCCTTTTGATAAAAAAGATCCCTCTCATTTTAATTCTCCACGAAAATTCTCTGTGATTGTGAGAATCAGTTTTGTCATATTTTCTGATCTGAGGTTTTTCAAAACTAGTTGTTAATAAAGATAAATTTGATTAACACTGAGTTTCTTCTACATATGACCATACCACACTGTAAACCAGACACATTTAGGCCCTTATTTATTTTTTTTTATATAAGGCTTGTAGGCCGAAATGGTCCATCGCCAACACAATTACCATACATACAAGTTGACTATTTATACCAATATTTATACCAAGAACAGCTATTTTTTTGAAGTTGTTAAATAAAAAATTTAGAAAACCAGAATTAATTGGACTCTCTGAAAAGGGCATCAGATACCCTAAAGTAACAATTTTTGCTACAACACTCATTACATCTGAAATAAATCCCTTCTTCCACTTACATAGCACCATATATCAACTGTTGTTATAAGAACGAAAATACCAACTTGATGACACAATAACATGTTTTGATATAACAATGGACAAATTGTTAGTATGCTCTTATTATCGGTTAATGAACACAGTAAAAGAACATAGATATATATAGTCAGATATTATACAAACCTGATCTGCAAAGCATGGTTGCAATCAGTTTGGCAGGAATGGCTCCCCTGTTTCTCATTTTGCTTTGTTTAGAATATGGTAGATATGGAATGACACCTATTTTGAACAGTGAGAAGAGACAGGTCAATTACCAAGCAACCAAAAATTAATGAAAAGTAATATGGGTAGCTCCCATTGTGTAGTTTGGGTAAAGGGGTAGTCATTCAATGAGAATTATGATGTGCATTTCTAAAACTTTTATATGAAGCTCTTCAAAAGGCATATCAAACTTAAAACTAATGCACCACCACTGTTAACATGACAGACCCTACTAAACCAACTTTACTCTATGTATCCAAGCTCCAAGCCTTATCAACACTATTTTTTCTTTTTATAAGGACAATTTATATTTTCACTTAAAAATCTACTAGTAAAAATAGATTAAAGAAATGCAACTATTAAAATTACAAAATCAACAAAAATATAATAGACTTAAAATTAAGATGAAAAGATAATCAATCTTCTTAAGCTATTCAAATCTTCCAAAAGATAATCAGTCTGATTTTGATTGCAATGATGAAATAATTGATTACTCATAATGATTATTATGTCTGATGGCCTAGAACACACATCATAAGCAATCATTGCCTGAAAACATCAGGTAACAAAATATAATGTAACTTGAAGTTTTGTTTCCACAGCACCAAGTTTCTGGTTTCAAAGTATCTCAAACAATCAAAATTATGCTGTACCAATGATTGTAGCAATGAGTAGAACTGTTTGTAGTCTTACCAACAACTCTGTTAGCACAAGATGTCTTCAAAGCATATGAGGTGATGAGTAACTCCATGATGGCATCATTTGGATTACTAGAAAAACCACATCAAGGCCCATGAACATAGAAATAGGTATATAAATATGGAAGTGGAAACTATTTCAAACCAAAATCTGGAGAAAGATCTTATAACTTTATGAAGGCTCATACTCAATCTACATCTCTGTAGAAAAATCAACTAAACTTGAATCAAAAAATACAAAGAGTAATCTACAAAAAAAATCTTTTTCCTTTAATTATATTTGTAGCTCACTTTACAAGGGTAAAATATAATCAAGAACACATCTTTGTTCCACTTTTTGTGTTCCATTTCTTTGATTTAAAATCATACACCATTGACAGAATTGTCCATCAAGAAGGACATATACTTTGTGGTTTCAAAATCATACACACTTCTAGATAGGTGCTCCTGTTTTACGTCCCTATGTACCAACAAGCAATTTTTATACTGCACATTGCTAACACTAATTTCAGACACCCTTCAAAGGTATAAGTTGAATAATTTTTGATTTGGAAACCCTGCAATATACCTAATGTCTACCTGATGAGAACTGGAGGAATGGGAGAGAAAGGTCGCAAATTATGAACCTTCAAGGTTACCCAAATAATCAGAGAATTTTGTATCTTTTTAAAAGGGGATTTTCTTACCTAATTCATAAATTTCTTAAAGAATTCTTAGTTATCGAAAAGTTATCAAAAAATTTTTCTACAACATCAATCTTAAATAATTTTGTGGTACCTGTATATCTTTTTAAGACAAAAAATTAAATCACATAAATTATGTTCTGGAAACTGAAGTCACAGAAAAAGACTTACTTGTCAACAATTTGCAGCAAGAACACATCCTTCCCTCTTACTGATGCTTCAATTTCAATTTTTGTTTCTACAAGTAAATTTTCAATCCTGAATGACATAATTGCTTAAATATGATAAAACTGAAAAGAATTACTAGCTAATTTTAATGGCTGATATCAAATTTCCTCAGAATATTTGATAAGTGCATTTTCATTTTAAAAAGTAGATCAAAACAAACCTGAGTTTTTGAAAAACCCAATGGACAAGGAAGCAAGCGATATACCAAGTCTCCTAAAAATCAAAACAGATATAGAATAAGAAGAATGCAATGATACATCTAAGGTCTATGACAAGCTCTAATATTAACACTAAGTTCCCCTACCCCTACCAAGCAACTATTAACACTAAGTTCCCCTACCCCTACCAACCAACTATTAACACTAAGTTCCCCTACCCCTACCAACCAACTATTAACACTAAGTCTAATATCCCCTACCAACAACAACAATTAGATTAGAAGCGATCTGTAACAGGCTTATAGCCTACATTACAGCATTTGTTATGTTATGTTATGTTATGTTATGTTAAGTTTTTCAATCATTGCTACTATAAAAACAATGAAATGTTAAAACAATTTCATAGGCCATTGGTACAGGGGGTACTCTTATCTTGATTGAAATCCTGGTCCTCCTTGAAGAAATCCCCGGCATACAAAGTTCCACAGTTTTTAATCATGTCTCTCTCTCGCAACAGTTGCTGAGTTATAGACATATTTGCTGTGCAGGGATATAATTAGGAGCCGGCAACTGGCAAAAGTCCACCGCTTACTCAGCAAACCTTTGCCATCTACTTTCACCCTCACTTTAGCATGACTGCACAAACTTTAGTAAACTTATAGATGCCTCAGACTTTTAAATGAGAGCCTTATACTTTAAAAATTATTGAGAACCCTGGCTGTGGAATTATTATCATTTTTATTTATAATTTATTATTAGACATAATTGTAGAGGAGTTATCATTATTATTATTATTTGTTTTTAGACTTATTTTTATTAGTCATATACACTAGGGTATCAAAAGTATTGCACCAACTCGAAGGAGGAGAAATGGCGCATGAATGATCGAAAGCTATTGTTATGCAAATAACTTCTGTTTTTAGAGGGCCAATGGCAATTGGTCGGAAGCCAAACAACCACCAATCAAAACTTCAATCTATTTAGAGCATTTATTTGAAAAATAACAGTAGCAAACATCCTTTAACAGTTTCAAATTTCAATATTTTGATGGGTAGCCGCAAACTTTTGAAACCGCAAAAAGCCTCCTTTAAATGGATCCACATTTTTGGTCAATGTATTCTTGTGAAATTTCGCAATAGGCCTGGAAAATTCTTACAATTAATGATTCTCTGGCTTTTGGACGACCATTTGGATCACAGTTTGTAACATTTTTCATTTGAAGTCAAACTTTTTTAGCGATGTTAAAGATTGGACTTGATTCTGGCTATGCCAAAACTTTAATTTCTTTTGTATGGAAATAAATATTTTTAAAAATGGTTTCCGTTTACTCAGGTAACTTTTTCTTTTGTATTTGTGCAAAACACTCATTATATTTTCTGTGGACGGATTTTTAGCTGCAAAACCTTGCGCAGTGTTGGGTTTCATGCCTTTTACTGCCCCTTGGTGCTGTACGTAGTGAAATAAAACCGACAAATTCTTTCCCCTCTAACATCAAATTTATTTTGGTCGCCAACTTCTCGGTTTCTTCATTACTGTAAAATTCTCGAGAAATCTTTTTTGATTTACCGCAGCTGTTGTGCAGCTGCATTTAACTTGGTCAACATTTTTTTTAAAATTAAAGACCACTTCCCCATAAATGTTTTATAGCGACTCGCCTCTCATTTGACAATTTTGTTTCCTCAGGCATGGGCTACATTTTTACAGATAAAAATGTTTTTGCGTAATTTATACATTTTTAACTAAGTTTTCTATGGCGTCAGCAAGATTTGCAAACTTTTCCCGCCGAAGTTTGCTCTAAAATTCGCTTATTTCACCCAATTAATGCATTCAAATGTTTTGCATTGTCAAAAAGTCGACAAAAAGTGCCGCCATTTTGAGCAGGGTGGTGCAATACTTTTGATACCCTAGTGTATTTGTAAAATTGTCAAAATAAAATGAATTTAAACTTGAATACAATATCAGCACTTTCCCAGTGATTATGGGCACAAATACTAACTTTCAGCTAAATGGATTGGCTTCAACATATACATTTACTCATTATTACATTAGAGGATTTTTTTCTCGAAAATCCGCAAAAATTTAAGAGTTGAAACTAAGCAGCATGTGATGATTTTATCTTTTACACATACACAACATTCCCCTTCTCCCCTAGAAGATTTTTCGAGATATAGCTTATAGTCACAACACAATTTTATTTTCCTGCAGAATATCTCAGTTAATGATCTGAATTTTCTTGAATGGCATACTTTGCAACGTTCACGGCCAATGGTTCTGTATTGCCCTTCAATGAGAATAGCAAAACACCTCCCTCAGCCATGCCTGTCCGGAGGTCTTGCTGCCTCCTACTTACAGAGGAGCTGCAGTTGTTGTAAAAGTACTTAGTAGCCGTTTTGGATGATAAGCTGTAGCTTCAATTGTGTGAAAAACAAAAAACTTGTAAATCCGTATTCTCCATTTGTGATTCCAGTCCAACCAAGTGCTTTGAGCAGGCATGGGAAAACTTCTATTGACATATCCCTGTGGTCAATTGCTCCTTCGTGTCACCCACTAGTGTTTCGCTGTGTTCTTTCTGGACTTGCTACAAGTCTCTCTCTCTATCCATTTAGTAATCTGAAAAATATAGAAAAGGAAAAAGAGAAAAAATGGAAGGGATGAAGCATTTTGTTCTCTCTCTCTCTCTCGTTCCCTCCCACTTTTCCTTTTTTCCCTTTCTTTATTTTTCAGAGGGAGAGACTTGTAGCAAGTCCATGTTTTTCACGTTACAGCACGTTACGTTACAGTATTTAGCCAAAACACGTCTCTCTGGAAAATCAGCTTCACCCTTGTTTTATTTAAATGCATTCATATATCTTTCGTATGCTTGCATATTTCAAGTTTTTTGATGAGGGGATTTTTCGCGTATAAGCAATATATAATAATAATAGTAAAAATTAGCACCCAAATTTTTCATCATCAAAGTCTTAATCGATAAATTTCACAATCGATGACCCTCCACCCCCCCCAAACCCCACCTTTGTCTGGAAGGTCAAGTTGCGCAACTGCTGCTGTACGTCATGGACCTGTTCTTTCGTGGCAAAATAAAAATGACAACATTAAAAGGATTCTTGGCAAAATTTCTTGATGTTGAACAAGAAGCTAACATTGCACTAATGGGCGATGTTATCCCATGTTACCAATGCAATAAGACTCTGATAGAATGGCAAAATCTTTACCTCAGCTCAGCTAGTTGATGATATCATTGATTTCAGGAGCGTAGCCAAGCTGATAAGATTGGGAGGGAGAAAAGGCGAATTCAGCGAGGAAAATATGGTCCTCACTCTTTCTCAAAGAGATTTGGGGGGGGGGGCGGAGGCATCGGCTCCTTCTTGCCTTCCCCTCATTCGGCTGCTAATTGCTAATTGCTAATTGGCTTAAAATGTTGCCCATGGAACTCTGGCAATTGAAAGCAGACAAGCAACACTCTATCAGCAAGGATGTTACATCTTTTATCAAGTCAATTTCTTTAATCAGGCATATTCTGGGTCTAGCGACTGCAATGGGGTCAAAATGTTCCTGCGATAGTCACATCATTGATCCACATTCCTGCAGTTGTAAAATTGCAAAAGTGATTATAGAGAAAATAAGATACAGGCGACCAGACGAGAAATTCTATCGAAAGCAAAGACTCTATATAACAATTCTTTTACCCTAAAAAGAGTTTTATCTCATAAGTTGTACACTTCATTTCGAATAGCTATTTCCTAGCATAAAGATAGCTAAAAAATGCATTTTATCTTGCGCTTTTTGTCTCTTAGCTTGAAGGGGCTCTCTCCTATCTATTGAGAGACCTCTTCCTTTGAGTAATTTTCCCCATAGGTAGGTTTCATTTTTCCAGTTTTTCTATTTATACATCGTATGAATTTTTTATCTTAATGTATTAGTATTTGTTTGTTATGATATTCTGGTACTTTAGTTGTTTTTTTTATGTTTAGTTTTAATAAAATATTAATGAGGTATCAATAACCTAATATTAATGAGGTATTGGGGCATACTTAAAAAGCAATGATATATGAATGAGTGAAGGCCAGCTTATCAAATGATTGTTTCAGGCTGGTAAATCGATTTTTGAGCTTTATTTCTTTTCTGTCAATTCTTCATATTGCTCAAAACAAGTGCTACTTGATATCTAAAAACTAACAGCCTTCATGAGCCAAAATATATTTACTTGCGGGCAAGAGGTTAACCTCATCATCTCTTCTTGCTGAGAAGAGTGGGTGAATGGGGTAGAGAGCTCCTGTCCTATTGTTGTCAAAACTATTTTTATCAGTGGTGTAGTGCTATCGAATTAACAAAAGGGGCTCCTGCACAAAATGCTGCAAAAAACAATAGCAAAACTAGAAATGTGCCAATTTTCGGTGCCCTCCTAGCTCTACACCCCTGATTTTAATGTCCGGTAGTGTGAAATTTAAAAAGAACCAGGTATCGAGGGTGGAGCAAATCCGAGAATACTTTTGCATGGAATGCCTAATAACAAGATGAGTCTGATTATGATTGGTTGGCTGTTTATATATGCAGCAGACGCCATTTTGAATTTCATCGAAAAAGGTATTCGACAAAAATCATTTGGGTTCTTTTTATTTCTGGCCAAAATTTACAAAAACGAAACGTGGAAACCAAATTCGTAGGACTCTACCTTATTGATGTTGTTCCATCTATACGATATCGATAGCCCAGCCCTTTATTTTTCTCGAAATTCTTTTTTCTATGAAAAACAATTTATCTGAAAAGCGGTTTCCAAGTTTTTTTCAATTTTCCATGTTTTCAAAAGGTTGTCAAAAAAGATACACTGATCTCTAATATTGTGTTTTCTTTTGCTAACAGGCGCGACGTTTTTGCCTTTTTAGAATAAGTAGAGAAAGAACAAAAAACAAATTACATACATAGTTGATGATATTTTAAATATCATTTTTGTAAAATTACAATAATTATTCAACTTCAGTAAAAAGCTGACATCGCTATGCAAAATTCTTTTTTAACTTCATACCTAAGTACACAAAAGAAGCACTAAGCTAAATTACCATATATGCACTTTCAAATCATAAATTACCATAGCAACAGTCTACTTGTTAGCTTTGAGTCACGGCCTCGTAATTAGGAAGAGGATTCACTGCATTGAATTAACATATGTGTAAAACTCAAGTACTGATTAATAGCCATAGATCTGTATGGTATTTTCAAAAAAGTCTGTTTGATAGGTTGATTTTGCAAGATCAATTGCATTTTATAGGAGTAAAACATGACTGACAATTGAAAGATTTTGAGCATGTTGTATATCGAGGCTGCAAAAGTTTGTAAATATAGGAAAGGAATCCAGTGAATGTAGAAAAAATTCACTGATTGATTGTTTAAGATTCTTAGCCTTAAACATGGGAACAATGTGGATTGCAACGATATTTCAACGACATTTCGATGACAATACCTTTTTGTCAGGTCAATGCCACGTCATCGTTGGTTATATTACATTGAGTAGCTAGCAACTATTGCAAAATTGACTAAAAGAAGCTATCATTATACTTTTGACGTTTTGAATTGACAAGAGTCCGAGACGACAATAGCAAAGCTGTCTTCAGACCCAACCTCTTCTTTCTTCTTCTGCTGTCCATGGGGTGACAGAATAAGTTCAAATGATCCACAAGTCTCACTCGACTCACTTCGCTGGGTTATTGCTAATGTTTTTGGCTGTTTTTTCGGAGTTCTCAATTTGTCCATTCTACTTCTGTCACTAAGGTTATTTGGTGAATGCTGATTTAAACTGGTATTACTCAAGTTGGCTTCATCGTCCGGATTTGCAAAAAAGTCGTCCGGAATATGAAGTACCGGGCTTCCAGTTAAACTAATGCACTCTTCTGCTTCATAGACCGGGTTTTCATAAATAGAACTACACCTTGACGGGCTCCTTTCTAGTTCATTTAAATCATGTTCCTTCTCATCAAAAAAGTTTTCTACTTTATCTCCATTTTCATCGAAATTAAGTCGATCAAGGGGACATTTTGAAGAATAATTATTATCTTTCCTCTTTCTCTTCGATGCAACAGGCGAGTTCCTTGCTCCACAAATATCTTTATTATCGTCTCCAACAACGAAAAGACAGTGACTAATATTTTCCTCCTCGCCATCAGGAATTTCTATTGAGCAATCGTTACTTGCATTCTCCCTTGAATCAGCTTCCACATAAGTCTCAGCAGTTCGATTCAAATCAATGCAACCTACGTCATTCGAAATACCTGTGCCTCTGACTGACACAAATGGAACTAACGCGTAATTTTTACTAATATTTTCTTTGATTCTATAAGTCACTTCATTTTCTTTCTGATTTTCATTTAAATCAGGACTTGAATCAACATGACTTTTAAAAGAAGGATTTCTCTTCCACAAGTTGATTTTTGTTCTAGCTCGGTCATTTCCCGCCTTGATAAATCTTTTATCATTTTCATCTGACGAATTGTCATCGTTCGACCTCTCGTGGTTGTTATTAATGAAGCCTCTCTTTTGATACGGACTTTTATCTGCTTCCTCGTCCAAATGGTTCCTAAATTGCTTCAGTTGGATATTATCTAAATCATCGGTGCTGCGCTTGGTACGAACGTAGCCAAGCTGGCGCTCCTGCGTCTCTTGGCGCTGTACCTTGCGTTTGGACGCTGCGAGTTTCCATTTTGTCAGCGCATTTCTGCTTGGATCTGTCTTCAGTTCCTCCCTTACCGATTGTTTTCGTACGGAGTTTCTTCTAGAATGCAAGTTGCTTTTGCAGAGTTTAGTAACACGCAGATGCTTCATGAGCACGGCGATGACGATGTTGACAAGAACAAATTGAGCAAATAAGACGTAGGATATAAAGAAAACGGGAGCAGCGTAATTACTCATGCAGCAATTTTTAGTGCAGTTCGATGAATCGTCACAGTCTGGTCTCAGGGTATCCTACAAAAGGAGCATTTGAAATACACCTGAACATAAGAGATACAGGGATAAAAACACAGATGAAACGACTGTATCGGGAGATTTCGTCAGGTAGGATCATGCAATATAGTTAATTTGAAAGAAAATATATATATATTTTATAAGTTATCGTATTTCTTTAAAACATCAAGGCAGAATCTTTGGGACCCACTTAAGATTTAAGCTTACAAATGTGAATGAAGAGAAATTGCATATACACTTTAACAACAGCCTCTTTTCGGTTCAAAGTGTAAAGATGCGAAGCGAGGGTGCGAGGTTGAATTTCTAGCCGCAATGATGAATCTAGTCAACAAAAGAGCTCCTCTTGCCTACCTTAAGTATTCCACTCCAGTTGTCTCCTGTTGCTATCCTGAATAATGTAAGCATGCTGCTGCCCAAGTCTTTAAAGTTGGCATGTTTTCCTAGTCCGTCACAAGGTGTCTCGGCGTTGCATTCTAAATAAAGAGAAACTGGTTTTACTGAATGTGTAAGGCTTAAAACATTTGGGATTGAGTCACTAAAGCGTTATTCTGAAGGGTATCGATCAATTACATAAATATACCCCAGCAGCTATGTAGTGCATTCGTTTGACTATATTCTAGTTAAGAGCTTACCTATAAACATTTTTTGGAGGTACAGAATTTAGTAATAGCTTTGATAAAAGCAAACATTTTGTGACGTATAAAACCCTACCGTCTTAAACTTTTCACAGTATAAAACGAATGATGGACAAACCTAATATGTTGCCAACTTTGAAAATATTGCCAACTTTTTTCTTATTCAAGGCTTACCTATAGTTCCAAATAGCTGTCTTCCAAGACAGCTGTATATGAAAAACAGCAGCATGAACAATAGAGCCAAATTCGTCACCTGAAATGTAACATAAGATAGTTTAAACAGAGGCTATCGTTAAGCTACATATCAAGGCTGTCGTAGAAACTAGACTGCGTTGGACGTCGGGTGCATAACCTTTTCCTGCAATGCTATCTTAATGCTTTTGATAATCAAAAATGGAAGTTCCCTTTAAAACAGCTGTGAAATGGCATCAGAACTAATGACTGAATCAAGGTAGCAGATTTAAGGTAAATTACGGTAACAGACTCAAGATAACAAAAGGTGATAATAATAAGAAGAAAAATTTCAAAGAGCTGTATCAATCTGTTTACCTGTGGGATCGTTTCCTTCACATGGTCCAGAAGAAACTGGAGTCCTTTTGCCACTTTAAGTAGTTTCAGAACTGGTGGTAGAAAATGACAGTTAGTACCGCTTCAGTATTTTTATCTTAAAGACACGAATGAGTGTAGATGGAAGAAATTATAAAAGCACTGGAAATCTGTTAGGCATTGGTCCTTTATATTCTGGCAAAATGTTTAGGATTGAAAATAATGTACACATTGAAGAGTTATTCATAAGTAGAGATACATGAGTATCTAGCAACGGTAAAAAGCCAGGCAGTTGCTTGAGGATTGCATCAAACGAAAAGCTCGTAGCTTTAACTTACAATTTTTTCTTCACTACAAAGAAAAGGGTGTACCGCTTTGTGTACAAGTAACATAGAAAAACAGCAAGTAAACAACAATCTTAATTATATATAATGAATCTTTGGGACCCATTCTCCATGAAATATATTTTCTGAATGTACAAATAGCTGACAGCATAAAATTTGAAATGAAAAGTTCTTCACGGAAAAATCCAAAATAGATTTAGCCCCAACTCTGAGTATTCCCTTGCTGCGCTTAGATCAGGCCTCGCGTGCGACCCACTTATGAAAAAAAGTAATTTATTGGTTATGTAACAGTGAGGAATTAAGGCGTGAGAAAAAAGCAGAATATTTAGTCTAGTGACTATAAACGAACCTCGGACAACTCGAAGCATTCTCACGCCCCTGACGACTCCAGGGCTGATATAGATAGAAGCAATCGCAATTCCAAGTACGGAAAGTACAACGACTATAAAATCGAACAAGTACCACCTAAAAAAATATATCATATCAGTTTTAGAACCAAGTACAAAAGTTCTTTGTTTGAGTTAGGATAATGGACCGTTAAAGTAAAGCAATAGTGAATTAATTGAAATGAATTTGCATCAAGCACCATTAAAGAATTTGCATTAAGCACCATTAAACAAGCCAGCAAATGGTTTATTTTACATTCTACGAGAGATTTTCTAAAACAAGACTCGATCAAGGTCTGAAATTACATTTCATTGTTTTTATATTTATGTTTGTGAAATGTTATCAATTTGACACCAACGGAAAATTTCAGCCTAAGAAGAAAGAGTGTGTTCCAGCTTACTTGTTGCAAAAGTATTGCTTGAATCCGAGAGCGACAATTTGTAAAATTGCTTCTAGACAATAGAATATGGTGAACACCATGTTGCTGGTTTCTACGAAATCATCCAAGGTCTGTTGAGTGAAAGAAATTATTATCGAGCATCTTCCTTTTTGAAAGTATTGTTAAAAGTACAGTAGAATTGAATTATATAGGAAGCAACAAAAAACCAGGAAAGTGTTTTCAATACCGTAAATCCTCAAATTGGTTCCCCCTCGAAAAAGTCCCCCCCCTCGAATAAGCCCCCACCCTAGAACTACAAATTGTCAATAAGCCCCCTCCTCGAATAAGCCCCCACTGCTAGCGTATATTCTCGAATAAGCCCCCACTGCTAGCGTATATTCTCGAATTGGACCCCTCAAATTGACGGATTTTTCCATCTGAGGTTGCCTATGGCGTTTTATTGAATTACCACGACAAATTCGTACTTTTGGTAGTAATTGATTAAATGCTCATAAAGAAATTCCTACTAAAATAAACAAAATCTTTTAATAATGTCTTCTTATTGTCTACAATAATTTTATAAGCCCCCCTCCCTCGTTTAAGCCCCTCTCTCGAATAAGCCCCCATCCAAAAATATCAAAATAAATAAGCCCCCAGGGGGCTTATTCGAGGATTTACGGTATAGGTCATAATAGTAATAGTAAAAGTAAATGTTGAATCAACATTTATGTACACACTGTTCACAAAATAGAATCCAATAAACTTCTTCTCAAAAGGCTTCAATAAACTTTTTTTGCCGGCAAAAAACTTTGAAATGGCTTTTCAAAAAGTCAACATTATAGAACATACTGAAGCTTTTTGTCTGACAATCTTCAAAAGACCAGAACATAGATGGAAAACTCTAAGCTATGAAACATATATACCCAGCTGTGGATCAAAATAGGCCAATCAAAATCTTTCAAAAACAATTTATAGAAATGTTCTTTTTTAAAAACTAGAAATTTAGCATTTGCTAGCCAGTCTTGTTCCTCTTAGTAAGCGTAATTAAATAACAAGGCTTTCTTGGCATAATAATTTTAAATTAAATTACTTTGATTATCAATGGAATAGAGATATTTGTAGCATGAAAAGTGACTTACGGTGGGCATCTGATAGTGCTCTATTGCCATGCAAATAACATTAAGCAATATCAAAATTGTGATCCCAATATGCCAGTATGAATGGGTGCAGATTTTGTATAGCATTAGCCTTTTGTGCGAGTAATTCTTCAAGAAACTTTCTGCAACACAACAATAATAACAGCACATTTAAAATCATATAGAATAAACCTTTGTTATTCACTTCGAATCATCGAATTATCAAAAATGCAAAGATAAAAGTGCGCCAGCTATTTCTTGATGAACAACAAAGCCCTAAAATGGCTACCATAATCCTTTCAATATCCAATTGTAAAGTTCGCTTTGTTGCTTCCGCGAGCCTTCTAATCACTGGATTCTCAAATATATGACAACATAAACACTTGACTTCTTGGACAAATCATGAAATTCTAAGTAGCAATGACCTAAAAAGCTGAAAATAAAATTTATAAAAAGTAATCTACAATGAAAAAAAGAAACAAAATTGGCATTACCATGAGCAAGTTTGGTTCTTGCACACTCTCTCCATTTAGCAAGGGCTTTCTTAGCATTGTCTTTGTCACCCTGCAATTCCCTGCATCTTTGAAAGTTCTCGACAACAACACCAACTATCATATTAAGAACCAAAAACCCGCCAATCAAAAGGAAGGAGATAAAATATAGAATCCGCCACGGTGCATAATCTCTTTTTGGCTACAAGATAAAAATAAATGCAAGATATTTTCTGGCTACATACGCAGGTGAAGATTACAGGAGCCTTTTTGGATTTTGGCTGGATAAAATAGAATAGCCGCGGATAACCGTTTTCAAAGAAAAACTACTATGTGGCGGTGCCACGATAGGGCTGACTTATCCCCCACACCAGGTCAGTGTCCTCAAAATCAAAGCAACTACAGAGCAGGATTAAATAGGTGAGCAAAAGAACGATTTCTAAAATGAATAGTAGAAACCTGCATGTCAACGTCTACACCGTCTGTCCCTTGTCTCATTATTTCAACCCAGCCGTCTTTTGTGCTGACAACGAACAAAGCGATCAACGCCTGAAAGAAAGCATGTATCTTAAGAAGCCTAATCTTAATAGGAATGTCTGGTCAAACAGATGATCAAGAAAAAGACACATTCGTGGCCACAGCTTCGTTCACATTCATATATTCATTATTGTTTGGAAATAGAACCTACAGGAAGCTGGAGACTTCTATCCCTTTAAATTCATTCTGTCTCACCACGAACCAAGCCTTTAAGATTTGAGATTTGAGTAACCTGGGCCATATCAAGAGACATATTCCAAAAGGGGATATGTCTTTTTTATAACTCTGAAGAAACTTTCTACAACTCAGTAAAAAGCTTCACAATCAAACTTTCATTTTTTGAAACTTTTAAACTAACGTGCTCGTGATGCAGCTAGAACCGCAATGGTATATTTTCTTCCACTGGCATGGGTAACTTTTACTAGAAATTCTTCTATGCTGTATATGTTGGTGGAGATATCTAAAATAGTAACATACCTGGAGAAGATTGTCAAAGTTGTACTGGTAATTAACCCATTTACCAGTTGAACTTGCATTGCATTGTTGCCGGTTTTCAACGTGCATCGCTCCTTCACAGTGGTAAAACATTCCTTTCATAAGCTAGAAAAATGAAAAGTGGGTCAAGATGCTGCAGGAATGTCAACATAGGGTTACAAGTTACAAGTACATTCAGATGTCTGTTGCGAGTAAGTGGCTTTATATTTTCCCAGAACTGCATGGAGAAGGCACAGAAAAGGCAAAGATAAGGTAAAGGATAGCTTGTAGTTTATTCAAAAGTTATTTAGGCGTTATGATGATATCATGTAGATTTTTAATGATATCTATTCACAGTGAGATAAATAATGCCTTGATAGCTAAATCAACAAGTAAATGGGTACTCATCTAGAATATTAAGCATTATTACGCTTGTATTTCTCTTTTGCATTTGTAGCCTACATTTAAAAATATATGCTAAGTGTAATGATTTGAATCGATGGTCTGTCTATACTTGGCACATATTCTGTAGTGACTCTGGAGCTTTCTTCACAATATGGTTGTTATATCAGCTGAGAATACCTCATCTAGACTTCTACCTGTATTTTTTCAATATTAGGCCTATACCAAATCATAAGAAACGCCAACATGCTGTCGTTGCTTTATGTCTTATAGAACATTCCCAAGCATGTTCATAGACAGCAAACTCTTTCAAGTGACGGAACGGCTATTAAAGCCTTAGAAAAAAATTCCTTAATTGATGCTTGAGCTAAACGTGATATTTAATTTGCAATGGAAGTACCTGGACACCAAGTATACCAAATACTACAAAGAATATGGCAGCAATGAGAACAGTGTTTCCAATTGGCTTTAATGAGTAAAGAAGTGTTTGGACAACTAGTTTAAGACCAGGTGCTCTGCGTATCATCCTGAAACAATGAAATGAATATGAAAACATTGTTTTTTTATTAACAGCAGTAATAGTTAATCAGTCATTCACATTAGCACAAATTAAAGCCAAATATGTACGATTTTGTTCCAAGTTGGAAGTTGGTTAAATTCAAGTATTCAGTACAAAAGTTTGTGCTTAATCAAACTTTGAAGCATCATGGGAACAGAAATTTAGCTTCCTAATAAAATTAGAAAAAGGTCCATAAATAATATGAAAATTTTCTTTCTTGGTAGAAATTGAATAAAAAAAGATAGCAGGCATGCAAACTTATGAAAAGACTTTTTAAGGAGAAGATATGCGAAAATTATTTTCACTAACCTCAAAGGCCTGAGCGAGCGCAGTGCTCTCAGAACCCTTAATGTCTTGATTACATCGGCTTGGCTGTTGTCAGTGGAAAGGTAAAAGGCAAAATCAATCCACGAGAGAATGACTAAAAAACCATCTAAGATGTTCCAGCCTTTGCGCAAGTAAGGGTCACGGCCATAAGCCAATCCATGTGCAAGAACCTGTTCAAGAAAAAACAATGCCTATTTTAGAAATATTCACCTGGACGTCAAAGTTTTTCATAACAAAAAATAGAATCGTTAGTTGCTTTTTAAAATGGAAATCCTACATCCGTAAAAGGCCATGACACTTGTAGTGCATTGAAAAGGCCTTGGTTAAAGCGATTTCTTGAGTCTTTTGTCAATAACATGACACTAGGCCTTTCATAGTCATCGCTCGGCATTGAATGATTCCCTAATAGCAACACAGATAGATTTGAAGGATGAAGAGAAAAATGTTTTCACAACAGAAGGCTTTCTGAAGAATTCTCATAATACTGGCAAAGCAAGCATGAAGTTGATAAATTATCAGAAGTTTATGTCTTTAGAGGTATCAGGAATTTCAATGCTCGTAGGTATTAATTTTGGGGGCAATTATGTATTTTCTTATTGGCGGTTAAATAAAGGAAACTTATTCTGATTTTTGCATTTTGAAATAAGTTTAGATATGTTCTGCTTCGGGTGAAATAAGTTCAGATCTTTTGTATAGAATGATAAATTTGATGACAAACATGCCAAAACAGCTAAAACGAATACAACAACAAGAAGACTACTTTTGTTAATTTCCCTTAAAAAACCAATGTTTCACCGATACTGCATTTTAGCAGAGTAGCTGCTCTAATACGAAGATGTTGTTGCTATTGCTTTTATAGACGCAAACCTTGATGATCATTTCTGCCGAGAACAGCCAAGTGAGGACAAACATCGACGTATCAATGACTCTTTGTATCTAAAGAGAATGCAAATCCAGGTATATTGTATAAACAAGAGTATAAGTGAAAAGATATAATGAAATTAACAAAGATAAAAAAATAAGAAAAATAGTCAAAATTAGCTCGCTGATTTTTAATAATTTAGTTTTCTTTTTAAATCTCCATACTGAGATTTGAAAGCAACCACCCAACTGTTAAAAAGAACTCGGAGTTTCATAAGTGTAAAGATACGACTGCATGAAAAGGGGGCGGGAGGTATCATAAAAAGAAGGAAGTTTTGGAGGCTTTAGTTAGAAACATGCCCAAGTTTTAAACTTTGTTTGAAGAATATAAAAAATTGTTAACTGGCCAAGCTGTTTGTCAAGAGCTTTCCTTTTGTAAAGATCTAATAATTAGAAAGCCAGTAGAATATGATAGAAAGTCCAATCCATAGAAAGCGCCAGACGGGAGGCTGGGGGGCTTCAGAAAGGAATTTTAAGAAAATAAAAAGAATATAAGAAATTATATAAAATATGAGAATAGTGCGATTATTCCTTTTATTGCTTAGTTTTCAAGGAATGAGCCGATGGCGGTGGGGCCCTATAAAGAAATGAATTCCATTTCAAGACTGGAATTAATCAAACGTAATAAAAGCATGCCTAGAAAATGTAAAATGTTATGAACGATTCCAAGAAAAAGACTGAAAAAAGTATATGAAATGTATTTAAGTTGATCTAAAGGGCATGCTTGCAAAAATTTTCTCATTTACTTAGCCTCTTTTTTCACATTTACTTAGGGCCTCCGGCAACCTTTCCTCTTTCAATGATTGCTCAATAAAATCATAGGCATAAAATATCGTGAAGCATTTTAGTGCGTTTTTCAAAAGTTGGTTTTCAGTGCTAGACTTTTAATTTCTTGGTGTCGCCCCTGCAGTCATTATCTAACACACCCCCCCCCCCAATCCTTGCCGCCTAAAGGCGTCCCTGTACACCAGATTAAAGAAAAGAAGTTGAAGGATAAAAGGTTGTCTGTGTAATTAGTTTAATCAGAGGCGTAGTGCTAGGGAAATTATACCGTTGAATCAGGTTCCGTGTTGGGATTTTCCAATGCAAGTAAGACACAGCTGTAGAAGATGAGCAGCAGAATGAAATAATCAAACCATTTGTTGACACTGATTGCTTGGAGCATCTGGCGAAACCTTGAAAGAAAAGGGTCATGGAAATGTGAAATACAGAAAACTACAAAAAAACTCTTGGTACCAAAGATGGCAAAGAGTGAGTGGATGCAGAGGAATCTAAATAACTGAGATTCTGGTACCCAGGGTACAAAAGATTAGCTAGCATCCTTGATCTGCGGTAGGATGTATAAAGTTATACTTTTTATATGCAATAAGATCAAGTACTGAAACAGTTGTGACGATCAGATCATGCTGCATCGAAATTGGCATTTTTCACTCTTAAAAGGTAAAATTTATCTTGTAAAATCCAAGCATGCTCCTATCTTCATAAAAACAAGCATTAAAAAATAATGTGTAAGAAGGAAGAACCGCAGGATAGGCTGTCCGCTGGATTCTGTGAATCTTGCAATGAGTGGTGTTATGAAAGATATACAGGAACAAAGCAATACGACGACGAGAATCCAATGTCACGAGATAAAATTTTCGTAAAAAATTAAATTTTAAAAATATACTCAAAAATATAGAAAAAAGTATATTTGTTAAATTTAATTTATTTTGAAAATTTTATCTCGTGACATTGGATTCTCGTCGTCGTATTGCTTTGTTTCTGTATATCTTTCATTTAAAAAAATTTTTGTAATATAATTTAATCGCTGATTGCGGCAGTACAATGATAATGTGGCATGCTCAATCCTATTGATTTATGTAAGGCCTACCTGTTTTCTGGCGAAAGGATGAAGAGCGACCACTCAGCACGCTTCTTGAAGCACGGGCAGCCTTTGACTTCCGATGCACCGGATGACGACTGAAATAAACATAGTAGTGTAAGAAACGGATAAAGGATAAACAAGTATCATACTTAGTGGAATCTGACGAAGTCATAATGTATTTCTGTATATTTTTATTTCAGTGTAGCTGATACCTCCGCACATGGAACCCAAAGGTGGCACTTCAATGTCCTTGTAAATGGATGTATAACTGCATTGGCGTTTATGTGGGACGAAAGAGTCTAGAGCCTGACAAGCCCCGAACATGCCCTTGTATTTGAGAGTCTCCCCGTCGCTGTTATTATTCACTGCTAAGAAAAAGCTTTTCATAACACTTTAAAAAAATACATGCATGGTCAGGATTTGTCGATGCTGCTTGAAACAAGCACGTATTCTCCATTCTGAAATGCATCGTCAGTATATTTTCATTCTTTAACATCCTTCCATCCCCTAAGACGATTGCATTCCTTCATACCCTTGCATTTCCCAATACCCTTCCTATACACGCCTCCATCCCCTAACACCCGTTCCTTTCCCAACACATTTGCATTCCCCAATACCCTTCCATTAATGAATGGCATAATAAAGTTAAGTCACAAAGGATAATGATTAACCTCTCGATTACTCTGGCTGGCATTAAATTCAATCAGTTGGTTTTGGATTAATGTACTAACACGTTTAAATTACTTCAACATCTTCTAAAGTAATTCATACGACGGTGCAGGCCTATACCAGTGAGCTGGCAACAGCAAAGACGTAGAAAACATTTGTGGGAGGGGAGAGAGGGGAGTACATAAAGGCTAAAGGAAGCACCTCCTTGAGCTGCAAATAAAAAATTAACCTCTATCTCTAAAAGTGGAGCGCACGGCTATGTGCCCCTTGTTCTAACTTCTATAGAAAAATTTATTTTTACAAGCTTGCAAACACATACCCTAACTTTTCCAATGAGAACATCCTTGGCATTCGCATCAACTGAGTAATACGGACTGTTTAAAGATCCAGATCTCGATGTCCTTGGTCTTGCTGAAACAAGAATAGGCTCTCCTGGCTTCGGTTTATCATTAACCAATTTTCCTGACGCATAATCCTTCCTGACGCCAACCAGAGAGCTGATACTTCGAAGACTCAATGATATAGGTATCGCCTTATTGCGGGCCTTGAGGTAACAATCCCATTGACTTTCTAAGCGTCCCTTTCCATTGTAGATAAATGGAGAATCGGGAATTTCTGGCATGCTCACTGCGCGAAGGTCTTGGTTAAAACCACTGCTCGCCATGTTGGATGGGTAGGACTGAGAGTTACTCTTGTTCAGTAGCATAGTCGCTATTCTCTTGGCCATGCGCCTTTTTTCCTACAAATGCAAACAACGATGTGATTTGAAGTGATTTGAAGTAATTTTCAAAAGTGGGAGAGTCAATTAACGAATAGATACTAATAACAACAGGGCCCTTAGCCAAAATACTACCAGAGGTGATCGTTTTCCAAGAAAAGGGAGAGCCTGTGCTTGTTTATATCGTTTAGAGTCAATATCATTTATATCGTTCATATCATGTCATATAATATCATTTGTTTAAGCATTGTATCCCATTCAACAATGCTGGTTTACGAAGGCCAATGCATCTGAAATAACAGAAATAAAAAGATTAATAGGTCTAAAAAATAATAACATACAATCTAACCCCTCCTGACTTCAAAGTCTAAAATATAATATGAAAACAGAATTTCTTAAAGCAAATCTTTGTTAAAAAAAGTGTACTTTGAAGTCGAGTCGTAAAGGGGGGGGGGGGGGTCATTTGCTCCAAGTCGTAATGGGCGGTCAACTGCATAAAGGGGGTCATTTGCAAAGGGTCAGTTTATATCAGTAGATTCATACTTACCATTGGCGTAGTGAAACCCTCGACAAGTATGGCAACCAGTAAGTTTAGCAAAACATAGTAACCAATTGTCATCAGTGCAATGAAATATAGAGCAGCCCATTTGTTCCTTGCACGCATACCATCATACATCACTAGATTCCAGTCCTCTTGGGTCAATATCTAAAACAAATACTTCAATTTTAGCATAAAAACTTTCATTTCTGATCAAGCAAAAATTCTACATCAAATTCGCTACATTAATGCTTTTTTGGACATAATCATGCCCGTTTCAATATGGGAAGGCACACAGTCTAGAGTGGGGTTCTTACTTACCGGATTGTTGGACGCATGCAATTTTTTCTTCTTATTTCGTTAAAATTTTGAGAATTTATGTTAACATTACCATAAATAGACCTATAGCCCATATAGTCTGCCTTACAACTAAAACATTCTCCGAATCTGCTCCCTAATCTTTTAAAAATTTGCTTAAATTAAATAATGATTTATCACATAACATATAACGTTTTAACTACTTCAAAATTTTGCTGAGCCTTCAAAGCCTAAGTAAGGGGACTCATTACTTAACTAGCACAGGGCCACACTAAATCAGGCCCTGGTAAGAAGAACCAAAATCACATGCTTATAATGCCTGAGCCAAAATCAAACGCATGCATAAGAAACTAACCTGGAAAACAGTTGTCATAGCAGATGGAAATGAGTCAAAGCTTGATCTTGAACGTACTCCATTGAAAAAGAATTTGCCACCAAAGAGATTCATGCCAAGAATGGCGAAAGTAAACATAAACAAAAAGAGCAGAGCGAAGAACGTCATCACGCTGGACATGGTTCGAATCATCACCATCATCTGATGTCTCATTGGTCGCACTAGCTTGAATATCCGCAACAGGCGAAGACTTCTCAGTACAATCACGTTGCTGCTCCCATTTCGGTTACTGATAAGAAGTTCCGCAACGCTAAAAGTATTTGAAAAGACAGGTCACTATCAACATCGTTTGGCCTTATGTTATAAACTTGGAATCTGACGGCTTCAAATCTAACTTTGGCGATGACGTCATCTACCTAGCAAAAAATGCTTTTTCAGACACTATAAACTTAAGATACTATTCACTTCATTTCCTTTCTTGTGAGTTTTAGCTATGCCGTCATCTAGACTGATGACGTCATTATCATATGAAAGATAATTAAAAAATAATAGACGATTCCTACTTATGAAGTTCAAGATGGCACAGAAAAGCGGAAATTAATATTAGCCATGTAATGTTTCCGATATTTTCGCTTATTTGATACATAAATGCACAAAATTTGAATAAGAAAGCGTCCGACGGCTAGCAAACTGATTTTTATACTTTATGCAGGCATTTCCGATGTTTTTTAGTAGTGAAACACCTGAAACACCTTGATAGTGAAACGATAAAATAACATATCGCTCTTTTGAGATTGACTCACACTGGAATAGACTCACAGTAAAAATTATTGTCCATCGCTTTTCGTAATAACCTACACCTACAAACTACTATATGTCCCTAGTTTTTTCACAAATTGTCCTTAAATATTCTGATCATTTCAACAATCTTCAACTTACTGCAATGCTAGCAAATTATTCACATTATTCCTCTAATTTGTTCACCAAAAACCCTAATTGCGATTTGATCCCTAAATTTGAAAGTAAATATCTAAATTTTATCAGATGTAATAAAAATGTCCTTCTCCAATCAAAGATTCTAAAACATTAAACCCTTTTTACATTTTATATTGTGGCGTGTCAATTTTACGTTTTACCAAATCTTTTGTAAGCATAGAAATAAATTTAAAATAACATATATTCAATCAAAAATAGAACATAGCCTGGAAAAATACCTACCTTAACACGACGATAAGGCAATCGAAAACGTTATATCCAACTTTGAAATAAGACTTTGGCCCAACTCCTAGAAGTTTCACGCAGACTTCAAACCCAAAAATCCAGATGAATATCAGATTCAAACATTCCAAAATTTTGGTCATTTTTTCGGGCTGAAATGATCAAGAGTGATAAATTAAGAACGAGTTACTTGTACAATAAGCAAATCTCTCGAAGTTTTCTTGAAATTTCATAATTTTCAATCAAAATACTGTTTGAATTCTGTTCAATTCTTTCAATTCTTTCAAGATCTTTATGCAAAAAAAATAGCTAATAAGTGATTAAGCATAACAAAAGGCGATATTCACAAAAAGGCAAGCATTGGAAGTGAGCGACACTGGGTCTTTCTCAAGTCTTTTCACAAGAAAGGTTAGGAGTAGAATTTAGGGACAAGAAAATTCTTATCAGATTTGTTATGACCCCCAATTGCTATGAAATAGTGTGGGTCTTAAGAAAAAATAATAGTAATTTAATAGCACCAAAAGGTTGGGTTCGAAATATGGAGAAAGTATTTCTTCGCTGCTAGTACATTTCTTCCTTGGCGCTAAAACAGGCATTTGTATCGAATACAGCACAGTTTTTTTACAAAATTTAGATCCACCATGGATACCTAACAATGGAAGCAGGCTGAATGGAAACTGCTTGGCCATGTTCAAATAAAAGTTATAGTCAATTTAACAAAATGCATCAATGGATGATCAAAAAACATTTCCTCCGTACCTGATTATGATGTTCTAATCCCATGCAGATGGTGTTGAAAACAATAAACAACATAATGAAATGTGAGAATTTCCTACTCTCCGACAAATTCTTGCAATGTTTGCGGAACTTTTGGAAGAATGTAGGTTCGACTGAAACGTAATATTTATCAGCATTCCGCAGATCAAACATGCTGCCGTAAAGAGCTTCGCTGCTTGTGTCCGCAATATCCGATATATCATCACTGCGAACTTCAGAGTTATACGATGCATTGCTATATGTCTTACATAGGGCTCCTTTGTCTGGCGTCTGTAACGTGACTGAGTTATTAGCCTTGGTCTCTGCAAAAACTGCCGTCTTCTTCTGCGTTCCTTCTTTACCTATGGACGCGTTCGCTTCACAGTACGCGCGGCTTTTCACTTGAGTCGCGTTTCCGTTTACTTGCAACGATAGTGATGTTTTGGTAGTTAAAGACGCATGGTTCGGGCTTTGTTTTTTATCAACAGTAACCGATGAAACTGATTCGGCCGTTATCGAAAGAGTATTTGAAAGATCTGACTGCGTTCGTAGCTTTGTTTCCGGCGCGGTTTCATTCTGCGTGGTAAGATACGATTTCGTTTCCAATTTCTTTTCACTTTTCAAGTACGTACCTTGATCTAGACTCGAATGTTGGAACGAGCCAATGTATGTCCTATGAATTGATTTAACAGATGTTCCACTCAACTTCCGTTCAAGCGCTCGTTCAACACCGAACAATGACGGACAAGAGATGGATAGTTTTTGGCTCAACCGAGAGGTAGATTCGACTTCATCGTCAAAACAAGAGATTTCGACCTTGGGGATTGAATTGTCATTATCACTAGATATCTCCTTTGGACTTGTTGTCTCTGGTTGAGTTTTGCCACAAAACATATTGCATTTATCACAACGAATCATGTGATGATGGATGTGAAAATGTTCATGGTGATGGAAATGATGAACGCTTTTTCTTCTTCGTTTGCAACTGAACCATGATCTAACCTTGCTCCAAAAGATTCTAAAATCACTTATAAGAGATATTTGTGATTCCGAGACGTGTAGTTTTCTCTGTTCTCGAATCAACTGCATTTCACGACGTTTGGTTTCAGAAAACTGCATAGTTATCACGACTAAAGATAAGTTTACCAAAAAGAACGAACCAATCTATGAAAAAAGGATAGCAGATTATATGACATAAAACATTTAACATATAGTATAAAACATATAACGTGTAACGTATGACATATAACATATAACATATAACATACAACATATTAACATAGAAACATATTCGCATATAAACATATCAACATTTTGAACGTATAAAGATAACATAACATAACATAACATAACATAACATTATCATAACATTATCATAACATAACATAACATAACATAACATAACATAACATAACATAACATAACATAACATAACATAACATAACATAACATAACATAACATAACATAACATAACATAACAAAACATAACATAACATTATCCTGCAAAGCGACCCGGTATTGGACCATTACTTGTGATAATTAAAGACGAAAAGACAACAGTTACCCTACAGAGTTTTCGTAGAATAACTGAAAGTTGGTTTCCTTTCCTTCATTTTAATTTGATGCTTAGGATACTATTGAAAATGTTGGATGAAAAACATACGCAATATTCGTTATATTTCGTTTGGAAAGAAGTTTACACTGGATCGGAAAACTTAATATTAATTCTTAGAAATCAAATACATCTAAGAGAACCCAAAAAAATTCCACAATGCCTTGATCGATTTTTCTTGAATTAAAAATCATATCTACACACACAATCTAGGAATTAATAGTCGTACTGTAGTTATCAGTTTGAAAAATTGATAACTTTTTAAATTTTTTAATGCAGAATCAAAAATTCGTCTCCAAAGTTTTCAAATGTTGAAGATTGGATTACTAAAGCCTTTAAACTTTTATGATTCTAGATCACGTTAAGATAAAAATTAAGGCAAGAATGACCAATTTTGAATAAAGTTCAGTATCAGTTGAAATCCTACGATTTTTTGAAAAAACGGGAACTATACAGGTTGAACAAACCACCTGCTCTTACTAAATAACTTCTGAAAAATGCCAATAGGTGTGAGCTCTTCCATCAATAAAATGACTGCAGGATAAAAGACAATTCAAGGGTGTGGACGATAAGGCTAGACTTAGAGTACCTTAGATCTATTGATAAAAAATTAAAACTAACATACAAAGGAAAATAGAACCAGCTGAACGTCATTTTGATCAAGATGATGAAATCAGGAAAATTTAGAAGTTGAGTCCTTACCGTAATTAATACTACAAAATAGATCCATGATGATGGATGGCTGACATCTTGAATGAGGTACATTAGCTCACTCCAGCCTTCTCCCGTAACAACCTACAGATCACCAAATAAAATTAGTGAATAAAAATACAGAGTAAGGTGAGTATTACACGTCGGTATCCTAAATAGATACCGAGCTACAGTCGAATTAGCTGAAAATTCGAAGCTACCATAACAGTTTATTTCAACTAATAGAATATGACGTCATAAACATATTTTTTGAATTGATTTATTGTGAACCTAAAAGAACAGAATGAAACACATAAAAATATGAAAAATCAGTTAAATACGTCGATAATATGGTGAGATTTAGCCAAAAAAAGCTATGCTAACGGATTACAGTAATTTTGGCTCTGTCCACAGAGTTACGAACAGAGACAAAATTACAGAGAATTGATGGGAATAGCGTCTGTGCTCTTGTGGTCCTATCTCAGCCACTTTACAAACACATTAGACTAATTTTGCATGTTCAGAGGTATTGCATGATGCGCTTTCCGGGCAAGGGATATTAACTCAAAAATTCTAAAAATATATGTTTATTACATCGTCACTTAAGAAGTCTTAGATGGCACAGAAAAGTGTTTTTGGAATACCACATGAAGAAATAAATTAATAAAATGCTTCTAAAATTTGGTCACGTTTCTAAAATGTACGAGGAAATGCCTTATGGTTAATAAACCTCTCTTACATTAACGATGTATATTACTGGCTGAATTTTGCTTTGGTTTTACAATGTTTAACTCAAAGTACTGAGGCAGTCTCATTGTTTATTAAACAAAAATTCACCTGTCATGAACTTTACTGAGCTACCTTGCATAACGCCTTACATAAAGATTAGTATTTAAGGGCGATTAATGGTTGAAATGGTTGCTAGGAAATGAACTAAAAAGTCCATAGCTTTCTGGCTAGTTAAAAAAGTCTGCCAGTTTGGTTCACATATATTGCAGATTTCTTACCTTATTTGAAATTAACATTTTACTCAAATGGATCTCCACCCCGTGCAACTATTAACCTCAACTATCCAGTATAGACGAACTGTCCAGTATAGACGAATTACAATCATCAAGGACAACTTACCTGGTAGATAAAAATCCAGGCCATCGCAATGTTATCAAAAGACATATTGTCAAAATATGGGTTTGGACCTTCTTGGCTGCAACGCGTGTAGTTTTTCCCATATGAATCGCAGGTTGTGTTTGCGTATGTTCCCATCTTTGTGCATTCTTTTGTAATGTCTTCACACGTCTGCATACCACGAGCTTTGGGCAGGCTACATAGGAAGTCCCCAGATTGAGGTTGGTAGAATAAGCTACGATTGTACCTAAGAAAAGACACAAGTTATAAGGAAAAGCAAACATACACGTTTGAGCTCTGAACAAAGATATGTACGTACGGTTAGGTTGGTTTGTGTAGGTTGGTGCCGACTGGTGTGATATGGCAAATAAAGCATGAGCTACAAATCTTTGATTGGTTTTTAAGCAATTACACCTCCTAGCCTTGATCAATCAGAGAACAGAAAACTGTAAACAAAGGCCACGAAAAGCCACTTTGGTATAGGGTGCTCTGGTTGGATGTGGGAAAGTGTGGTTGTGGTGTAGTGTGGTATGGTGTGGTTTGATGTGGGGCACTTGATGATGTGGTGTGCTCCAGGTCCATGTGGCAATTGCTCTTTAATAACTGAAAAGAAATGACTAGGAAACTAAAAGAAAAATGCAAGAAATTACCGGAGAGTCTCGTTGCGGAGGGCTTCTGTCACAAAACAACGGTTTCTTAATTTTCCCTGCCAAATCTGCACTCCAAGGATACCAAAAATTGAGAAAACCAAAAATGCAAGGAGGAGAACATTTCCAAGCATCGGAATGGTGTCCATTAATAATGTGACAAGAATGCGAATGCCTAAAAAATACATTTGTAATACATCTACGGTCAAAAATGATTAAGTATGGAAAGAAGATACAAAGTTGCTTTTTGATAGAAAATATCAACCAATTATCAGAAAATTTAGTTTTAAATTTCATGGCCGGATTATCTTTTTCATCTTTGTTTCAATATAACCAGGTCTATTTTATCCCTGATGAAGAATCCGGAGAGGTATCATGTTTTGGTAGATGTCATATTTCTAGGAGAGCGTTCCCTAAAACCGATGGTGACCTGTGATTCGTTGATGCAGTCAAAAAAACTACTCAACGTGTATGATATGAGGTTAATCGGACTATCCGAACCAAATTATTCACCTTCACAACTAAACCTTATTATGTTAACCCGCGATGAGGCTCGAGCCTGTACGTGCCGAATATGACGAGAGGCAAGCAAAGCATACAAAATTTCAAGCAGGGAGCATGGCCTAAATACTGCAAACATACTGTTATTAGAGCCCCTTTCTTTAAACAAATCTTGGAATTAAGAATTAAATTAGACAATTATGATTATATTTAATAACGTTGATTTATCAGTGCTGTTAAAGATTCATTTCGTGATTTCATTAACAGAAAAACATTGGTCTTAATCTCTCTGCATCCCTTTGCTTCTGATATTAAAACGTGAACCAATATAAATTCATATACGATTATCGGGTTACGATATCAGGCTATGCGGTGCAGAATTTCACAGAAAACAGAATTATTTTCACAACTACAGCATAACTCTAACCTTCTTTGCCCTATCTTACATAAGCAAAGTAAAGAGCTTAATCACTTGATGACGTCATACCCATTGCTTATAAAGAAAGGTTGATACCCTTAATTTTTCTGCTGTAGAGAGAAGACATTTTGCATGACAAAACTAATCCCTATACTATTTACGAAAAGCGAGAACTATAATCTCATAGGCTGCAGAAATTCTTCTGGCTTTTGCAAAAAGACATCATTGAAGAAGATAAATGTTTCGTATTTTTAAAATATACACCAGGCACCGCGGAGCAGGGGGGGGCTGGGGGGCTTTAGCCCACCTACTTTTTGCAAAAAATGCCAATCGCTAAGTAATAAACTACCAGTAAAGCCTCATTTTCTACGGTTTCCCCCCCCCCCAACTTTTTTCACCGCTCCACGGTGCCTGTACACAATTGTTGCAAGCTATCACAGAGGAACTGGGATAGATTTTAGTTCAAATCTTTGAGGCTCATGAAAAATTGTTGCATTGATTGGTAGAGACAAGATGGCGTTTTTGTTAACTCTAGTTGAAATATGACTGACTATGAAGCTACTTTAATTTTTTTATCAATGGGGCTGGAATGGTGGCTCTCGTTGAAAGAATGTAATTATTAGGACTTTAGTTAGATGCAAGTGCTAGTTAAAAGGAGATCCATTTGTAGCTTTATGCTTCTGGATATGTATTGTCTTGTTCAACCTTATTACAAAGATTCCATAAATATTCTAGATTGCGTGCGGTACAATATAATGATATGATAACGATGAATGTAAGTAAATTGTACCAGGAATGAAAAATTGATTAAATGAATTTACTTTAATTCAATTTACTTTCATTACAAACACTAACTAAAATGTCTTCTTCAAAATACTAATAATTTCAAGTTGTAAAAATTTTTAATACCAATTAAACATGGAACTTTAAAAACGTATGATTGAAGTTCGGACTGTAAGAAAATGGAATACTTTGACAAGTTTACGACGGAGCCGTGAATCGAAAGAAAGGCTTGAGTTGAGCCCATCTTTTTTAACAACCCTTCGAATTTACACTTCACTAATAATGTTCAATTGAAAAAAAACTAACTCCTTGTATAGAAAAACTTGAAACTCCTTATCGGCAATCATATAGATGCTAAAGCACATACTAGAGAGAGTGCAATTATCAATCTTTTTCAGCTTGCTGTAAACAGGAAACTTTGGCAAATATTTTACTTAAGTTTAATGCAGTTGTAGTTAACAATTCCAATCTTTCCAAAGCACTACTAGAATCTCTAAATTATGTCATTTTTCTTAGACGTTAAGTATGCAGAAAGCCTTCCCCCTCTATTCAAACGACACCTCGAATGAGCCCCCATCCAAACGCATAACAAATTGAAGGAACACCTTCGGCCCTTTTAGAGAGGTAATACGCTGGATATTAAGGGTTGAGTGATTTGAGAGAAAGTATTTTTTGAACAAAAACTTGTTCATTCATACAATGTGATTTGGGGGAATCTAGGAGCCTCCTGAAAATGCTTGCGGGTTAAAAATAGTGCAGAGAGAGTTCACGGTCTTTTTAAAAGACTGATATCAGCACAAACATTGCCAGCCTTTTTGAAAAACATCTTTGCGACATTGGATTAGATGCAAAAAGAACAGATTAAACTTACTTGGGACTCTGTTGATGGCTCTTAGAGGACGTAAAACTCTGCACAGACGAATGATCGTGAGAAAATCTCCATCTGGCCCAATCATATCAACGACCCTTTGAATATGAGAAGGAAAAAATTAAAATTTACCTAATAATGAAAGAAAAATCCAGAAAAAAGTTCAGATATTTATTAAAGAGGAAAATCGAGCCAATTCATGTGGGCTCATTATAAGCATTTATTAGTTGAAACTGGACAGGTAGGAAAGGCCATTATGCCTTAGAAACGAGGCACTTTCACAGAAGCTCTCAAAAGGGCGCTTTTGAAATAAAGGGCTTCTTTCAAAAAGCATAGAGGGTACTAGCCTGCGTCACAAACCACTCATTCACGTGGATGAGTGGTCTGTGACGCAGGCTAGGAGGGAACGCACTTGCCTATGGTGTCCAAAAATCCTGAACATAAGAATCAGAACCAAGACTAAACTTTAATCTGGTGGATTTTCTTTGCTATGAAGATATTTGGAATAAATTATGACGATTCAGTACCCATTGAATATAATTTTTTTTTATCAAATAAGTGCGTTTGCCAGAAAGTAAGCCCGCAGAGCGAAAAGCTGTTTACAAATCCCCTACCATGAATACAATAAATCATGATTAACTTATTTTATAAATTCAGTAAACCTTTAAGCCAAAATTCATAACTTGAATAAGTTTTAAAAAGATTTTCTTCTATATACATAAGAATTTCTGAATCCCTATTCGAATTACAAATCATGCTGGTTGTTTTTTCGTACGAAACTTTATCGCATTTACAGCAAATTGTAGACCATATAATAGATTACAATATCACATGATTTTTAGCTTTTTCCATTTCTTCTGGCCTTTTAATAAGCTCAGAATCGCAAACAACTTTCGTAGTCGGTAGCATTCGACTTGCAAAGTCTGATTTATAAAGAAATGTAAAAATGTGAGGAGCTTTTAGCGTTTTTGTTGCGGAGCGGAGTGTTTGTGTTGCGAAGTGGAGTGTTTCCTAACAGATTCGAAGCCTCAGTGGGAAACGTATATTATAAAATGCGAGTATCTGAACAAAACTGTAGAAACAAATTAAGCATGTACCCAGCAACAACAATGAGAAAATCAAGAATATTCCATCGATCTGAGAAGTATGCTTTGTGCCCGGTTATACCCATTGCAATCATCTTTGCTAGCATTTCAGCAGCAAAGAATGCAAATACGACCCTTTCCAGCTTTTCCAAATGCTTGCATTTTGAACTTTGGCACTGCGAGTCCAGGGGATCGTTCATAGCCAGCATCACACAGTTCAGCAAGATCACAAGGATGACAACTCTCTCGAACCACCTGATTCAAGGATTAAGAAAAATCATTATAACAATTAGCATTCAAAGCCAATTTTAGATAAAGCTTTTTTGAGATTAGAGACAATCAACAAATTGAGAGTGGAAAGTTCGCAGATTTAATCATGGACACCGAAATATAGATATAGCCTAATCTTGTAGAAGTCACGGGCAAACTGTATGGTGTTTCAATTCTATGCCATGATAAAGTAAGATAAGGAGAATATTCTTAGTAAGAATGGTAGGCTGAATAGGGGCAGTGGCTCTAGGTACTCGGGAACGGAGAAGGCAGTAGGACAAAAAACGCGAGATTATATGCAATTATAGCCTTGATTACGTTTTTATATAAAATTTAACAATTAATCTCTAATTCAGTCATTACTAGTCATATCTCGAGTCCATGTTTTCATCTCGTGACTTACACTGGCGAAGCAGACAATTGTCTCCGTTACAGGTGGTACTACAAGAAAATCTTAATGGTGTTATTTACCCTTGAAAACATGGCCTGAACAAAAGATATGACCGACTAATACCCATTACATTTTAATCAATTCTTAAGAATTATGTGGACCTCGTTTGGACGCCGGGTATTTGATTAAAGCCCTCCCTTGGCATTGTTACTTGCTGCGGATAGGCCGTTTACTGAACCATCCAAAACTTGCAATAAAATATAATATATAAATAAAAGATAACAAAAACAGTCGAGAATAAGGATACTGGCGAGAGATAATAAGGACAATCAATTAATATGAATTCTGCGGTCGAAACCCGGTGGAGAGAGACTTGTCGATTGAATAGTTTGTCTATCTTAATGATATCATCAAATGACATTCATTACCAGTTTATAGCTGCTGACTTAATGATCACAGTGCACAGCAATAGGATTGGCTACCTTACACGAGTGATAGCCAATCGAATCAAAGAATACGTTTCATTATTGTTAGTTTAGGGAAGAGCCAATTCAATGAGGTCACTGTCAAAAAGCAGTCGCTTGTGCATAATTTACGTACACATTAGTTGGCATCACCGAGAGAATGTTATGAGACCGTCAGGTCAACACATTGGAAGTACATTATTAGATCGAATCATATCAAAGAAATCGAGAAAGAGTTTGAGATAATCCTAATTATTCAACCGCTGTTTGATCAATATCTAATAGCAAACATTGCTCATGATAAGCTTTTTTGTATTCACTTCGCAAGTTTTGTATTTAATGCCTCTAATTCGCAAGTTTCGAGAGTAATTTAAGAAGAATGTAATTAACTCATGTTGTAGAATATTCACAAAAACAGATGGCTACAAATACATCGGCATTTTTAATGATAAATTTTCTAGACACATAACTAAATCCTCGACAGATCTTCCAATTCATTTACGGCTTTCTGCAACTCAACAACAACCATATGTGGGCAGTGGCTAAAATAGTATAGTATAATATAATATTGCTGTATGAGCCAAAGACTTTTAAACCACATAATTAAGAACCCCCAAGAAGCTGAAATTTGGAAAGGTTCTTACATATATATATATATAAATATATATATATATATATATATAAGAAAAGAGGGTTTTAAAGTGATATTTTTACACCCTTTTCGCACTGGCTAATTAAACAGCTTCGAGAAGATCAGGTTATAGTATGTTACATTCTCATTGAGCAATCTAACAACATAAGTTCATTTGATTGTTTGAAATTAAACATGAAAAACAAAGCTGGCTTAAGTGTGTCTGTTAGAATTCTTCAAGTGGAAAGCATTGTAAATGTGAGCAAGGCCTATTCAGGCTGCCAGAAAAAAACCTAGGTTCTTTCATGCGGGTTTCTACTGTATGCGTTTTAGGTGGCAATAGAATGTTTGGACGAGCAGTGCACTACTGCTGGATATACCATTGCTGATTTGCATTCTATAGTAACCTGTCATCAACCTTTGCATTCTAGTAGTCATAAGTGAAGGCATGTTCGACAGAAAGATTGTTTCGAAAAACAAAGATTCATCATAACTTGTAAGAAAATGGAGATGCATCTGGAAGTTGGCTTGTTTTGTACCAGAAGTATCAGTAAACAAGATGAATTTGAATTTCACTGAATGCGGGGTCAATAAACCCATTAAATGAAAATTGCTGTTTCCCGGTTTGAAGATGCTCGGTGCCGTATAGGCAGAGCTGTTCACGCTTTTGGGGTATAGAACAGGAAGGCTCTAAGTTGCTATTCCTATCTTCACGCTTATAAAATCATCGATACAGTTGCTTGATATTTGTATTAAGCGTGAAACTCGGAGTAGCAACTTAGAACCGTCCTGTTATATACCTCCAAAAGCGTATAAATCCATATATTCAACTATTCTGGTTTCCATTTTTAAAATAGTTTGCAATTGCAGCAGCGTAAAAAGGATGAAACCATTTTCGTGACGCAAAACATCACAATCCTAAATCTCATGATAACACAATACGACTTCTCTAGAGTCCTGGGCTCTAGTCTAAATACTAAACCATGTTTGTCTTTTATGTTGTTGTTGCTTCGTTCTTCAGAGAGTTCATTTTTACGAGGCAATGTTTGGACCATAGTTTTTACTGTTATAATTCCAATTTCACTTCATTGTTGTTGGGAAAAAACTAAAACATCATTACTATATATTTTCAGTAAACATGCAGCGGAAGTTTCGATAGCTGATTTCAAATGCATTTTAACTTTGTAACATTATGTGTTTAAAAAAGCGGCAAGGCGTTGTCACAAAATGAATGAATGAATTTCAATATGAAATGATACTTTCAGCAATGAGATGAAGCAATCTGTAGATATGGTATGCTATCAATGAGTTGATATAGTCATATGTTCTACAAAAGCGATCAATCCTGAACTGACTTTATCAACATGAGTAGTTCGAAATGAATTATTGAAAGACAGCAAGAACTCAATGTAATTGGTTTTGTTGATTACTACATTGAAAGTCGATTCTGCAAGAAGGCTAGACAACAGTTTACCTTCATGAGCTGATCTCTCTAGGAATCAGAAATATAGACAGTCGGGCCATGGCATATAGATAGTGAATGATGTTGTCTGCAAGTAATAATCGACCAAAAGATTATGAAGATGACTCGCTTTTCCTCTTTTAATTAAAAAAAGTCGGTGCTTGAAGTGCTCTTCAAATTAAATCTTTCGAAAAAACTAGCGCTAAAAACCCAAAGGCATTGTTTCTGTAAGTCATCTTCGCGCTTCTGAGGAAAGTCCCGCGGGTTGATACTGTCAGTACATGTATGCAACGTATTGAAATGACGATATGACTAGTTGTCAGCCCGCCGTTAAAAGAAAAACAAAAATGAGGGCTCGAAAAGCAGGACAGACGTAGCTGGGCAAGGTTCATCCATAAAACATTTCAAAAAGTCCTCAAATTTGACGACTTCTACAAAACGATAATCTTGAAAAAAGGTCCGTGGGGATCTACTTTTTCACCTACTTTTTCGAAAAGGGGTTCTTTTCTATTAGACTAAGCGCAATGCTGAGTACAATAAAAGGTTTTGATTCATTGCAGACAACCGTAAGTCTTCGAATAAAAGCCCTGGGGCTCATTTTGCAAAACATACTTTTGGGTGAGGGCTCACTCGAAAGGGGGGGCGGGGTGCTTATTCAATTCAAAGTTTGAGGCTTATTCGAGAACTCACAGTACTAATTAATCAAACATCTTTGTGTAAAAAGAAAACCGTCAATTTTCTAATTCAGATTACACACAAATTAAATGCTTATTTATCCAGCCTTGTTTTGTCAACAGCAATCATTAATTTGATATCAATTATTAATATGGAGTTTTATGGGATTTCGTTCACATTAAATCGCTAAGCAACATTTTGCATGATTGCATAAACATTCTTGCTGTATCAATTGATGAAAACTGACCCCAAAAACAGAAATATAAAGCCCTTATTTGCATGCAGCACCCACGCCACAGTGGAGGACTGGGCAAGTGCGGGCTGGCTATCCCCTATCTTTTGGCTAAATAAAATATTGAAATAAGCCCAAATTTTCATAAGATAAACCAGTAGATTACAAAAAATTCATTAAACCCAAGCCCACAGGTAAATTTTGCCACAATAGGGGCTAGAGGGGGTAAGACCTTGCCGGCCTTTTTTATTACTTTGCTAGCCTCAATTGTAGCATCGGTAGTGTGAGCCCTGGCATAGGTTAAGAAAGCCACCGCCTTCATAGAAGTTTTTACCTACAGACGCTGATGAACATGACCAAGCTGTAGTGCGAGGGGCTGGTTGAAACGATTCTCTTTTGATAAAGGCAATCAAATTGTGAATTTACCTTTCTGTCCTCTTCAATTCAAACACTGATCGATAGAAGTTAGATACACATAGCAGAATTTATCAGCACCTTTAATTGATAATTAAAAGTGGGAGGGGATTATTCATAGTGAAACTATACCTTGATCGAACAATGTAGATCAGATGCTTGCGGATGAAATTCTCTCTGGTAATGCAGCCAAAAGACAACTTCTCGAACTGAGTTGGAAGTTCATCATCATCGTCATTCGGTGCTTCATCCAGGTCCTGGGAGTTTGATGGTTGCCGCTTGTGCCGTAGCATTGTCAGTGTTGAAGTACAAATAAGTCAATCACCACTGTTAAAGGAAAGACGCTACATTACAGTTGGAAATATTCCCATAAGTGCGGGAGGAGCTAAATAAACTCCTATAAAGGGTTCTAAAAATCTTGGCTAAGAATTTTAGTATAGAGGGCGTGAGGTTCTGTGATTCTGAGTATAAAGTGATTCTGATTACTGAGGTTGAAGGGGCTAAATCTTGGCTAGGACTCTGAGAGTACAGGATACAAGAAGAAAAGGCGTTGGCTAATCATCTGATCATAAACATTGTGGGAGCTAAAAATCCTGGCCAATATTCTGAGGATATATAGACTCAAAAAGTAATTGCCAAGACATTTTTGAGGTGTAGGTAAAAAATTGATAGAAAAACAATATATACTATCACAGAGCTTTTATGTTTGCTCTGTATCAAAGAAAATATAATTGAATGAATGAATTCAGGATTCACGTAGAAGAAACATTTCATCTTTTGTATTGGGTGTCATTTCTCACTACATCGAAAAATGACAACTGATGCTTTCTGTTAGCTAGATTTTGACGATGAATCTTGTCAATATTTGCTACAAAGTCGAGGCTAGCACGGTGCCATGTGTATCAATCTAGTTTTACTTAACGATAAATGCGCCAGAGAGTGATGCAATCAAGAACTAATGAAGATACGAGGAAGAGTCTATACTTCTTCTGACAAGCGAATGCGAGTTTTAATTAAGAAGCAGATTATTACTTTGCGATGAATGTAATCAAGATTCTCTGGTTTGGGTTCTATCTAACTTGGTCTGAATATAAACAAAAAAAGAATAATACTGTAGAAGCCTAGTGAATGCTGTGCTACAAAGATGAATGAAACCTGGTTTTATTTAGATGATTAACAGGGTCTTTACCTCCTTAAAAAGGAAATTTGTCCAGCGTCTTGGAAGAAGTATTCAGTGCATCGTGGCAATGAAAAAGAGCTTTATTTGAAAATTTAAAGAGAAATAATTGAAAACTGGAACGTAGATGATTACCAAATTGTAATAAAAAGCTGCGGAAAGTGATGTTGTGGAGATAAAATTAATTCACCTGTTTTTTCTTTGTGCCAACGTCAGCAAGCTCCGTTTGCAGTTGAGAACGCTAAAAACAAGAAGCTTGACTGTCTTTGGGCAGAAATTCTTTCGATTATCCATAAATGCTCATCACACTCACTGAGCTTTGCAAAGCATCAACCGGCAGAACGGTAACCTAAAAAGGGAATGCATCACATCTCACAAAATGCATCACTGTGCGGTCATCATTTGAAATCATCAGTGTGCTTCAAGATGAATAAAGCAGCAAGCTTTGTTGCCTGAGAAGCAGTGAAAAGGTTTGTGGAAATAAGCTGTGCTGTCATCTGTAATGCACCGGAGAAGACGGGGACGGTGTCATGCGTGCAAGTAAATGTTTTTGACAAGCACCTGCATGGCCACTTGCATATGCGTAAAATCGTATCAAAGCTTACTAAATAAACGGTCTGAAGAAACATGCGGTTCATTAGGAAATCAAAAGCATAGAACAATAGTTATCATTTCTTTATCAAATGAACCAAAACTTTAATAAATAAAACCCAGGCGTGGCACGGGTATAGTAACTTTTCATTGTTTTCAACGGCCTTCCTCGCGGTTCGTCGGCCTCGGCCGTGCAACCGTCATTTCTCCTGCAAACAAATTCGGCCTATATCAGCTCACCTGCAATCAAAATGTGTATATCAGGTGCGTTTAGGTCGGAAAGCTGCCTGTGAAGGTTGCAGCTCCGTTTATGAGAGAAACATTAACTATATTTTTAGCAACACGCGGATTTTGGCTTACACCTATGGTCTACAGTTGTTGATCAACTGAGGTTGGGTAAAATCCTGTTGTCAATTAGAATAAGCCTCAGAAGGATTACGATGTAATTAGTTTTCGTACTGAACTGATGGCTTCTAAATACTGACGTGGGCTGCAGTTGAGAAGAAAACCCAAATGAATTTGCAACCTCTGTAAAGCAAACGCGAAGAGCAGGGGAAGGGAAACTTGTTCTCGTCCGTATTACTCTTTATCCGGATTAAAAGTTATCCGGCATCGCGAAAACGCAGCTTAAATGAAATAAATGACAGGAAACTCGAATGAAATAAGCCTTCAGGTGGCAAATAAAGGCAAGAAAAACCGAAATCGACTATAGACAGAGTAAAACAAGATTAAGTGAGGTGAAGCAAGGTAAATGAGTGAGAAACAAGATATTCAGGGTGAAGTAACTTAAAGCAGGGGTGCGTGGCACATGGGGCATGTTCAGCAACAGTGCTCAAGGGAAAAGATTTTGCTATTCTCCAAACAATATACATACCAACAAAATATAAACTTGTTCGCAAAAAATAATTGAAAGAATCCGAAAAGAAGGAGTGGAATGAATGCAACAGAAAATCTTCTCGACGTCATTGCCTTGCACCAGTAACAAAAACACGGGTAAAAATGCAATTCACAATTAAGCCCCTCATAACGGGATATACAATTTTACATCTGCTTTGCAAGATAAAGTGACCCAGGAAAATTGATCGAACTTTGAAGATTAGCAAATCGTCGAAAAAACACGGAAATGACGCTAGAAGTTTGCCAATAGGCTTTCTGGCAGCACACGAGTTTTTTCTATTGCACTTTATTCAAAGGGGATTTAAATGCGTTATCAATTCAACTCTGAATGAAGGAATAAACGTATCGAGATTTGGAACTGGTTTAAATAGAAGAAGCAGATGGTTTACAAGGATAGTTCCAAAGAATCAGCAAAACATTATTTTCGTATTTCATAGTGACAAAATCGCACAAATTAACAATAAATAACACTTTGATCTAGAATGTCAGGTCATAATGCAAAAGATACAAATCTAGAAGGTAGGTGAAACAAATATTATACAACCGGCATATAAGCAATTTTCCAATGGCGCTTGTGGCATTGAGACGAAAGAATAACCAGCACAAAATCGAATTGCAGGTGCTGCATACTCTTTACAAAGCAATTAGCTTGAACACTGTTTGAATGTATCTAAATGGTACGAAAAATACGGCCTTGTTCTGCGTGACAGGCTTCTGTTCAATGATTAATTATATATAGATCAGCTCACATCATATGTTCTGGTGGTTCTCAGTTAATAAAATTGAAACTCAGAAGTGTACGTCTTTAGATTCAAACTAGAATAGATCTTTGACACCGAGGGTAAGATTGTTTTAAAAGTTAATGCTTTTTAGCAGTCCTATACTCCCGGCAAAGGGTTGTTGCCATGCTCTTGGCAATTTCAGCGAAAAATACTTAGAAGAATTCCACGTTACCTGCTTGCCTCGTTGAATAACTGAGTCATTTCATTCTGCTATTCTGCTCCCGTTTAAAAGATCTGACCTGCACTTGCAATGTCTGTTTCTAAGTGACGCTGGTTTTAAGAAGATGATAACGCAATGGGTGACGTTATTAATGACATTATAGAAAATCATTGCGTAAAGGGTATTATCTATACGGGTTAAGGAGATATGGGACTAAAACATTGATATAAACATAGGAAGTGGATTTATTTTGCAGTAGATTTACATGTTTTGTTTTGGGTAAGAAGCTGTATACAAGGCCAGTCCAGGGTTCCCACAGTGATACTGAAAGGGATTTGATTCGGTAAAGGGTCACTCAAGAGCCAATGAAATAGGTGTAATTGCTGGGTAAAGAAAGGGACATGCCACTGTGAATCGAAAGTTGATCAAGAGATCTCATTACCCTGACTGTGAGTGTAGACAGACTAAAATTGAAAAGATGAAACATGACATGACTCCTATATGCTTCCTCGACCACCTATAAATTTGGCTCTGTTGCTAAAATTAAATGGTATAAATAGCTATTTCTTTTCACAATAGTAAGCTTTTCACGAGAAGAGCAAGAAAAGAGAGAGATATGAGAGGGTAGAAATGGTGCTTTCAAAAGTAACAAAAGAAAAAACTACAAAGCTACTTCCAGCAGCTTTTCTTGTCAGAAAATACAGAAAATTTCACTGCCTCAGGCTGATTTGAAATGCATTAAAAGGATACTGATGCTTCAGAGGAAAGATGAATCAGGAAGATTACTATAAATGATAAAAATTGTTCTAACATTTGAAAATCTGCTTAGCAACTTTGTGGCAAGGCTAGGAGCAAGAAAGTGTTTGTTAAAAGAGGTATAGATAAAATGATTAGAAGCTATTGAGAGAAACCTGCTTATCTTCTTTATATGAGCCATGCTAAGGATTTAGTGACATGCAAGAGCAGATTTTTAAGGAAGACCTTTCATTTTTCAAAGTTAAAAATCAACACAAGGTCTTACCAAGACTGTTTTTTAATAATTCAGATTACCAAAATCGTGGTTTAACTCGAGAAAATAAATATACTGAAGCCAAAACTTTGATTGCCGGTACACAAAACGCGGCACCGAGCATAAACCATGGTAGAACAACAAACAAAGGCATATCGAAAACGATAGCTCACTCATAATTAAGAAAGTTTCCTAATTCACAGGTCCGCAGCTGCTTGTTCAATTTTCCATAGGCGAAAGGCTACAATCTGTAGATTTTCAACTGATGCCCTATGCAGACAACAGACAACTTGCCTGTGAATAATTGATCAAATATTTTGCATATGATGCCCGAATTTGAAAAAAATCATGATTTGTGATAGAAAGATTCTAGGCTAATGCATCAAGAACAAGAAAGAATTTCGATTGGTAGATAAGTTGCTGTTATATAATTGAAAAAAATAATTAAAGAGGAACTGCCAGGAGGAGCTTATTTTATCGTTTGATGCTTAGACTTGGAGTTTCATGCTAGAACAGCAAAAAACGTAGAAAAATGAGAAAATGCACCGAAACAGCCATATTATGACAGGTATAAGGCCGCCGTGGGACGTGGTTCGTATCAGGAGAAATATCATTCGAAGTATCCTAGCTGTATTCGCCAAATAGAGAATTTTTTCTCATGAAAGTCTGAAGAAAGAAAGATAGAAAAAGAACAAAATAGCTGCAAGGATTGATAAGAAATTTAAAGCTAAGAAATAGCGCAAGATATTGTTTTTTCCCTTGCTGAATCAATCATTTGTCAAAATCGATGTACTCTTCTATAAATAAAATAATCCTTTATCACCTCAAATACAATTTTCGACTTCATTTACCATTGCATCATATAAACAAATAGAGTTTTGCCTTATGTAAGACACCTGAAATGGCATTAGATTGCTTTCATGCCTGGCAAGAGTTATAAATAGAAGTGTCGTCAGACCTAAAAGATCTTGCTGCAGACCTTCTGCTAGATCAATTTCCAAATAACAACAGCATTCGTTAGCATTAAAATTGTCTTCTTTGTTTATAAGTCACCTGTTCTTCAGAATATTGTTTGAAAGCACCTCCTTCTCGAAATGAGAACAAGAACGAAAACAAAGTCGACATTATGACACATTTTGCTTCTTAAGGATATGCACGACATCACGTTTTGGAAACATAAAGAATAACTTGATTAGATCATGAGCTGGTAGTAATCTTCCTCGAGTGCAATCAACTTCTTTCAAGTATTAACTATTAAGGTTAAAAGTCTTACGGGACGATTTGTTATCTGGTAGAAGGCAGAAAAGTTAGCAATACTTTAATGCTTGTTATATAAAGTTGGATTTAGCAGTGGAAACAAGTACAATATCTTATGAATTAACTGATTACTTTTTCTCTTGACCTATGTACATTTGAAAGGCAATTAAAAGCAAACTAGCAAGTGCAGAAAGCTTATTGTAAACTTATAAAAGTTGCAGGTACTTAAGGAAAGTTTGAGAATACATAGCAACGAGAGAAATATAAGAATGAGATAAATAATTAATATTCATCCAAAGTTGCCTGCTTCCAATCTTTTCAAGTGATTTTAAAGCATCAATTAGGAACAAAAAAACAAAACGTGGTAGATTAATAAAGGATGTTTCTGATTTACTAAGGTTAATTTCTCATTTGAAAATAGTATCAGAAGTAAAAGAGCTGTTAAGTTTGATAAAAACATATGAAAACTTTGATACAAGTGCTGGTCGTTTACTGTGTGAGATTCTTCAATTATCCCAACACCAGCAAAGAAGAATTCTTGATCAAGTTATCATGCAGAACTTACCCATGGAAAGTATAAAGCTCGAGAAACGACTCATAAATAATCTAAGTTAGCTATGAGCTGCATGTATGTTATGAAGCTTTGTAAGCATGTTTATTGTCTTTTAATATCAGTTCGGCAAAATATGATTAAGATTTGCAAATTGGTAGTTCTTAGCTATGTTATGTTTGGAAAAATCAAAGATACAATTGGCGATCGTCCACGAAAAGCAGCAGTAGCAAACATAATTCATAATAAACATCTAAGAATAAAACTGGTTATAATATCAAAAATATATCATATCGTAGATGACGTTGCAGGAAAATAATGAATAGGAAAAGTATTATTCGCACCTTTAATGTCCATGATCACCAGATTTGAATGAGGCTATAAACACACTGAACAGAAAGCAATCATCTTCAAAAATTATTTTGATATCAATTTAGGAATGTGCTGATCCCATTCGCACTTGTAATCAACTGAACTGCGCCTTGCTGAAAAAGCAGAACACAAGTGTTGCAGACGGGGGCTCATCACCTGTCGTCAAATAATCGAACAAGCTGACAAACGGGCCACATGCAACATAATGGCTTGTATTTGTTTTTTATAGAAATTGATTGAATTCATATTGGCATAAGCGATTTCACTGCCCTTGCAAGACCCTCTTCTTTGATGGCAAAAAGTCTTTAAAACGTGCTCGTGTTAACATAACTGTTTGCAATAAAACTGTGATTTCTGGCCAATAACAAGCAAGGAAGAAATCTGTTTCACTTAGCTTTTTTTAAATCTATTCCAAAGCTTGCACATTAAAACTGTGCGTACTTATAAAAAATTGCACGATTATAAGTGTTTTGCACGCATATTTCTTTCAATTCACAGTATACCTTTTCTAGCAGTTTTAGTTAAAAGAAAACAGCGGTTTTTAGAGATGAAAAGGCATGGCAACATTTGCCAAAAGTAACCGCCTGATGTGCTCTAAATATAACTATGTCATCTTTCTTACATTGTGACATTGAAAAGGAAATTGTCAAGAAAAGGAAACGTTTTCTCCTTTATGACAAACAATTTCAAAGTTCAAAACCGCATATATGAGAACATAATTTAGTAATGCACATTGAAAAGACAAAATTTAAGAGAAACAAATGTTTTTGACAACATAAATGATTTAGAAATTAATGCAACAAAACAAGCTGTCATAACAAATTTTATTTCATTTTCTCCTTTCTTGTACCTTCTTTCTAATGTTAGTTCGACCTTGTTTATTAGAATTACTCATGAATTGCTTACGCAGAATTGTCTTGGGAAATAAATCCTTTTTACACGTTTAGTTGTCTGAAATGTTGTAGTGACTTTAATTCTGTTGAGTTTGAACATAACAAAAGTATGCATTGTATGCATGGAGGAAAGAACTTAAGGCTGTAGACGTGTCAGTGTCTGAAGCTGCATAGAATTAAATGTGTGTCAGAAGCCGTAGACATAGCTACATGGAAAATGAAGAAATTTATTGTAAAAATTACCAGCAGAAAGGATACTAGACCCGCAAAATAGAAACTTCAGTATTTTGATAGCTGAGTGCTCCCATGGCGAGACTACCTTTGCTGTACAATCGACATTCACACTTAATGTAAAAGAACACATTTCATTAGAACTTAAAGGCATGATTTGCCAAGGAACAAGAACATTGTAAGGACGTGCGAAGCCTCAGAAGAAAAATTTGAAGAAAAAAGTGTTCCTGTAAATGTTCACTCATGTTAACTAAACAGAGCAAGTTATCTCAGCAATCAACCGTACAACTAAAAATGTCTTGCAAAAATGTTGTTTGGGTGGTACTGGCCCAGTCTTGGAAACTATTTATAACATGTAGTTGTAAAAATCAACGCTGAAGCAAGAACAATACTAAAAACATACCGAGACTCAAATTATCAAGAAAATTAGAACGTCGAGCCTCCACCAAAATTATCCGGTTCTTCCGAAAAAGGAGTGTAATAGAAGGAGGCTCCGTAACAGATACCCCTTTACCAGAGGTGCTATAAATAGCTAGCTATTTCAATCTTGATAAACATTTTTGTAATAAAATCGCACATTAAAGAAGCAAATTGAATGCAAAAGTCTTAACTTGTATCTTATCAAGGCTTAGCTTTTTATTTCCTTTGAAGGTTGGAGCTCTTCCTTTGCTTAACTTGTTTATCAAGGCTTAGCTTTTTATTTCCTTCGAAGGTTGGAGCTCTTTCTTTGCTTCCAATCAACAATTTCCTTTGTTCTCAACGGTTCTTTTCCCATAATTCTACATTCAATACTATTCTGAATTCTAATTGTGATATTCTACACAAAACTACTTAATTACAAAATAAGGATACTTGCAGATCAAACCTAACGTCTATTATGTAATATGACGAACTTAGCTTCGAGGATTAAGGGATAGAACTTTGTAATTGTATCAACAAGGAATTTCAGAAGTTTTTACTTCTACCTATGTCATATTACGTAATGGACGTTAGATTTGTTTGTAAGTAGCTATAACGAAACATGCAAGAAGGAGAGCAGATAAAGAACGATCATTTAGTTTCTCTTCGTCTTAGATATTCCGCTTCTTAACTATAAAATGTATTCTGCAACCTAGCCAACCTAAATCTCCCCTTCAATTCTCTCTTCCCTCTGGCTTACTAACTACAGCAACAACATGTCTCGTTCCAGTCCATCATAACTCACATTTTCACATAGTCTTACCTTGTAGTTAGGTAATTTTGTGTAGAATATTGCAATTAGAATTCAGAACTCTAAGGGAAGAGAAACCATTTCTTAAACTGGGTTTGTTCATTGGAAAAAAGGATTTTTATAATTTTTGGAGGGGCGAGAGCGCTCTCATGACAATAAAAGATACAGCCTTGATTAGATGCAAGTTAGAGCTTTCTCTTGCAGGTTCATTGAATAGGCTTCGTTACTGTGCGTTTCTGTATGAATGTCTCTATTAGACACTAGTCAACAGAATGAAAAAACGCAGTTTTGGGAAAAGCTTGAAGATGATGTGGCGTATTGCTATTTTTAAAATAATCATCGCAACAGACGTTGTATTATCAACATTGTATTATCATTGCAACAGACGTAAGAAATTATGTCAACTGTAAAATTGGCATTTTATTTCAATGCAGCTTCTAGATGCATTTCTCAAAATTGAATAATTTTGCTCTCTTCCTCTCAATATTGTACATCATGTTCAAAACATCAAATCCAATCACTTATTCCATAGCAAATTTAATGACTAAAATTAGCACCTTTTTACACAAACAATTTCTCCTACTGAAAACAAATGACCTACTAAAATCGATTGGAATCAAACCCCCCGGAATTGACACGAAAAACTAGGGCAGGTTGTTGAGCTAGTAGTGAGCAGCGCTGAAAGGGAAAATTGGTCTACCATTTTCTCCAAGCAATGCAAATAGGCCGGGTTATTCCATCCCATGTAATCTTTAGGGTATTGAAAGTATAAACCGCTGCCCAGAGTTGTATGAAACGACAGCAAATGGTCATAGCATTCACCTCTGTATTCGGATGCTGAGCCGCCACTCAGCTTTATATCCACCTCTTATGTCTGTACATATAGATTTTCTTTTAGAATGTCAAGTGTGTTGTGTAATATTTGTATTAAGATATTTGAGGTTATATTTAGCAATACTTATGCTAAATATTTGCTTTCATTGTAGCAATCTGTTTGAATATTGTTCATAATTTGACTTTTTCACCACTGTGTTAGTTTACAGATAAGAAAGAGATTTATTGATTCAATTCTTTGCATTAAAGTAACTGGGTAGGATAATCGCCCCTTCTTTCAGTCTATTTGCAGTTCGCTTCGAATTGTTTTGCTAAATATAACGAGTGTACAAGTAACAAAACCAGCAGATACCCCCAGTTCGTGTGCCCTTAATATGGCTCTGCTTATCAGTGGGGCTAGGGGGTTTCTAATCAAATCAAACAAGAACCCTTTAATTGAAAACCCTGAGAAAATTACTATCAGTAAGTAGAAGGCATAACATTGCTGTTCATAACTTTGTGTAGTCAATAGTTTCGCTTCCTAACTGTTGATTCAAGGCACTTAATCTCCTAACTGAATTTGACTTAGTAACAACAGACAAATTTAGCGAAAGATAAATGAAAACTGATAATAACTTCTTAGTCACTAATGACATATATCTCCAGCATAGAGAATATGCTGGTCGCAGATACCCTTAATTGATACCATACTAATGAAGCAGATCGATCGGAAATGCGTGTACAATTCTTACTTCAAAGAGGAACTAAATGCACTGATAAAAAGGTTTCATTCAAATATTAAAATGATAAGCAGCACCTGCAAAAACATGACATTTTTATGTAATCAAGAACAAGAAGAAAATCACCTGTTTTAGCATGACACCTGCACATTGTATTTGTGCTGAGTTCACCTGTAGCTTTGGTAGGCCAAGTATTGTGCCTAAATAATAAATCGAGGTTACATGAATTTTTTAAATGTCAAAATAACAATATTGGTGTTAAGGAGGGCTCAAAAAATTGAAGCTGTTCTCTATATTGGGCGGTGAAATGAATCCAAGTCAGGAAATTTTATGACCTAAGAATATCGTAGAAAATATTATGTGAATATGCGCTAATAACTTCAACTATATTCTTTCATATGTTATGAAGCATTTTTATTATGAAACTAAGAAAATTTTTCTTAGCAAAACTACTGGTAGAGTTCAAAGGGATTGAAATGCCCTCAGTGTATCAAAAGTACACTACTATTATCATTTAGATGTCAACAAGCAACACAAAAAGCGTGTCAAAAGTGCAATGCCGTGGCGTCTCTGTTTACGTTGTACCTCAAGGATCCAAGTTAAGCTCCATCATATTTACTTTATGATTGTTACAAAGATATGCTTGAGCTTCAAATTTTGCAGTACCAGAAACGTACTAAGCTTATTTGTTTTGAATAAAAATATATGCACAATATGGGTTGTTTTGATCTCAGGTTGAAGACTGTACTTCTAATATGTCGCACCATTTTATCCTGTAATGTATGTGTGAAACAAAGCGTTATATAAGATTTAAGCACACTGAATAGTTCCGTTAATTCCAAGCCTTCTTTCATCCATCAAAACAACACCCCCCTCCCCCTCAAACACCCTAAACATAATTGGATTTGTCTAAAGGATTCGCTGTTGCGTATATGAAATCATTCAAAGTATTTGCCGATCCCAAAAGCCTTAAAGGAAATAAAGGATGGCAAACACAGAATTCGTCCAATGAAACATGTGATGTGATCAGATGTAAAAGGAAGGCCGAGCCCCCCGAAATTTCTCTGGACTTTAAAAAGGGGAACTGAGCCCGCCGAACACCCCTTCACAGCAGCCCTGCTAGATGCCGTTAAGAGTACATGCGCCTTATAAACTGCTGTTCAACGTTCCTCTCTTTATAACGTCGGGCAGCTGATCAATAATATTTCTTTACCTACATCTTGTTTGATATTTATTAAACAATTGCTCTTATAACATATAATATAGCATGTTCTTAAATTTG